ATGCAAGCACTGACGCTTAACAAACCCATCGTGATCCTTGGGGATTTAAACTGTGATCTAAGGAAAGTGCGCGGTGAGCAGAGCGTTAAACTATTTCTCGTCTGAAATGAATCTTCAACAACTCATTAAGCATCTAACAAGGATTACAGCTACAACTAAGTCCCTGCTCGATGTTATTTTGGTGTCCTGCCCTCAGTCGGTACGTAGTAGCGGCGTGATCAACTACTCCATCAGTGATCACCTGCCAGTTTTTGTAGAGCTTAATGTGAAAGCACCCAAGCCTTCGCCCCACTACATAACAGCACGTAGTTATAAGAACTATGAGCCGGGCGCATTTACTGTTGATCTTGCTAACTAATCAGATCAGCTCTTGTCCATCTTTAGCTGCGGTGATGTGGATTCCAAACTTAACACTCTCAATGACGTTGTTGGACGCACGTTGGACTTGCATGCTCCCGTCAGAACAACCAGGATTCGCCATCGCCCTTGTCCATTTGTATCAAGAGGCATTAAACAACTCATGAAAACAAGAGACCTACTTCACTGCAATTTTTTTCAGTCTCGCGACCCCTCGGATTGGAGTAAATATAAAGAATCCAGGGATACCATCAAAGAAATACTGAGAGAAACAGAGCGGAATTATACTTTTCTTGAAGTTCAACAAAACAAGAGCAATCCTAGTTCACTCTGGAAAGTAATCAATCGCGTTATTCCATCAAAGAACAAAGAGCCTCGACGATTTTATACCAAAGACCTGAAGACAGTCGCCGATGATTTTAATGTATTTTTTACGTCAGTTGGTAAGACTGCAGCCTCGCTGCTAGTCATCTTGCAGAAATTAATAACATCACTTGGTCAGAGCAGCAGTTACCATCACCGCCTGCTGGAGATCTTTTTGACTTTAAGCGTGTGTCGTGTGAAGAGGTGCGACGCATTATTTCATCTTTGCCGCTAAACAAGTCTCCAGGCCCTGACAAAATACATACCCGAGTTTACAGGGATTGTCTTCCTGTCATCTTGGGTCCCCTTACGGAGATTATAAACTCTTCTCTCGAGTCTGCTAAGTATCCCGATGCGTGGAAATTCGCGGAAGTGATTCCTTTACTTAAGGAAGGGGACCATGAAGTAGCCTCAAATAATCGGCCCCTGTCACTACTTGCTGTTGCTTCTAAGATATGTGACAAGGTTGTTTTCAATCAGTTTAGAGCATATCTTTTTAGCAACGGTAGACGCTCTTCTCACCAGAATGGAAATAAGAAACTTCATTCGACCGAGACTTTAAGCCTCTTCATGGCAGACCACCTCCTGGAGGTAATGGACAAGAAGAACTTAACCGCTTTGACCCTATTAGATCTTTCGAAGGCTTTCGACAGCTTGAATCATAATAAACTGCTTGCTAAACTCTCGTCCGTCGGAGCTCCTCCGTATGTAGTGAACTGGTTTAAAAGCTATCTAACGGGCCGATCACAGTCAGTTCGGATCAATTCCATCTTGTCAGATCCCCTGCCTATCACCCACGGAGTCCTTCAGGGGGCAATTCTCTCACCATTGCTATTTTGCATTTATCTAAACGATCTGCCTTGCGCGCCTCAAGTGTGTGGTCTTGAATCATATGTCGACGATTCCAAGGTCTTCCTGTCATTTTCTTTACCTGACGTAGACACAGCGATTGCAAACCTAGAACAAGACCTACTGCGCGTCGCAGCTTGGTGCTGTGAAAATCAGCTGTTGATAAACCCAGACAAGACCAAGTTTATGCTCATCGCAACTAGGCAGCTGAGGTAGAGGTTTTCCTCTTCTCCTGTGGTGTCTTTTCTGGGCAAGTCCTTAGAACCAGTCGCGTCAGCGAAGGATTTAGGTGTTACCCTGGACTCTCACCTCACATATGACTGCCATATTTCCAACGTGGTGTCCTCCTGTATGGCAAAACTATGCCAGATCAATCAAGTAAAAAATAGCTTTGATGGGAAAACGCTCGAACAATTAATATCATCGTTAGTCTTTAGTAAAATTCTGTACTGTTCGACATTGTGGTCCAATACTTCTACGACCAACATCAAGAAGTTACAACTATTGCAAAACTTTGCTTGTAAAATTGTTACTAAGACTAGAAAGTTCGATCATGTGACCCCTCTATTACGCGAACTAAACTGGCTCTATGTAGATCAGCTTTTATTTTTCAGAGCCACTGTCATGACATATAAATGCATGAACATCTTGCCCCTAGTTACTTGAGTAGTAAGTTTGTTAAGAGATCGGACATTCTTAATCGTAGGACACGAAATCGTGAGGCTCTACAGATTCCATTCTTTAGGTCAGCGTCTGGTCAGCGGTCCTTTGCCTTTAGAGGGGCGAGGCTCTGGAACAATATATCTCCTGAATTAAGACAGTGTGCCTCCCTAAAAGCATTTACGGAGAAACTTAAGAGTCACATTCTTGCCAACAGCTATTAGTTTTGATATAATTAGTGATATTAATGTAAATAGTCGTTAGTTTTTGATATTATTGATCTGATGAAGTTATGTAAATAGATGCTGAAAAGCCCCCTTGGGGAGTACCTATTAAAGTTTTCTTTCTTAATAATTGTTGACATGAGAGGGTTATGAATAAAGCCCTGAAAATAGCATATCTAAATTACAACTATGTTAATCGGGGCATTTGTGATATTTTTCAGCCTTCATGAGCCGTTTGAAGCGTCTTTTTACGAAATTACTTTCGGCCTGAGGCCGTTAAGAGAAAAGGAGACTGCGTTTGGCTTGGTTTTGAAGCGCGGTGGGCTGTCACGGGAAGTTGCTGCACTGTATGGTAAATTTGAAACGGCCTGCATGCTTTAAATACCTTTGGTCGCTGAGTTTGGCACCGATTATATCGAGAAAGCTACAATAATTACAATGCAGAATAAAAAGTGAACTATACAAATTTGACACGCTCTTATCAAGGTAATTCTTAAATTCGGCAAGATACGTAATATCAGGTATATCAGGGAGGAGCTGATTCCATTATCAAGCAGTTCTTGGGGAAAAAAAAAATTTTAAAACGTCTTTCTTACAGTTAGGTTCAAGAAACTTAAGCTTATGGCTGTTCCTGGTACGGGTCTCTTTACCAAAATTAAAAAAACCGCTAATCTCATTGTCAACTAAACCGTGAATAACTTTATAGATTAAGATCAAGCGAGATCTTATTCTCTTTTATACAAGGGTGCAAAGTTCTAATTTTTCCAGCATGGACGTGACGCTTGACGACCAGTCATGAGTTTCTACAAAAAGGGGCTGATACTCTTTGCACTCCCTCCAGTCTGAAAATGTCGTATGTCGCATGACAATGTGGGTCCCAAGCAACGGACGCGTACTCGAGCTTAGGCTGGACTAAGGTAACATATAACGTCTTTTTGATGCTCTCTGTACAGAACCAGAAATTTCTCTTAACTAAGCCTCACATTGTTGGCGGTGTTACAAATATGATTTATATTTTCCTTCCATCTAAGTCTATTATCTATTTCAACTCAACTCAAGTATGGATGGGAATTTGCGTATTCTAAAATTTTGCCACAGAAGTAAAATTTTGCAAGGGATGGTTCGCACTTAAGTGAGACGCACATAGCATTTCTTGGGGTTCAATTCCATCTGCCGCATTGACTGCCATTTCTCAAGACTGCACGAGTCATCCTGGATTTTCTTATCATGTAAAGGGTCCACTATCGAAACCTACAATAGAAAGTCATCAGCAAATAACCGAGCGCTACAATTGATGTTTGATGGTAAGTCAATGATATACATTGAAGAAAACAGAGGCCCCAAAACAGTGCTCTCTGAGACGCCAGAAGTGACCTTTGATCTTGTGGAGAAGTTTCCATCGCATACTACGCGCTGGTATCGCTCAGTAAGGAAACACTTGATCCAAAACAATATAAGGCCACGGATACCATAAAAGTGCAGTTTTTGTTAAAAGCGGACGTAAGGGACTTTATCAAAAGTTTTAGGGAAATCAAGGCTGTCCAGTGATACAAATGCATTCGTATCCAGGACTTTTGCTATGCCATTGAGCGTCTTCACCTAAAACCATGTTTCGAGTCTACTAGAATGTCGTGCCTTTCAAGATATTTCACTTTATGACTGTGAAGAATATGTTCCATAATTTTATATACTGTGCAAGTCAATTAAATAGGTCTATAGTTTTCCGGGTTGGATCTACTTCCTTTCTTGAATACAGCGCAGATGTTAGCCTCTTTCCATTGACTTGGTAGTATACCGCTTTCCAAGGATGATAGGAAAATAAGTTGGAGATACGTGCGATTTCGTTGGCAGCCAACTTAATTAGCCAAGGATTAAGGTTGTCACGGACCAGGCGCTTCATCGTCCTTTAAAGATTGCAGTTGTTTCTTGACACCATTACAGCTGAATGGATCGATTTTCGGGATAATGCTAGGCCCAAGAGACGGGATGTTATTCATGTCTTCAGACACATAGACGCTGCAGAAATGGGAGTTCAAGGCTTCGGCCTTAGCTCGCGCATGAGAGAGAAGTGTTTACCCCAACTTGTTTGTTCCTGTCAACAATTATTTACTACAAACACATAGAGTGGTCTGTCTGTGTTTTTATCCTCCGCCCATAGGAAAATACCGTATTGATGTTCCGTCGTCGAGGATTAGGGATGATTTTCGGCCATTCTGTCTTTTATCGCAGAGTTCACAGGTTCAAATCCCCTACAGGCCTGAAGTTTTTCCAAGCCTTAATTTCACTAATACTTAAGTAGAGCCCATTTCTTCGAATACCGCTTTCATATTCAGAAATCTGCTTTGTTTATCCTTGTACGATATACTTATCCTAACGAATGGGTGTTCGATAGCGCGGGCTCATACTTCACAATTAGGAGGACGTCGACAATAATCAGCCAATCAGCGAGATCGTAGTATCTTGGAGTATAGTGCCACATCACAGAGGCTAAATGGTCTTACTTCTGTAGCATTTGCACCGGTTTTATCGTTTTGATTTTCATCCAAAATGTCCTGGCTAAGTAGTAATTTTACAGATAGCCTATCAAGTATTTCGAATTTCACTGGACAGATTTCTTCCTTCACTCGTGAAATGTTAACAGAAGGAACAGAGGAGGTCTCAGGTAAGCCGACCCTCAAATTTTCGGGGTTTTTCATTTCAATTTCGTGTGATCTTCTTGCAACCTTTCCCTTTTTATTGGCCCATCAGTAACACTGAATTGCAGCGAAGTATTTTGCGAAGTCTTCGTTTTCAGTTTTTTCTCAAAAGGACTCGGATAACTGTTTACATATTTACATGCACACTTACATCTACTTCCTACTGATATATTTTAGCATTAAGCTATGAAAACGTTTCTTCTTGTTCACAGACCCTTCAGCAGAGCTTCAAGTTGCACAGGGTCGAATAAATGAGCTCGAATCACATATTGTTACTCAAAAGGCTGAGGTAAGTATCTTTGTGTCATGTAAATCATTTCTCTTTCGATTTTGAATGGGTGTTGAAGTAAACACTTAAACCTGATAAGTTATCACGATGCATGACCAATTTTTTCAATAGCACTTAGATAATTTTGCCTTTATAGACAACATAATTAAAGTATTGTGGGTTAAAAATAGAGTATAGTAAAAGAAGGGTACAGTATGAAATTGAGATATTTGTTTATTTCTCAAAGATTACCTTTCAGATATGTCAGTTTAATTTGTATTGTAACATATATCACAGTAGTTCGTGTTTTGTTATTATTTTTTCTTTTTGTGATTGTCGTTGGGTCAATTAGATTTTGCTGTTTTATCAACCATAGTATGTCTGAGATGACACTAAATTATTGATTGGTTTATTCAATGAAATGCAGAATAACAGTAAGCTTTTCTGCAGACTTCCCAGGCCTGAAAACATGTAGGAAAACACTTAGATTTTGGCAACCCTATTACCTTTAACAAGCTAAAATCAGTATCCATATTCTCTAAACTATTTTCTATATGTATCCTTTGGTACTGACAAGGAGAGTTTGTTTATCCATCAAAGCTTCATAGGTTGGTGATAATCTCCTTAATTCTCATGATCTTAGTGAATAACTCAGCAGTATTACTATGAGCAGAATTAGGTGCTGGTTACTCTTATTCTTTAAAGGGTTAACAGGTTGTTGTTTCATGTTTATTAGTATGAAAGACTGAGGCAAAGTAATGATGAACTTCATGTGAGACTTGAAGCAGCAGAGCTTCAGACGAGCAGCATATCGAGGGATTACAGGGCACAATTGCACAGTAAAGAGGTAATCAGGGTTTAGGTTATATGGTTTTAACTATCAACCTGTTTTGACGCAGATGGTGTTTTGAACAAGAAAAAATTTGGAAACTGAAACTGAATTTGCATACTAAGAAACATTTGGTAAGCTTTTAGCTTTTAAAAAGTTGAATTCAAGTCTGAGACTGAGATAAAGTAAATTTGATTGGTTTTAATATTTCCCATCTGTTTGGCACTATGCACTGGGAAACTTTTTACAATAACTCTGAATCTAGAAAGTGGCGTACAAATGTCCTATGCACCCAGAGAGAGGAGAGACAGTTATAATCAGTATGCATTTGAAATATTTTTTTGTGTAACAGGGAAGTAATTGCACAATCTTTGTTTCACCTCTTACATGCCTTTCTTAGTTCTTTTTGTTCTGATTGAACAGGAAGAATTAATAAAATTGAGAGAACTCAGAAGATTTCATGAGGAAAATGGCCATAATCTTGGAGGTAGAGAGAGGCATGACTCTACTGACAGTATTGAAGATTCCATGGAGACAAAAAGATTACATAGTGAGATCTCAAAACTGCAAGCTGAATGCCAACACTGGAAATCCATAGCAAATGGAGTGGTAAGTGGGAAGAGGAAAGAAAAACAGAGGCTTCATGACATCAATGTTTACCTGCCATGATCTGATCAAAAATTCTCCATTCCCACTGCCACACTACATTTCCTTGTTTATGAGACAGGAGAATTTGATGGTATATCAAATTATTATCCTCAAGCAAGAATGTCATATTGAAACTTCACATCTGGAATTGAAGTCAACCTCTTAACCCTTCTGCTTCTAGAAGTGATTAACATGTAACTTCTCCTTGCAATTCCAATAAGTTATGTTGTGAAAAGGTAATGAAAACAGATTAGTTCAATAGGCAGGAAGGTCATATTTTGGAATGAGTCCAAATTCTCCTGTGTTATTTGCAAGGGAAAGTATGACAGTAAGTATGGAGAATTGCCAATTGGATTGAGGGAGTTACAGGTTAACTAAACAGTGCATGATCTTAGTGACGTAATATATAGTTGTATGATTTTTTATGATTTTTTTAATGATTTGATGATGTATGCAAAGTAATTTTTTATGTTCCCATTTTTCTTCCATTTTGAATACATTCTTGTTTGTACATTTCATGTAACAGGAGAATCAGGATAGACTGCACAAAGAAATAGATCAGTATCAACACGAATTGACAGCATTGCAGAGTAGCTACTCACAAAAGATTGCCAATCTGAACAAAAAGCATAAACAAGAATTACAAAACTGGCAGGATGAGAAAGAAGAATTTTTACGAAGGATTGAAGAGTTGGAAGAGAGCCCTCTTAAGTACAGTGGTATGTTTGTTTTGAATGTTTAGGGTCCACTTGTGATCCAGAGTCTGTCATAGCTTTCATTGATACATCTTGGTCAGTGAAGGTGTGAGGTTCATGCTGTTTGTTCAGGATTGATTTTCTGAAATTTAAAAGAATTGAAATAAGGTTATTCACCAATCTGGTGATCTTCAAAACTGATCATGCATTATGCTTTTATGGTGCTTTCAATGCAAACATTCAACAAGTATTCTTATAATGCACTGTTTAATTTCCTTTTTCTTTCAGAAACTGAGAGTTTTGATCATTTGGAGAAGGATTTTGATCAAACAAATGACAACACAGATGTAGTGTTGTCTCTAAAGAAACAGTTAGCCACTGCAGAGGAGTTCATTGCTGAACTTGAAAACCAGATTAAAACTCAAGAGCAGCAGATAAATGCTTTGAATATCCAAGTCCAAGACAAAGAACAAGCTATTTTGACAATGCAAAAGGATTTCACTGACTTGCAAACTAAACTGCAAGATGCAGGTTCAGTGCATGATCAAGCTTTGTCTGACTATGAAAGTAAATTAAATCTGAACATGAGTAATGTGGAAAAACTCCAAAAACAGCTGGAAGATCAAAGGAACGAAATGCTGGGTTTGAGATCTGACTCTGAAGGCCTTTGTAAATTACGAGAGGAGCTCAACTTTGTTGCGGCAGAAAATGCAGAATTAAAGAAACAACTAAGCCATAGCTATGCGGAGGAGAGGAGACTTCATCGCTCTGTGGAGGAGGTGAAGTCTGAGCTAGAACAACTCAGTTCTTCAACCATGGATTTAATTGAAGAACTTCAGTTATCTCAGGGTGTTCAACAAGAACAGAGCATTGAACTGGATAATTTGAAGAAGGTGAAATACATCAAAGGAGATGCCAAGAAAGAGATGGGGAAATTAAGGAATGCTCTGGCTGGTAGGTGATAAAATTCTATAAATGCAATTCACCAATAAATCTGTTACAGCAGTGTGCTGTCTTAGATTTACATATACAATGAGTTGGTTTGTAAGGATTCACACACTTTGCTCATGAATAAGTTGTATAAATGTGAGGAAAGATTAGTGTTTGTACTGTGTGTATGATAATAATTACACACACGTGTAAAATACATGTAGAGCTAAGTGATATCCATTTTTTACCTCTGCAGCTCTGTGGGAGCGCCATCTGTGCCTGGTGCAGCTTTACCAGCAGGTCAGACATGAGTTGAACAACAGTAACACGAGGCTATTGGCCGTGTTCCAGGCTCAACATGTAATGCACCTCTCTTAACAGGGTGCTGTGCAGGGGAGAGGGGTGGGGAGCTTTGCTACCTGACTCTAATGTCACTTTTCTTACTCGTTAAATTCTAAATATTTAACTGGAATTTATGCCAGTTAACAAGCTTAGAAAAACCAAATATGAGTGAGCATTTTAGACCTTTCATGTAACTTTGCAACTCTAAGTAAGTACTGACTAACTAGCTAATAACTTTTTTAATTGCTGTTTAACATGATTAAAAATGAAAATGGGCTAGCACAGCTTTAAAATATCTTCTGAAAAGTTTTTGTTTCAAATTATTTGTTGTTTTGGACTTGGAAAAACAAATTCCAAGATTTTCTAGGAATTTTCTTGTCTGATTTGTAGCTTTAGGGTTCGAATATAATGGATAGATTACTATGGTAAAATTCTTATCAAGCAAATCAGTCACTGATACTGCAAACAACAGTACAAGCTTTTTTGCTTTTGTAGTTTCTAGTTAAAAATTGTTCCCTTTTTATTTTTCTAAAATTTGCCGTCTTTTGGTAATACTTCCGCTCACTTTAGTGAGCTTTTTTTCTTTAAGCTTTTTCTTTGCGTTTGCATTTTATCCCCCTCATCTCATGCAAAGTGTCCTGGCACTCATCTTTTCCTGCACAGCCCCCTTAATGTCATACGTGTCTTATGAAGCTTTCATGTCTATTATAATAGATTTTTTCTTCCACATGCTATAGTTAAAACATGCATCATGGCCATTTTGTTAACCCTCACGTAATAGCAAATTAACCAATAGTATTGATATCATAACGCACGATTTCCTCTCACGTCTTGGTCGTAAGGTAATCGGTATGTCTCCAAATTCTGTTTTTGTTATAGATGCTTTCTGGAATGACCTGAGAGTTATGGCTATTAAAACAACAATACCCATAGTACAAATTGCTTTTAACAAAGACATCAGTTGCTGTTCGTTTTTTAGTTCTTTATATATTCCTTGTTTTATGTTTTGTGTTTTTTTGGAAAACGATGACAACAGTTCATAACTTTGTACAGAATCAAAGGAATTTTCTTTCTTAAACGTTTTATCTGCGCATTTTATATTTTTAAGCTAATGATGATATGCTTTTCATATCAACAGCTCAGCACTAACAGTGTCCGTGATGACCTGAAAGTCCTTCAACAAAGACTGGAAGATCGTAACCAGGCTAAACTGGATCATATCGAGAAAGAGAAGGAAGCCATGATGAGCAAATCAACGGAGCTTCGAGTTGCGGTAGAGGAATTAGAAGGTGGTGTAATGGACCTGCAATCAGACAATGAACAGGTGGCACAAGAAACGAAATACTGTGTCACTGAGATAGGAAGGCAACAGGGGATTGATGAAGATGAAAGAAACGACATTGTGAGATCACTGATGGCTGAGAAAGCTGTTTTGGAGAGCGCTATTGTCGGGCTGCAGCAGAAGCTTCAAGATCAACGAGAGTGTTTCGATTCAACGCAGAATAAGATTAACGAGGGCGTCGATGGTGTGGACAGCAGGTCAGGCTCGGCCGAGAGTGTGGCCAGTTACACAGGTAGCACACCACGTGACCCTGAATTATCCATTGATATGGGAGATCTCAGGAGAATTAGCGACACCTCCTTTGAGCCTGAGATAAGGCAGGAAACTGAGGTATTACAGGAAACTGCCGTCCTCTCAGGTAACGAGATCGCAGTCAGCCAGGAATTAGCGCTTTCTGAGCTGAAGCAACAGCTCCAAGATTACCGACAGCAGTTGGAAGAGTTCGAATTGGCCCAAAAGGATTGGGAAGGAGAAAAGGATGCTCTTGAAGGCCTGGTGTTGAGTCTTAGGCGCCAGGTAAAGGAGTTGCAAGTATTCTTGGGTAACAGCCACGATGAAGAGGAAATTTCGCGACTTCGACAAGAAAACGATCACATCTCGTCAAAAAACAAGCATCTTGTGGAGGCGTGGCAGATGTTAGAGAAGGAGTTTGTCTCTCTTGACATCAGTAGTTCATCTGCAGGAAATGATTCTGAACTTGATGAGGATCGAATGCAGTTACTACGTGAAGACCTGAATAAATGTGTGGAGAAGTTAAGAGAAGATAACTCTCTTGTACGAGAACAGACAGAGCAACTTATTCAACAAATTGACGAAAAAACATCTATGCTAAATGATTTGCAAAGTAAGCTTGAGGCGAAAAATGATGAAGTTAAAAGCATCTCTGATGAAAAGAGAGATTTGATGATGATGATCAACGAGCGAGACGAGAGAATTTGTGAAATTGAAGAAAGCTTTAATAATCATTTGTTAGACTTGACCAGCTCAAAGGATAATGAGATGAGCCTTCTTCAAACAGAGCAAGAAGATTTGGTTAAACTCTTGGAAGAAACTCGACAAGAATGCTCCTTACTCCGAGGCAAGAATAACGAGTTGCTTGATATCATGGGACAGAATCAACAAAGTCAACTTGAATCTACCGAGGAGAAAAAAGGTTTAGAGTTGTTATTAACTGAAAAGGGCAAACAACTCAAGAACGTACAAGAAGAAAGAGAAAATTTCGAAAGAATGGTCCAAGAAAAAGAAAAACGAATTGAGTCGCTGGTTGCTGAGAACAACAGTATGTTAATGGAAAAAGAAGTTCTGCAAAGTTTAATTGAAGAATACAAAGAGAAGGCAAAAGTTCAGGAAAAACAGACCACAGAGAGATCTAACCTTGTAAAGGAAATTGAGCAGCTAAATCATAAAATTCAAATGACCGAGGCCAGATGTAGCGACCTGGATGGAAAACAAATGGTTCTTTTGCGAGAAAAGGAAAATCTAGAACTCGAACTTCAACAGAGCGGTGCGAAGGTGGACAAACTTAATTCTGAACTCAAAGAGACGTCTGCAGAGATTGAAGTGTTGAAAGAAGAGAAGAGCAAGGTTGTTGTGGCGGCTGAAAGTCATTTCAAGAGTTTTAAGGAGTTAGAGGAGAAATTGTTGGTGAGCATCGCAGAGAAGGAAGAAATATCCAAACAACTGGGATTTAAAGACTTACAGGTCGATAAGCTGGAACTTGATCTAAGAGAAAAAGGGGCTGACATAGATCTGCTTAAGTTAGACTTGGCAAAGTTGTCCAAAGCACTGAAAGAGAAGGAGCAGGTCATTCATACTCAAGTCGTAAATGCTTCAAACGCTGGAGCGCAAGGCGTTGATGATGCAATGTATCGACAGGCGCAGCTTTTGAGGCTACTGGAGGAGAAAGATCAGGAAATAACAGCTCTGAAACAGAAGGACGCTTCTTTGATTGAACTTGTGAATCAAACGGATCAGAACAATCATCAGGTACGAGAGGCATATGAAGGCAAGCTACAACAACTCAGGGAGGAGAGGGATAGGTTGTTAGATGACTTGAATCTGCGTAATGAAGAGCTATTGACTTTTGAAGACAAACTTGACGCCATGAGAGAAAAAATGAATAGTAAAGATCAAGCTTCACACTTACTGCACAATGAGCATGCGCGACTGCTTGCTTTGAACGAGTCTCAAGCGAATGAGATGGGGAAACTGAGAGAGAGGAACTCAGCGCTGCAAAAACTTGTTGAAGAGTACAGCAGGAGTAGAAGTAGTGAGCAGCAACGATTGCTCGAGGACAACGACCAGCTAAGACGTCAAATACACGGGCTGCAAGTTGAACACGAAACTTTAACAACTCTTGTTCAAGAGAAAGACAAACAGATTTCCACTCTAGCGCTGTTGGGGAGGACAGACTCTTCAGAACCATCCCCACAAGGGATGGAACCACAGTTGAGGAGACTTCGGGAAGAGAGAGAGGTGTTATTACGAGAAAGAGACTCAGCATTAAAAGAAAAAGAGCTGAAAGACTTTGAAATATCAAAGCTACATGAAGATCAGCTATCTGCGAGTCAAACATTTGAAGAGAAATGTCATTTAGCGGACAAATTGCTGGCTGACAATGAGGATCTCTCTAGACAGTTGGTCAATCTACGATCAGAACTGAGTGAACTCTCCCTGGAAAAATCAAATTTAGTAAGGAGTGACAACAGATTGAAAGAATTAGAAGAACAGATAAATTCGTTTAGGAATGTTGTAGAGTCCAAGGACAGAGAACTAAAACAAGTTCTAGAGAACAGTCGAAATGAAAAAAGCTCCATTTTAGTTGATCTAGAAAACGTCAAAAGCGAAAGAGACGATATTCTTGAACAGAAATATCTTGAAACACGCGAGTTGAAAAACAAAATTTTACAGCTTGTACGCTCGGTAACAGACTCTGAAAGCAATGAGGAGGAATATGTTGACAACATCGACATTAATTTTCAATCATTGCTTCATACAGTAAAAAACCAACGGAACAGCGCTCTCAGGGAACGAGATAATGAAATTCAATCTTTGCGGGAACAGCTTTCGAATGTGACATTGCTAAACAAAACCACTGAGACTCATGGATCAGAGTTAGAGCATGTATTGCGTGACAAAGAAGAGTTACACAGGATGTTGTTACAGTCACGCAATGAGAAGGAAGACTTGTTGCGCGAGAACGAGTCGACTGTAGCAGAATTACAAGATCAGATCGTGAGTCTCAGTCGAGCGGTTAGCGAAAAGGACCGTTCATCACATCAAGACTTACAGCGGGTAATCCAAGAGAAAGAACGTATTGTAAATGAGCTAGAGCAAGCACAGAGAGATAGAGAAGAGGTAAGTAATGCCAAAACACAACAGCAAGGTGAGATAAACAGACTACAAGCTGAGCTGCACGATCTTAAAGGTGTTCTTACTCAAGAGCGAGCGACCACTACCACTCTTCACAGAGAGGTGGATCAATACAAGATGGCGATGCAGGAGAAAGAGAGGATTGTCAAGCACTTAACGGTTGAGAGGGAACAGCTACAGAGGACACAGGAGAAATTGCAATTCCGCATTCAGCAACTTCAAGAGGAACTGACTGCTGCTAGTAGTGGACAGAAGGTGGCTGAAACTAAGATGGCTCAGGAATTGAACCGCCTCAGAAATCACCTGGTACAGGTATGGCAAACCTCCCCCTTCCCCCCCCCCTCCGTGAAATACGATATGGTCCATCGTGGAAACGAATGTCCACACTCGAAGAGAGTTTCGCGGTGAACTCAATAAGGTCACAAAAATGCATTGGTTCTCATTCGTAGATTTGTGCGGGAATAGATCATCTCCTTTAACTGTCGGTTTTTTTAGCCTGTCAGATACACCTAAAGTTTAAAATAAGTTGTATCAGACTTGATAAGCAATTTGTCACTCGCTTTCAGGTTGAAGAGAGCTACACACGCGAGGCCCTCGAGGCCGAGGAGCGAGAAAAGGACCTGAGGATGAAGTTGGCTCGTGCAGAAGAACAGTTGTTGTCAAGTTCACATTCCATGCTGGACAGAGAGTAAGACACAACGCATAATAATGCGAAATACAATCCACTTTTACTAATAGTTGCGTCTGTGGTAATGATTGACTTACTCTGTTAGTTCAAGTGCAAGAAACCAAACTGAACAGGCCGAAACAGACGTTAAAAAAATGTCGTCAGCTACTCAGAAATAGAACAAAGTACTAAACGATCAACTAACCATCAAAACAAATGGTTTGAAACCGAAAGAGAAGTGAATCAATATTTTTAAGGGTGATGCTCCAACCGTAAGAGCCTTACTAGGTCTGAGCGTTCGCAAGGGGAACGCAGAACACTATATGGGATTTCCGAAGTATAAATTGTCACACAGCACTCTCAGAGTGTAAAAAGGGGAAATCTGATCCGGTATTTTGACAACTGGTTTTGATTAAAGCTTCTGTGACATTTTTTTAGTCGTCAAGCGTCTGTGCAGATTGAAAGCCTCCAAGAACAGCTCCAGGTCATAGCAGCTCAACGTGACCGTGCGGTCATGGATCTAGCCTCGGTTCAGGAGCAGGCACATCAGTACCAGACCGCTCTCAACAACCTACAGCTTGTTCTTGAACAGTTCCAAAGAGGTAGGATTTCTATTTAAACAGTGTAGATTGTGGTGTTGGTACTTGTTGTTAACGCACAGGTTTTTATTGTTCCATCTAGAGCGCGAATCTCAACTGAGAGCTACCCAAGAAGAGGCTCAGAAACGAGTAGACGATGCCTGGGCACAAGTTAAAGAGCTGCAGCAGAGAGAAAATCATCTGAAGGTGCGCAGGGTTAGCCGGGAAGAATTGTTTTCAATTGATAGGTGTGCATGGCAGCTCTCAAATGGTTTTTTCTTTCTTTCTTTCTTTCTTAGAGTCAGTTAGAAATGGCTGCTCGTATAACGCAAGAAGTGGTGAACATCCGAAACCAACTGAAAGCCAAAGATGAGGAACTACTTCATTCTAAGGAAGAGGGTTTGTTTCATTATTTTTCAAGGTTGCGCGGTTTTGCGCAATCTTTTTTTTATCGGCTCTCGAAGGTTATCCAGAATTGGATCAGTTTTGCCTCGATGCGCTCAGTTATTGGTTCAGAAAACTCGCGCAATACTCAGCCAGTTAGATAAAAACTCCAACCTACCAACTAATCGCAACTCGGTCACTACCGTGTTTTTCCCGAGCTTCACGCAGTTTGCTTGCTTTTGCTTTGTGATATGAAACGTTCCTTGTGATATTCTCTTTTAGTCTGATGTGCTGTAGTGATTACATCGGTTTTGGTTTTGCGATAATCAAATAAAATTTGCTTTAGAACCGATGGGTTCTTGGCCTCTATCAGCTGATTTCTTATTGTTATCATTTCGATAGTTACCCGACTGGAAGAAGAATTACGTGTCGCTCATGAGAGAATCAACAGCCTAAACAGCTTGTCAGACGGCAAAGTTGAGAAGTGAGTATACAGAAAACTGATTCATTTTTCTCTCATTTAGTCCCGCCTTATTTGGAGACATATTCTGCTCTCTGTTGCTAATGGACTAATTGTCTTCAATGTGTGAATTCTTTCTCGCTCTCTTTCCATAGATCGCTGGTGAAAAACATGCTGATGGGATATTTTAATACACCGGAAAACAAACGAATGGATGTTGTACGAGTCATTGGAGGTTTGCTTGGCTTCACACACGAGGAGCTGGATAAGGTATCACCATGTAGCTCGTGTGTGTTATATTGTCGTAGTTTTTCGATGTTTTAGTTCTTTTGTTTTTCCTTTTTATCAGGTCGGGACTGGATCCTCACCTCCCACAGGATCATGGATCTCCAACTTAATTCCGTTCGGTCCCAGTGCCCCCAAGACTCCCACAAGGACAACCGCCTCGGCACCAAAGGTATGAAAGAGAAATTATGCACCTTAGTGGACTCAATTCTTGTCATTACAGCTGGAAACAGAAGTAGTACTTGACTTATACGGTGCTTCACTACACACTATGAAATTTTTTTGTTTTCAGTCGTTTTCAGAGTTGTTTGTAAGTTTCCTGGAGAGTGAGTCTGAAGTGCCTCGTTCCAGTGGTGAGGCAAGCGGACGAGTGACCAATCCTCTTCTGTCTGGTATGACACCACAGCAATCTACAGCTAGTCACGTGCCAAGAGGGCTACCAATGGCAACTTCGACTCCTATTGGTACCCCATCCAGAGGTAACGCACCTCCCCTCCCACAGTCTGCTGTGTCACGTCCTACTTTTTCAGCACCCGGCGAGGGTGTAACGAGGTAAGTTATTCAGGAAATGAAATAGGTAAATACATCTGATGAACCAAACAAATGAATATAAGACAATGTAGAAGTGGCACGCCCACACAGTGACTGTATCCACTCTTTCTTGGTGAAAATGAATTGTTGGTTTCTATGGAAAGTTGAAAACCGGGGAATCCAGAACAAAACCTTCGGAGCAGGGTCAGGAACCGTCATGCCTACAGAAATATTGCGAACTTGTAGCGAATTTTTCACAAACCTTACTCAGGCCATTAAGTAGTTGTAAGAGCCATTCGGTTTTCATAAGTGACAGAGTCTTTATCTCTCTATCTCACAGAGCTAATACGTCAGTGACCAGTGGGAACCCTGTGCTTGTGGGTTCACTCCCACCCGTCCAAGCTAATTCGTCAGGCACCAATGGGAACCCTTTACTTGTGGGCTCACTCACACCTGTACAAAATCTGCCAGCCCTCAGTGGGTCCAGCTCTTTACGGACCCTACTTGAGGGACGGACGTAGTATAATGAAGTCGCCGCACAATAACGTCACAGCGTCGCTATTGTTAAAATCCGCTGATACGAGACGTGTTGGCCTTTAAAATGAGTCGAGTTGACTACAAGTCTTCTGAAACCACTCTAATTAGATATTAATCCCTACGTCGAACCATATTTCCGACAAGTCTAGGACCTCTTGGTCGAGAAAGAATAATTAATTATACATTTAGTTTTTAGGTAGCGTATTGAATCTACATTCTGAGAATGCCTATTGGGTTTTCCCAGTTTCGAGTTCAATAATCAAAATAAAAAAAGATGCGGTGAATATTATGGTGCTTTTGTTTCACTATTTCACGTCACTAAGTTGCATACTCTATAATTAGGTGAATTGGCCACCGTAAAGAGTTTCAAAAGCCGACGTTTCGAGCGTTAGCCCTTCGTCAGAGCGAATGGAATCCACACACGCAACCCACAATTCCTCCATTTGCTCTGACGAAGGGCTAACGCTTGAAACGTCAGCTTTTGAAACTCTTTACGGTGGCCAATTTACGTTACCAACTCAGTTAATAAAAAAAAAACACCATCTCCACACAACCTTAAAAATTCCCATAAATTTTCCAAGTTCCGTGGGTGTTTTTTACTGATTAAATTTATAGAAAACAAACTTTATCCTCGACTGTAGATCATAAATCATTTATTTACATTTCAGAATATAATAACATAAAAACAGCGACACCGTTTAAGAAAAACGGTACAGTATATACAGAATAAAACTACTTGTTGAAATCATTTCCTACTAAAAATATTGGTGCAACGATGATTAATTGGTCTACCATACTGTACCATCATTGTAATCAGTAAACAAGGCCATTGAATTATTTACATGATTTCTGATACACTAGAGGTTAAATGGATATCCACACCCGATTATTACCGTCGCACATCTATCGAAGCATCACGGCATGTTTTCTTTCATAAACCTCTGTAGTGCGTTCAGCCGCGCATCAATTTCCATCATTTCCGCTGACCTGTTCAGGGACTCGTTTCCAATGTCTTCAGGAAAAATAGAGAAAGTTAACATGTGTTCGCGCTGAATCCGAATCAAATTCAAGGGGAGTAAATTCAAATTACCATGCACCATTTACAGCCACTGAACTTAACACTTACCTCGAAATGGCGAGCCTCGATGATGACGCTTCTCAGACGCTCTGGAGTGTGAAAGACTATTCTCAGGAGTACTGGAATAACTGCAAAAACGTCAAGGAATAATAATGAAGAAAAAAATAATGGAATACTGAGGCCTGCAGGTAAAGGGAAAGTGGCCACGATGAACACTTTTCGCTGAAGTGCCCCAGTATCAAAGTAATGAGCAAAGGTAAATATAACGAGAGGCCAAGGAATGTGAAAAAGGGCGGGGAACTGACGCGGGTGACCAAGTCGTGAATGACCGACTGCTAACAGGAAACTGGTCGTATTAATAAACAAAAGGATACGGAACTTTGCCCACTTTCACTGCCGTTCCTCGCTCCTGAAACAGAACAAACTAAATTAACAAAAACCTCCACTTCATTGTCAAGATTCAAAAGAAACAAACTGAATCTAACAAGAACGAAATTAGGCCTCGCATACTATATCTGAGTCCCCAGGGCTGTACCACGAGTTTTTCTTTGCAACAGCTCTCGTCTTCCCTGTTGAACTGTTACTGGGCCTGGAACAGAAAACAAACAACTGCGAATAACTTAATGAGCCATGAAAAATGTAGTCGGCCGGCCTTGCCTTATTCGACCCGCCTGATTCAACAACCTTGTAATCAGCTCCTCGGCTGGGAGCTTGTCAATCAATCCCAAATAGTGAAGGAATTTCAAATTTGAGCAACAAGTAGCAAAGCTTTATTCCATTTGGCCAACCTCAAAGAGTTATGCGATGCAATGGGTTGGTAGATGGAGAATGGCACCCAGCGACATGCGAAGCAATGCCCTTGGAAGCGCCAATGCTTTTTAACATTTGTTCCAATCTAACATGCAACATGCGATCGTAAATTGCAAAGATACCATTATTGCTATCCAGACCTGGTTCTTGGCCGTCGTGGTAGCGCATGCTCCATGTCATCAGACATGTAATCCTTCTCTAACGAAGACTGGGACGATCGCCTTGTTCCCAGGCTCCCGTTGGACGATGTTCTTTTTCTACCACCTGAATGGAACAGAAGACAGTTCCGATTCAGTAACTGGACTTGTCGTGTGATTAACTGACTAACTGACTGTCACGTCACGTCTGACTGGCTAACTGGCTCATTTTTGCTTACGTTCCACTTTCGCGTAATGTTTAAGATATAGCATATTATGAGCCTAATGTATCGCGTAACTTTTCCTACTGCCTAGAAGTAATTCTAAGTTATTGACTCGTGATCCTGTAAACTACCTCTTAACCAGTTGACTATACCTGACGACCAGGCGCTGGGATTCTTCGTTCCTGAACTGGGGCCTTTGCGAGGTAAACGATCTGCCGATAGGGACCTTGATCGAGCTCTTTTCGCAGATCCGCTGGAAAGCGATCTTTTTCTCCTACGTAATGGAATAATGAAAGGGTCATTGAGTCTTGCAAGACAGTTCAGTGGGACAATCAGCTACACTCTCTTAATTACCGTCAATAAAATCCATTCCATGCTTGCTATCTCTTAATTTTTTTGTATTATCGTGTTATTTGTTCGATCACTTTAACTCATTCAATCCGACCTTACTCATTCAATGAGCATTATATTATATGGATAACACCCTTCCATCTTCCTTTCTTGTCCGCTCTTTTAGCTCGCATCTCGGAAGGGGAATGCGCGGGCCTGCTTGCGTAGATCGCGTACAGCCCATATTCGAGTAAGTTTTCCTATCATGTTATACATTAAAAGCCTACTCGCATCTGTACGGGTCATAAGATAAAATCAAATGATCAAAATATTCTGCTTACAGCAATAACAATAAACTGTTTACAGATCTTATACTTTCTCCCACATTATTGCCAAGAACTCGAGCGAACTAGAAGGTGCCTAATATTTAAAGAACGCGAGCGCAAAAGGGGTGATGAGGGAGAAAAAAAAACCGGCCTATGCGCATTTAGGGGCAATTAAATTCCCAGTCTCCGCACAAATGAAACATTTTATTGCATTTACTTTTTATTGCTTGGTCATTCGCTCTGACGAAGAGCTGAAGCTCAAAACGTCAACTTTAGAAACAATTTACGGTGGCCAATTTACGTTATCAACTCAGTTGATAACAGTACGTTATCATGTTATACCCCACCGACGCAGCACCATAGCTTTGTTTTTCAGAAACTAACCCCCTTTACATAAAAATGAACCTCGTTTGGTCTTAGTTTCTCCTAACAAAGTTACAAAGTAAACTTGAGTGACCTTACCCTCTGGCTTCGTCCGCCTCCTTCTGTTTCCTTTGTTTTTCTTTCACATATCTTTTTATTAGTTAAGGAAACTTTTTTAATTATTCAGTGAGGCCCTGCTGAGGATTTCTTGTAGTATTCCAAGGGTCTTTTTTTTTTTAAAGTTTGGTTAAGGCTCTGGTAATTGTGGTCTTCCAATGCAACTTGGCCCTATGCCCAGTTTAACCGACACTCACAAACATCTAACTACACAAAACTCTTAAAGAAAAAGCATTCTTTGGTGAGGAATCGTAAATCCTCTGCCCGCACGCTGTTTTAACGTTATTCCCGGAAGAGGATGTCTAATAAGACTTTCATTCTGTAACGGCTCAGTTTACCCCTCTTCACAAGTCCTCTTTTAGCTCAGTGGTTGAGCATTGGATTGCGAAATCCGAAGATCTGAGGTTCGGTTGGGGAAATCATATTTATGTTCTTTGCCTAGCAGACGAGACAAAACAGATACCATCGTTTTACATTCGAAGACCGAGCCGGAAATTCACCATTTTTCTCCTTTTATTAAAGAACAGTCTAATGAGAAAAAGGATACGCTGTGGGGTCAAACCGAGGAAGTCTGCCACCTAAGGAAAAAAAGATACATCAGCGAAAGGCTCACAGCCTGACTGGACCTCAGAAACTACACGAAAACTAACCAGCTGGTGAAGGTGTTCTACTGCGCATGCCGGATGATAGCTTTGACGGTGGTCTCCTTTCCTGGGAGATAGATCTCCGTGGTGCCCGGCCTCTTCTTGTTGCAGAGCCACTTGTTTGGGCTGGTGATGGCCTAGGACTAAGCAACAGCAAAAACCATTACACAGGTCTTCATGAATAAAACCTAACTCAAGGACGATTTTGACACATTTTTCTGTAACAGTTTCACCATTTACTGATAATCTCGAGTCAAAAAAGGCTTAAGGGGAGATATTATGGTTGTATCTCTGCCCAAGATGGCATAGACTGTAGTAACAAAGCATTTCCCTTGTTTGTGAGAGATCTAAAATAAAAATACCCAGATAACACTCACCCTCGTTTTAACACAGCAAGTTCATTTGTTAAACTTCTACATCTTGCTCTTAAATTTCGCTCATTAGCACGGATTTCCTCCAGCTGCACATGAAAATTAAAATAATAGCTGTGAGCAACAAAACTTCACCAACAAAGAAAAACTTAACTGATATATATGCTAAATATTTGGATATCAACCTTTCCGGTCAATCCAGTTTGTAATGAAATCACCTCAACAATGCAGATGCAGACTTCTACTTTAGAATTCTACAAGTTCAAACTATTGATAAAAAATAACCTTGATATTAGGAGAGAGATTTATGTAACTCACCTCTTCAACAATATTCCTGTGTTCTTCATTCTTCTTATTTATTGTTCTCTGGTATTTGTTTTTTTCTTTCATCAGTTCACTCTACAGAAAAAACATTGATAAGTGACAAACTGAGACCCAACCCTTCTCAACCCACTGCGATTCATTCCTATGCAAGTGTGATAAAGAAACCTTGTTTAACCAAGTTATTTGTCTGATTTGGTAAAATAACAAAATCTAGTTTTCCCCTCTGTAAGGAAACTTAGAAAACCTTTAAATTCTTCTCTTGAGAATCCACTTGGTAAAAGTGAAAGTTATCTTCATGAAACAGACACTGATTGAGGAGCAACTGGACAGTAAGAATTACAGAGTACATAGCAATGGAAAGTTTGCAGAAACATTTTAAAATTCATCTGTAAACTGTACTCAATTTATTACTGTTTTTTCTTACCTCCAGATTCTGTACAACTTTTTTTAAGACTCTTATTTCCTTAGCTGTGTTTGCCTTTGAGGTGTGCTTTACTTCCCTTTGAAATGCCTCAAACTGTTTTTGTATTTCCAACTTTTCCTTGGTTAACTTGTCATTCCTAAAAGATCACAATACATTAGAACTCCAACATGTTTCAGTACAAGGTTGAAATAAGATAGCTGAACAAGGTATCCTATGTATTGTAAGTTAAAAAATCATGTAGGATTCTGTAAGATCCTACCATTCTTAATGGGCAAAAACCCACCCTCTATAAAAAAATACCGGTAGGTTCGATTTCTGCCTCTCTCTCAAGTCTGGCCTTTGTTTCTCCTTGAGAAGAAATTTCTCCTTAGACCCTTTTATTCCCAAGATTTCAAATAAATTCTCCTTATGGTCTAAAAACTTTATTGCTTGAGTTACATGTAAGCAGCTTTCTAGGACTTTCCAGGACCTGAAGTCTTTTTCTGGGATTCACCAGTCCTGGAAAATGTCAAAAGAAAATTCTGGAACTTTCCAGGTTTTTCAGGACCCATACAAACCCTGTTTACAATTGTAATATCTCTTGAATAGTTCGTCTCTTGTACTTGCATAACTCACCTCTTAAATGACCCCAGTCCCACCCTTCTCCAATGAGCCCCTCTCCCTAACTAAACCTCTTTAGAAGCAGTTAAAGTAACTAGGACTTACAGAAGCTTATCTGATTACTGTTACAATATAAGAGCCTACATCAGATTCAGTGTTCTCTTTTTTAGGCAATTAGCATTAAAATTTACCTCTGTATTACCTCTTATCACAGCCTTAAATTGTTTAAAATTCTTGAAATTTAACAGGTAAGAGGATTGCACTGCACACTGTAGATTCAAATAAAAAGAAAAGGGGTGCAAACTCCATACCACTCTACTTACTCCTTTTGAAGATGTGTCAGTGCTGCAGTTCTTGAGCCTTTGATAAGCTGCAAAGAAACAAGTATTCAACTAAGACACCTTGCTCTTGGCCAAGAGATACTCCACTAAGATCGAATGTTACCTGCTCTTTCAGACCTAGGTTTTCTTCTCTTAGTTTTCTTATTGTTTCCTGTAACTGCACTGGATCTGGTTTTCCCACATATGGTAAAGGAAGAGGGTAATGTATTCTGAAAGTAAAGTTGTGACAGATATTAAATCTCATTTCCATTCTAATTTAAGAGCAACAGTGGAAGGGAGGGAGCAGTCAGATGACTGAATGACGGTGTTGAATCTTTGAGTCTTAAAGACATATTATTCTGAATAGTCTTGACATTCATACTTTACTTGCAAGACCAAAGAAGTTTCTCTATAGAACTTCCCCTATTACAACTTGTCCAAAGCAAATTTGTTTATGGCTCTTAAATTTGATTGCAATCCCCCTCCCCCTCCCATCTGATAGAAAAAGAGCAGAGAAGATGGAGCAAAACACTCTTATTTACATTGCCTATCCCTTTAAAAATTATCCTCCCTTGTCACAGTAACAACAACCCACTTCTAACCTGTCAAACTCCACTGTATATGTCATAATGAGATATCTCTTGGAGTGCAGTTGTGATCTTGTTTTTGCACCAGGTATGTGCTGGGTTCCATATCCAGTTCTGTGATGTTGTTGATTTCGAAGTGATTCAAGGTCACCATATGTCAAAAGGTCCACAGATACTGAATTACTACCCTGTAAAATACGATTATCAACAAGTTGAGCAGGAGAGGAGTAAATCGTAGGATTCATTCAAATCTACCTGGCCACTTTCAAGATAGTATCATACTTTTAAATTATTTCTAGTTCGGACCATAGATGTCAGTTGGAGCCAGCAGGTCAAGCATATCTTCATTGCCTCTTTTTAAAAATCTGATATCCGACCTTTGAATCAGTCAGTCATGGCCTCAATCAAATCTACAATAACCTCCATATCTCATCCTGGTGATCAAAATGTGTTAAACTATGAGCTGTCCCTCCTACTCAGGAAAGTTTGTTATGCAAGTCCAAATAGAAAAGTGGGAAAAGATGGTAGTTAGCGGGCTGCAAGGAACTCTGTTTTAATTCCAGATTTCTGCACAGTGTGCTGCTTACCACTTTCCTTTTTTAATTTTTCACTGATTTTTTTGGACTTGCTTGACATACTTCGCTGAAAAGGAGGGACTGCTCCTAGTCTAAGAGAGTGCGTGTTGAAAGAATAAAAAGGATTTTATGAGCAGCATTTCAATGTGCAAAAAATAAATATACTTACCTTTGCAAGAGCACTCTCAAGCATATTCACAAAAACTGTAAACTGTTTAAAGTTTCCAGTCTTGTGAGTCAAATCTTCAATATCTGAAAAATAAGCAGCCACTTCACTGTTATAATAACGCACACATTGCTACCCTTCCACTCTTATTCAAAACTAAAATATAAAAGACTTGTAGAAGTCAACACTTTTGCTTTCATGGAATCAAAACCATTAGTCCCTTTCATGATGTCAGCTGTCAACTCTTCAACTCTTCAACTCTTCAACTCTAACATGGAACATAAGTACATAAAGGGGGGAAGTTTCTAAAGAAACTGTGGTGCTGCATTGGTAGGAGAGTATAGCAGGTAATTTAGTGTTAACAACTGAGTTGAAAATGTAAACTAGCCACCGTAAAAGGTAAAAAAGCTGACATTTTGAGTGTTAGCCCTTCGTTAGAGTGAAGAAAAGAAGAAACTAACATGTATTTGAACCTGATTATGAAACAAGCATACGCCAACAATGTTTTAACATATGCAAGTGCCCTAATCACAGTCACTTTTGAAGTTATCTCCTTCTTGTTTGGAGTTCATCATTAGGCAATACATATGATTAATATGAACAAAAGTTTTATCAAAGCAGCCTGCTGAGACATCCATAATTTTGTTTTCAGTAATAGACTATGTTATGAGTTCAGTGAACCTTTGGTTTAATTACAGTACTGTTTAGTTAAAAGCTTATCCTGGTTGACTTTGATAAAAATTTGTAGAGGAAGGTTCAGGGCCATCAGGAACCCAATCAAAGCCGTCAGAGGAGCCATCCTGCCCTACCCTGATCAAAGTCAATTTTAATCAGTTGGTTGAAGTTAATTATCAGTAGGCTTTGAATTTTAAAGGTTGGTTCTTGGTTACTGCATTAGTTTTTAGACTATTTTTGGCATGTAGCCGATTCACTTTTTTATTTGTTAAAACAATTCGTCATTTTCCTTTTCCCTTGATGCGAGGTGTTTAAACATCTACATCAAACATTACAAACACTCTGAATTCCACAATAACGTGTTGTACATTCACTTTCAACTTACATCTAGCGTCAAATTGTCCTCTCCATTGATCAGATGTAAGTCTGTCTTCTACTTCAAGGATAAATGTTTCTTTATCGCTGTCTATCATGAGGGTTACAACGTATTCTATTCCGCGGAACACATGTCTAAAGCTGCCCACTGATGGATCAAGAGCTTCTGACCTCACGCTCGAATTCATTGCTGATGGAAGTTGAACTCAACGTTTCTTAATCGTACCAACTGTAATAAATGCAAGTTAACACATTGCTTAGGAGTGTTATTAAGCAGCTACACGGAGAAAAAGCGAGTACGAATAGTTCAAAACTTGCATCTTCCAAGATTTAGTTTGTATTTAGCGGGCTAACACGTTTTAACGGCCATTACAATCCCACATAACATTGCAGCAAGACTCTATGAAGGAGTGGTTACAAAGTAAGATGGCGGCTGAACTGACCATGTAAGCGAATGTTAGCCGGTTTGCTTCGTAATTCCTCGTCTTTTGATAAAAAATGCCAGCTCCAACCGGAGAAGAAAGAAAGAAATGTCACGCGGCGCGAGATAGCTATTTCGCTTGCCTGAAGTCAAATGGAAACGAAGAATCCGCGTGTGCAAAGGAGAAAGATCAGTACACCGCGGTTTGTCCTGCAGCATGGGTAAGTGCATTTTAAACCGTCACTTTCCGCTGCGGTTTGTGCAATTATTATTATTTTCCTTAAGACTACAGTACAGTTCCCCATTCAATCTAAAAATAGGCATTAATAGGGATCTCAAATCTGAAAAATTTAGATCAGAACCTCACGAATGTGTCGGACTGATCGGTAAGCATGAACAAAAATGTTCAATCAGTGGACAACAGTCCCTCTATTCTGACTCGGTCCTTATGGCACATGAAAGAGGATTTTAAGTCTCTTATCGAGGAACTTTAGACACGGTAAACTATGTTTGTGTGGAAAAAATTCCCAAACCAACCGAGGCGCAGATTGTCTCTAGTTACGTAATAATTGTAACATTACAAATTCGCAAGCTGGCTAGGATTCTTTTTTAATTATATTTTCTTCATATCATCTCTGCTCCTGCAAATTTATTCCTTGTCTCTCCGCTTTTCAGTTTTATTACGTTTTTATTTTCTAGGTGTCTTACTTTGCCAGGAAACGTGTTTACGACGAATATAAAAAGAAATTGAATGAGGAGGGTTTCCTTCCAACGGAAGAACAGCCATCGAAGAGCAAGCAATAACATTCTGTTGTGTACAGAGAACGTAATTGAATCACGAGATACAGAGATGTGCTGTCTGTAGGAAACAAAACAATGCATAAACAAGTGTTGTTTTACAATTTTCGATACAACTGCGAAGAACGACATAAGAAATCCATGACTACTTTTTTTTATTAATCCAAACGATAATCAGCACACGAAACTGTAATTTAGCGAGTCAGTGTACGACTCATCTTGCAATAAAGTCACTTAAGAAGTGAAGAGTTTTTGCTTTTCTTTGTCATCAAATGTATATTTCGGCTGACTTGACTGTGGGCTCAATAATAAAATTGTGATCTTTTTCCAGCATTGACAGATGGTTTGTAATAACAGGTAATCAAACCTGATCAAGGCTTCATTTAGTATTTATTCAAAAACTGTGAGTAAATACAATGATATACATATAGTACAATTGTTGATATCCACAGCAGATCAGAAATGCTCCGCAAGTCTTGGATCGGTCCTGAGTTTTTGTTCCAACTGAACATACTTTTGAGGAGCCAGTTCTTTATGTCTGGAAAAAAGAAAATAGACACATGAGAAATATGAAAGGGGCAGACTAGTCATAATTATGAAGTTGCCGCTAAGAAAAGTGAAAATATCCGAGCTAATGCGGTAATATCATTTTTAGAAAAACGAACAGAAAGTTTACCACGCTATTAAACAAATATAAGGTTTTCCGCCCCTTAGGAGAAGCAGATAAAAGCGCGAGGTGCACGCATGGAAAGGGCGAGGCAAGCACAAACCAAGCGCGTGGTGAGCCCAACGGATGAGACGCGCGAGGAGAGAATAACACCTCTTCTTTCAGTTAGTTTTTTCTTGGCGAGGCCCTCAACCAGACCTTGGGACGTTTTTGTACAGTGTGCAGAGCTGTGTTTGTCGAAGAAAGAAGTAAATTTCCCTATTATAAACAATACGATATTTCTACCCAGCAATTCAACGGAGAGCTTTTCGGCAAGCGCCTAAAATTAAACTTCTTAGCGTTTGATCGTTTGGCCTTATGGTTAAATCTGATTTGAAATTCTTTCATTAACTGTAGATACGATATTCTTGCGCTTTCCTTTAGCGTTGACGTAAGGCACAATCCAAAAAGAGTAAAATCAGGGTTCATTTTGCCTTAGGTTGTAAACGTGTCACGTTCAAATCCGCGAATAATTCCTATTTTAACAAACTCTCGTCCTCGTTTGTATTAATAGTACACTTATATCTCGTTTTTTCGAAAGACAGACAACCGTCGCGATACAATGACCAGGCCTAACAAAAAAGTACACAATGCACTAGGCAGCAATTTAACCTTTGCATAGCGTTACCAGACTTTCAAGCTACAGATACCAGTGAATTTTCGTGGTAGTGGCATTTTGTGCACTGTACTACCTGTTAAGGCGTTGTTCAAGGATATGTATTCTAAACATGGCCTCGCTGCAATAGTTGAGGTATTCTTCTTCGTCTTCTTTTGTCATGGACACTTGATTCTGCTGATACCAACTCTGCTTGCGTTGTAATTCTTGAGTTTCCTGTAGTGAGGTAACGAGAGTCAGGCGGCGAAATTTTTCAAACCCACGAATATGACGCTCTACAATCTTTCATTGATTTGAAATTTAGAATAGATGTTAGTTTTATTTTGTACTGTGTTAGTTCGTGATAACGAGTTAAAAACTAAGAAAAATGAAAATCAAACTGGTTTGCAATATATAAAACGACGTAAAAATTTGCACCACAACATAATTATCCGTGATGACAAATAATAACACAAACATGTAAGGTAAATCTTCAAGATAACTTTCGAGATAGAGTGTTCAGTTCATGATGCGCCAAATCTGCAATATTTTAAGTTATCTTCTAATTTCTTTTTTAGAAGGTACACAAGTATAGCTTGCACAAAAACTCAGATTAAGATTTCCCAAAGGGTGACTCCAGTCAATGTGGTAAAAAAAAAAAAATGAAAGCCAACCTTGCAAATAATTAGGCTTTGATCTTTAACCGAAATTTCAAAACTTTTCAAATCTGGAAACTGACTCACAATTTGGCTTTGACCGTACTAACCTTCTCGAATCTAGCCTGAATGAGGTTTGCTTTGTCAATAAGACGGTGTTTTAGATCCTGTAGGCATTCCTCTTTGAGTTTATAAGCCTCCTGTCGGCTGATGTGCGGTGGATCACCAATCTGTGCCAGGAATGGCGCTAGGTAATCTAACTCAAGTTCATGTTTCTTCATTGCTTCCTCTGCTGCTTTACGTTCCTGGTGCCAGAAAAATGAATCGATTAATCGATCGAATAGTAATGATACTTTGTAAAGACTCCAATGGTTGTTTGTAAAAGCCACCTGTCTGAAACGCGGGAAAACGCAGGTGAAAAATCGCAGTTGGTTTTAGCTTACATCTGATTGGTTGATCTGGCTCAAAAGAGCTGTATTTAGAGTGAATCACCTTACCAGTTCTTGGCGATGCAGCTTGGCTTTTTCGTTTCTCTCTGTATCATACACTGAAACAATCAATTGGGATGCAGCTTCTTCTTTGATTCGGAGCTGGAGAATTTCTTTCACCTTCAAAATTATATGATTTTTAGCACAAACATTCTAAACCGAGTGTATAAAGAAAGTAAAAATCTAGATAGTGGAATATTAAAACAAAACGAATTATGATACCTCTTCTTCTGACGCCCTTATCTGGTTCGTGCTCTGTTCTTCAGCATCCACGAGTTCCACCAACATTTCGTAAACATGGAGGTTTTTATGAGGTTTGATCAGCGGATCCACCTAATGATATAAAAAAAGTTATCCTCTCTTGCATAAAATTAAAGTAAAGGGAATGAGATTGCGTTTATGAGATTACTGTGATCTCGATTTGAAAATACTAAGTAGAAATTGCGCTCTGCTACCTGCCTTTTTTCTTGAAAGCGGACGTGATAGCGCGCTTTTCGATTGAGTATCGTAAATTCAAAAACAAAGTAATTACCAAGACTGAGAGGAGCTTATAATAACTCAAAGAAAACCAAGCAAGCTGCTGAAAGCGCGGGAAAACGCGTGGGACCAATCTCCGATAGGTTTAAGCTGGGATTCTGATTGGTTAACAGGATGGCGCGTATTTTCAGGACCAATCACAGAGCGTGTTAAGAAAAAGCATTCAATCTGGAATCAGTTTTGACATTAGATTGATAATAACTTTAAAACTCACCTGAAAAGTGGTTGTCATATCAGGTGTCATGGTCAGTGTTCCTCCTTTTTCTGTGGTGTGTGGAGGGCGGATGAATTCCCTTGTGGAGGCTGTTACTCTGTTGTCCTCCAAGTGAAATGTCAAGTTAATTCGCTCATCAGAGACGAGGAAAACTCTTTCGGCAACATCTTCGTTTGCTTCTTTAGCTTTGTTGCGGTGAAATCTCTCAACTATTTTCTGTAAAGAAAGAAGAGATAACATTTCCGTTACAGATAAACCATATAATTATATGAGCACCATCTCAAAATTTTTGGTTCTAATGCCCTCAACTGTCCTCGATTTGTATAATAGGTACTGTGTAGCAGCAAAAAGTTCGGGGGAAGCAAAACATTGTGAAGCTTACCGGATTTTTAAAGCATGCAAGTGATTTATCATCAAATACCAAAGAAATTCCGAATAAAGAGGCTTTAGAGGCGACATTTCAAGGGGAATTCCTAAAGGAGGGAAAATTTTCCTCAAAATCTATGATCATCCGAGAACCGAACAAAAGCGAACGCGAGGGGGTGGGCTGAGGAAAAAGAAAATACACATTCTTTGGGTTTTTTTAAAGCAACTGCATTCCTCCTTTCTCCAGAAATGACAATTGTTATTGTGATAGTAGACTTGTAACCACAGGCAAGCTTGCCTCTCGCATCAAAGTCTACAGCCACCTTTCGCGGGATCCACGCTCCGCGCTCTTTCTCGCACACTCGCTCCACGTTTCCTACTCAAACAGCATTTAGTTTTTACAATTGAAAATGTCAGTTGAAACTAGTTTTATCCTACCACAATTGGTCTTGAGTTTGCCTCCTGTGGACCAAACTTTTTCACCCGTTTACCAAAAGTAACCTGTCGATAGTACATGAAGTCGTCTCTATCGACATAACTCTCTGTCATTTCCTCAGGCGATTCTTCACGCTTTACAAGGCCGTCAATTCGCGCACTGAAAAAATATTCCATATTAGTAAGGTTACTTAAAAAAATCGAAATTAGATTTTTAAATTTTTAGCACAAAACTGGACTTCTCTTAAAAATTATGCATATCAAACTATCGAAATTGCTAAGGAACACACTATGGGAAACGAAGACTGACTCCTAATCAGTTTTGGTTGAGCCAATCAATGGTTCTTTCCGGTGATCGGGTTGGTCAGTTTTGTGTAAGTAACCCTAGAAAAATTAGTCGCTCGGTAAGGCTGATTGAAAGTTCTTTTTGCCAAATGAACGTAATTGAAGTTTTTTTGATTAATGCGTTCATACAGCGCCAAACTTTTCACAAACATCCACTTTAAAGGAGAAGTCACGAAATAAAAACAAGATTAACCTGTTATTTTACAGTACCTGCAATAAAATAGCATCGTTCTGTCGGATTCTGGTCCGGGCGAGCTCGCTTTGTAGGTATGTTCTATAATTAAAAAATGTAACTGAATAAGAAACAAAAGGTCACTTCTAAGCTTCAGAGTTCTCCATCCGGGTTAAACTCGGTCAGTCAAGTGTTTCAATGACTATTAAAAGCAAAACAAGTCTATCGGTCAGAACGATTCACCTAATCTTAATAAACGGAATTAAGAACATGTATCTGAACCGAGACTACCGAGGCAATGAAAACCAATCAGATGACAAAACTGAAACATTAGATTCCAACATTTTCTCAGGAATCTGCGGCAGTATCGAAAGTGGTCGGAAAGTCTCTAGGTCCTACAGTAATGTTCAGAAGTCGACGGAACGTTCGGAAATTCGGTTGATAATGAAAACCACACACTTTTGACTTGCAAAAGATGGGCATACTTTTAAGACGAGAACGCATTCTGAATGATTCTCTCGCCCGTACGAACAACAGGGCTGGAGAAAACGCGCAAGGAACAGACTTTTGCTGATGTTATGAACTGTTTCTGACCTTTAAGGCAGTCCAGCCTCCCTGGTGTGAAGAACTCAGTGATTAGTCCGGTGGTCATGTTATGTACTTTTGTCTCCAGCTTATCAACCCTGTGTTTGTAGACTTCTTTTTTCTCAACGAGATCTTTTACTACAACAGCAAAAATAACACAAATTATCGACATGGATTTTGTGGAGTTTTTTTCACGGTTCTTTTTCCTTCGTATCAAAGATAAGGGCAACTATTTTTAATAAAAATCTCCTTTCAACACAATTGACCTTTCATGCTTACAAAAATGCAAAAAAAAAAAATCAAAAGGAAAAACCTCTTGAAACCTGGATACTCACATTCATAATCATTGTAACTTGATAGTGAAGACACCAGACCATCTTTTAACAAATACTCAGCCAATTTTTCTATCTTGGCTTTCTTGTACAACTTGGTTTTCTTTCCATAAGGACACCTGGTTTGAAATTCTAAAATTGAAAAAAAAAAGAGTCATCAGTTTTATCATTCTGGAAGCAACTTGCTCCCTTCCTGTTTGGAGAATTAAAGGAAAATGGGAAAATTAAAAAAAAAATCAAACAGTTAAATTAAAAATATTGTCTTTTAACCATTGTTCTTCCTAAAAGACAAGCAACTTTATTACCTTTGAGTGAAATTTCAATCGGAGAAACCCAAGAAGGAGGCAGATCAAAATCAGATCCATCATCATCATTCTGAAAAACAAAAAAACAAACATTGATTCCAGAATTTTCAATAAACAAATTTTCCATATCAACACACTGAAACTTGAAAGATTTATGCTGCATTCACATCTGTTTTGGTTAAAAAAATCTTGATTAAGTCGTTTTTTGCACCTGTGGACTCATTTTGGATTCATAAAAGCATCTAATTAAATAAAGTAATTCATATTTTTGCTTTGCTATCTCCCCCATAATCTGACCATCTTTAAGTACTTTTACCACCCCCAAGAGTCCAAATATATTTAGTCTGACTATCCCTTTTACCACCATACACAGAATACAGTACCTCTTCATCATCAATGTCAAGAGGATCTGCTTCATCCACAGGAATCATCAACAGAGGTTTATCTGTAGTGGAAAACATGAATTCCCATTTGGATGCATCACCCAGATCATAAACAAGATCCTGTGAAGAAAACAACAACAAATGAAAATAGAAATATAAATAGAAACTATGAAAGTAAACCAAATACTAAAAAATTAATGTCCAGTCCACCAGAAACTTTTTGGATCAATGTCCCTATCTGGACAAATGCACACTTACCCCTCCCCTAACAAAACATTAACCCTAACTTGTCATCAGCGGAATGCTTTTGGGTTAGGGGAGGGGTAGGTACACAGTTGCTTAGAGACTGACACTGATCCAATTCTTTCATAATTATTAATTTTTCCTCAAAAAATCTTCACAAATCTACTCCTTAATTTTTGGCAAAATTCTGCAATCAATAAATTTTAAGGCCACACATACTGATCTGCAAACCTAATCATCACTGCCTACCTGAACACCATGTGAGCAGTCCTGCATGTTAACCCAATAGTTCTTGTGATTCCAAACACTTTCAATACCAAGATAAACATTATGTGTGAGAGGGTGACAAACGCCTGTCAGAGTCTCAATGAAGAAGCTTTCAGGAACCTCCCGTTTTCCTGATAGGACCAACACCCAGCAGTGCACCCTTAAACCATGCAGCTTGTCTGGCTTGGGCTTTTCAAGCTCCTACAAAAAATAATTCAATATGAACAAAAATGATATTTTACAAGATCTAAATTCAAATCATTTGGTTTGATTAATTAAAAGTGACTTTCTTTTTAGAGACTCACGGCAATTCTTGCATTTTCTTCCTCACGCCTCTTCTTTTCCTTTCCATCTTCTTCTGCTTTCTTCTTCGCCTCAACTTTAGCTTCAAACTTGCTTCTTAAATCTTTGGGAGGTTTCACAGTGTACTTTTTCACTTCTTTTTTCAGTTCTTCTTTTGTTACCTTTTTAATAAAACAACCCAAAGTCAAACTGTTTATTTTTTGCATCACATTTCTTGACTAACTGTAAGTATATATCAAGTGTTAAGCAGACACAAAAGGCTCAAAATAACAGCTGCTCAGCAAACAATATATGTCAAATATAGGTTTTGTCCAGTCAACTCATGGATGGCCAGACATTTTATCCAGTTTTTTATTTTTTTAGAAGAATTAATACTGAGCAGGAGCCTGGTGGTAATGGACTCCTGTTCCAGGCTAATTTTAGGTTTTAAATACAGCTGTACCACTTTTCCTGCAATGAGTTTGAGGCTGCATGTAAAGTAAAACCAATTGGTAAATGCATTTGTTTTACAAGAAGGGGTATTTATAAAGATATTATGTGATGAATTTCATTAACAACTGCCTAGTTCCCATTCAAAGAACCATGTTTTTTTTAACATACCTCATCTTTTTTCCTCAGAAGAGGACATATTTCCCTTGTTTCATCCATAAGTGTTGTTTCTCTGGTTGCATATCCACAGACACAGTAAGCATCATAACCCGCCCCAATGAGCAAAGAGCACAGCAGCACACTAAAGTCAAAACAGTTTCCCTTTTGACGAGTTAGGATAGTTGTAGGGGACACCAGTTCACTTGGCTGATAACACAAAAAGATAATATCAGGTTATTCCTATGGCTAAGAGCTTAGTATGTCAAAGATATAGTTTGGCACACAAGTTACAAGATCCCCCCAACACTCACTCTGGCATGAAGCAATTGGGAGTTTCGCGAGTCTCTTATGGGACAGCATACTGCTCCAATGCAAGCTGCCTGTAACCCTAACCTTAAGTCTTATTAAACATTTTATCAGGCCTCTCTAACCATTTGTTGCTATTGTAGGGGTATTGATATGAAACTTCTTGACCATGTGAATCCATGGTTTCCTTCTTCTCTCCCTGGTGTGAGGGAGTGGTCAGAAAGAGAAGTGACTTCCAAAATGAGGTTTAGAGTCCTAGGCAGAGATAGAGGCATTGTGAAAGTAAAGTGTCTTACCCAAGAACCCTACACATGACCTTACCAGGGAGGAAACCTGGAATTCTGCTGTGCAAATCAACAGGCTAATATCAGGGACCACTCTAATCAGTAATTATTCCCAGCATTGAAATACAAATGTCACACAAGCTGTATAACATTTAACTTAAACTGAATCTAATATACATAAACATAATCATGTGTAATTATACAAAGAGAACATTGAAATAAGAATATATGAAGAAACCTCTTTTATTCATAAAAAAAAGTATACTTACCAAGTCAATTGGTGGATCTAATGGAAAAAATGTTAAATAGTCAGAAACAAACTGTGCACAGCCATCATAATCGTAGATCTCCTTGTACGACAGAAGAGTTGGGCGAATTGTTGTACATACAAATTTCTGAAACCAGAAAAATTGCATGATTTAATAATCCAGTACCTATTTTGAATCAAATGCACCAATCTATGTCAAAGTCTCCTGCCCTCACCCTAATCCTCAAGTCTTAAAGATCTCCTGGTTTAATTAACCCTTTGAACCCCCTAATCAACCAGATAAGAACAATTCAATTTGGGGAGTCTTATATGTGTTTAATTAGATAAATCTCCAAGACATTTTGATATTTTGCTCCAAATAAAAAAATAAACAAAAACATTCGAAGAAAAATCTTAATTAACCCTTTTAACTGAGATGAATTAACATAAACCGAAAACAAAAGGAGCTTCCCCTACAACATCAACATTCTAGATCGCTAGAGATAAGAATCAGTGAATCGATGGTGCGTCGTCAAACACTACTGGACTGGTTTTCAAAAATGTCAATTTTTCGTTTCTTTAAAACAATGAAAATTGATATGTTGATCGTGTTGCAATGTTTACACCAACCGTAAATTCCGCTTCTGATTGGCCAGTTTTTCATGAACTCAAATTTCAATTTGTTAAGCACCTTTTTTTTTTGGCGAAAATACTGGTTGACAGAACCCCTACCTTGGCGAGAATTTACCTGTTCTCAGTTTAATTTGTTGGAAAAATCGCTCGGCTTATAGGCGAATAAATACGGTAACATTATAAGAATTATGTGGTTGACAGTAAGGAGAACTGCAAATTTGCTCTAAGAGTGAAAGGGTTAAAAGAAAAATTGAGGGTCTCCTGTTGAAAAGGTGATTGTACTCTTGTTGATTTTGAGCTTTTAATGCATTTAGTAATTCCCGTCTTATTACCTCTATTCCACATTCATTCACAGGATTTAAAAACAATGGCTTTCGATCACGATATAGGTGAACAAATTGACGTCTAAAGTTTTCACAAAATGACAGCAGAAGCTTCTCTTTTGGAGTATTGGACTTGTAAGACTCAGGAAGAGAGGCCCTGTCTGCATCTTTGTTTCTACAAGAGATAAGAAAATATATATTAACTGTAAATAGATTTTGTGTATTAAGTTTTATTTTCATGTCCAAAGAGTATTAAAACAAAGGATTATTCCAGGAACACACTTTAAGACTTTTAAAAGAAGACACATGCCAGGGTTTCAAGAGGAGAAGGAAGGCTCTCAAACAAGGACTATCCAGGAACCTCTATTCCCCAAAGTCTGACAACTGTAAACATTTTCATTTCATTGAGACTGGTCAACTGTATAAAGTTCAGGGCATGCTAGAAAAAACCCAGATTCTCAAACTAACACCATAATTGTTTCTAGCTTGGCCTCCTCTCACACAATTTACTCTTCCTTGGAAGGCAATAAATTTTAATGAACAGTTCTGGTGTTCATGGTTTTCTGAGTGTCACACGCGGTGATGTTACACAAGCTAATTTTTAATGTAATTTTTTAAGCCACCTTGGACGACTTAACTTATATAACATAATGAATGTATGGAAGCCATGGACTGAGGTGGTCCACCAACAAGATCGTCAGAGGTGGTCTATTACACTATGCACCCCAGTCCACTCATCTTATGTACGCCCCTGTACAAGGAGTCTCCACCTTATGGTAGTACGATCGTGTTCTGCAGAATATTCTAACATTTTCTTAATAACAATGTGTGAACCAAAACTTTATAGAGATAAATTTTAGTTAGCTGTCTGCAAATGCATTAGAGATCGATTCGTACACAAACTTGAAATTACAAGCCAAGGTGAAAGATGACAACAACTCACGGAAGTGTACGGATATCTGGCGCAGTAACTTGAATTTTTGCTAATTCCTTCTTCAGGGACTCCATATCAGTTGGCTGAAATGATCACTCGCCTTTATTTAAACCCTGACTTTACACATTGCCTCACAAATAATTTCGATAATTTTGTTTGAATCTTCTTAGCAACGACAGCTTGGTAGCCACTCCCTTTTTCAAAGCCGGTAAAAGACTGAGAATGAAATACGGGTACTGGGACCCAATCTCCCGCGAGTAGTTGCACATACGTTCTGCTCTGATTCTGTGTTTGCACCGAAGAGGTGTTTTGCTTCTCTGTGGAAACCGTGACATGAGAACTTTTACCTCTGTAAAGTCCTGCGGAAACGACCAAGCGTTAAGAAATGTCGTTTAAGAACTATCCTGCGCGTGGAGGCACTGTTAGACACCTTTCAAGCTTTCCTCAATATCAGAGCCTAGCAGAAACATACGGCTGCTCTGCGGTGCACAAGTCGTTCCTTTCAGATCACTTCGCTCGGTGCTCTAGCCTTTATCACCTTGATTTACTGGGACATTATGGTTGTGTAAATGCTATAGAATTCTCAAATAATGGCGGAGAATTCATTGTTTCAGGTTTGGATGTGATATTTCTATTATTATGACCTTTTTTGTTCATTGTGCGTTCCTATTGGCTGATGCGAATCCATCATATAAATCATAAACTTAATTGCACGTTTTATTCACGTAGGTCGAACTTTGCTGTCGGCGATACTGCTAGGTACTACCAAAAAAAACAACAACAACAACACCACACTGGATATCCAATCTAACTTTGACTTGATTGTCATGTTCTCCTATGGGAACACCTCTTAGCCCTGTAACCCTTTATGAGTGATCAAGACAGAATTTCTCCTAAAAATATCAATACAACATCAAGCAGAAAATTGATGAGAATATAGAAAAATAACAACTAGGGGATTAGTATCTGATCCAATACCAAATTCTCAGAACTAAAATAGGACAGTAAGGAGAGTTACTGAGATCTTGGGAATGAAAGGATTAAGTGAAACTTTTGCATTGCAAAACTGCACTTAGAGGGTTTTTAGAGCAGGTCTAGTCAGGTAGAAGTTTATTTTGTTCAAACCTTTGTTTTAAGGTGGTGATGATCGTCGTGTTGTGGTATGGAACATTGAAAAGTGCGTCTATGGAACTCAACCTCCAGTGTCAATGAAGGGAGAACACAAGTCTAACATTTTCTGTACTGTTTTTGATAATGACAACAGGCATATTTTTTCAGCAGGTAGGTTTATAATGCTTTAAGGTCATAGAGGGATCCATTTAAAATTTCTCCTCATGTTATTAGTACGTAAACACAACTACAACAGGAATTTCTAACCAGCATCCAAACTGGATGTTACCAAAGTTTTATTGAACCAAATTTTGTTTCAGACATGAAAGTGTGTTGCAGTAACCATTATCATATCAAAGTATTTGATTGTCAATCTGAGTAGTGCTAGCGTTTTCTATCAGTACTTTTTCACTTAACAGGCAATGACAATCAAGCCCTCAGGCACGATTTCACAACGTAAGTACAATAACATTTTCGAACAAGTGTGCAACTTTCTGTAATAATAACAACTTACTCCAATCAGGCAGAATTAAAGCAACCAACATATCTGTATGGGTTTTGAGTGCAGCCTGGATAACAGTACGTCTCTCTACCTTGGAGTGCAATAGATATATATTTACAAATAGTGGGTAAACCAGACAAAATAATGAGTTGATGGACAATCATATGCTCATGAGTGTAGAGAGGTACTTTGAGTCAGAGTTAAAGGTTTTGTCGAAGAACACAACACATTATGACCCTGTTTGGTCTTTCACCCAGACCTCTTGACTTGGACTCCAGAGTACTAACCGTCAGGCCACCACTTTGCTAATGTACACAGTCTTCTAAATACCTCTTTCTCTCTGGTTTTTAACATTTTTTTCTTCCTGAATTATATTAAGTGGTGAGACAGTTGGCATGTACTACCATGATGACCCAGTTTATGGCCTTAATATTCACCCAGAGGATAACAATGTATTCTTAACAGCTTCTGATGATGGAAAAGTTATGCTTTGGGACATAAGGGCATCTCCAGTTAGTGGTATGGAACTTTTTTGCCCCATTTTCTTCACAAACTGTTGCTTGTAAAGGTTAACAACACACGTTTTTTTGTTGATCATATTGTGTAATCTTTTGGGTGAGAGAAGCACAGAAAACAAAGGATGTTAGTGAGTTTAGTTTTTAATATGGAAACAGAAGTCTTCCAAGGAGAAGATCCTGGTCTTGTTGCCCAGTGCTCAGTACGAACTCGTAAATGTACCAAAATGTAAAGAGATAATCTTGTTCAGACAATATCAGCCTTCTTTAGAGGTAAATATGTTAAAGGTAATCTCATTAATGTATTCATAGGTTCTTCCACATGTATTGCTCGTCATGAATCAGCTTTCCATGCTGCTGTTTTCAATCCAGTGGACCCTAGTTTGATTGCAACAGCTAACTCCAAGAAAGGTGTCCAGCTTTGGGATGTCAGGGTTCCAATCAGGTTTGTTGCAAATTATCTGTTACTTTTCCATACTTTTTCACCCAACAGTTAAAAAAAAGCATGTTTCCAACCTCCCTGATTTAAAAATTATTTGTTATATTAGAAACTGTGTTCACTGTATAGCTGGTAAAAATGTCTATTTCTTGCTAGCTATTGTGTGGTTGTTTGGTAATTGTCTCACTCAGTTTTATGGAAAATTGTCAAATTTGAACTTGGATCAGTGGCAGAAACAGAAACCTTGTGACTGTGTGGAAACTTGATTAATGGCAAGGGGGGTGGCCCACCATGAACTAACAACATGTCAAGGAGGCGTAGATGCACTATCAGTTGCTTCATGGTTTGGAAATAACATAAAGCCCCCTTCCTCCCTCCCCCCCTCTGTTTCTTTAACCTTACAGGTAACATTTTAAGAAAAACCTTAGAACATCATAATAAAGTATTTGCTGCGGCTGAAAAAAGCTTAAGCACAGACATCAAGAGATGATCAATGTTGATTTACTCTTTAGTTGTTTAAGGCAGTTCAGTTATGGAGCACCTCAGATGTGTGCCATGGGGTTAAAATGGAACAGGACAGGTGACATGATAACTGCCCTTCGTCGCCGCCTTCCTCCAGTTCTTTATCATGTTACTCAGTCTTCAGCTGTGGCTGAGTTCCACCACCCGGGCTACAATAATGTGTGCACCATGAAGAGTAATTGTTTTGCAGGAAGCAAAGATCAGGTGATTATTTTATCCAGGGCAGTGTCAAAGAATAGCTGATTGTGAGCTACAGAACATGTTTAGCTTCTACAAATTGAGTGGGGAGGAGGGCACTGTTAGAGAGTACTATGTAACTTTTCTTAGGGGGTGGGTTGTAGAAATCAGCAACTTTGTCCTGGCTTAGGTGATTGTTTTACTGTGTGCTGAGACAAATGACGGCTGATCCTGAGCTGCAAAACATCTTTTCTCTTTAGTTTATAGCATCTACAACCTTGCAGGGGTGGGGGGGGCCACTGTTCAAGAGAGGGAAACTTTCTTGAAGGGTTAGGTGGGGGGAGGAGCATAAAAATTGGTAACTTTGTTATGGCAGGTAACTCGCATTGTTGTCTGTATCCATGTTTGTGGATATTATCAAACCATATTAGTTGTAATTATTCAAATTGTTTCTTGATTTAGAATTCTGGGAGACTCAGTAACAGACTGTAAGATTGACAGGTGTTGTTATTTGTGTTATCTCTAAGTTTGTTGTCTCTGGCTCTGATGACTTCAAGATTTACATCTGGGAAGTGCCAGATGATTGGGCAGATCATGACAAGGTGCTGACTGTTGGTAGGGCATTCATGGTACTTCATGGTCACCGCTCCATTGTTAACCAAGTTCGCTTCAACCCCGAGACACATATGCTCTTATCAGCAGGAGTAGAAAAAGTGATAAAGGTTGGTTACATTGTCATAAACTTTGAGAGTAGAAAGGCAAGTAAGAAATAGTAGGCGACTTGGTTTTTTTGGACAATGCTGTGTAGTCAGATTACACACAAGACTGGGAATCATAAAATTTGCACAAACCTTGAAGCAAACTCTGAAAGGGGAATCAAGTCACCTATCTAAAGAGGTTACTGGAATATTATGCACTCATTCTACTCAAAAATTGGGAAATGGCTGCTGTGCAAGTTTCTTCAGTGGTATTACAATATTTGTATGATTTTTTCCTCACCTTTTATGGTTAAGTGAGATGAAAGTAGTCAGCCTAAGATGGCAGATCAGCCATGCATTTTGGCCAGCTACTGGTCTTGTTGACAGCTCTGAGTAGCACATGGAGTGTGTAGTGTTCTTTTCTTCTAATATGCTTCTCATACAATTGTAATTATGATAAAATACATATCTGTATGATTTCATGCAATAGGCATTTAGAGAATGCAGTTTCAAGGCAGTGTAGAATCAACCTGGAAATTTTACTTCCTCTAGGTATGGAGTCCTTTCCCAGTGTCAAGAGGGTGTAGTGAGATGGACACCAGCCATAAAAGCTGCCGTGAGCTTTATTCTCATAGTGATTACCTAAGTTTTATTCAGTTTGGTGGCCTACCTCTTAATCATGATGAATATGAAAGCAAGTCAACTGCAGAAGACCCTCGTATGTTAGCTTTCTTTGACTCTTTAATACAGCGTGAGAAAGATAATCTCCACTCTGACTCAGAGGACAGCTTATTGGATGATTTCCACCTTAGTTTTATCCTTCAGCCTGATAGCAGTGAAGAGAGTGATAGTGATACAACTGAGACCAGCATGAGCCACCTGCTCCTGAGAGAACTTCTTCATCGTCCAAGCTCAGAGACACTAGAGGGACACGCAGCTATAAACAGTTCAGGACAAGGTGTGCTTAGACGGCTGAGAAAACTCAGGGACACTGTTGTTATTCGTGATCTGCTTAATGCAGGTAGCAGTAGTACAGACAGCGAGGAAGGCAATCATGTTAAGGTTGTTGGGCCTGCATTACCTAGTGATCTTGAGAGTGGTGAAGGCACTACACAATCTACAGTTCAGTTTAAAAGACACAAACCTCATGCAAAAAGACAATACAGATCTCGAAACAGATCAAGAGATGTAGATGATACCTCTTCATCAGAAAGTGCTGATGAAAGTGACTTTACTAAGCAGAAAATACAAATAAGAGCTGATAAGGACAATTCTATTGAAACCAGTAGCAGCAGCAACAGCAGTAGTAGTGGTAGTAGCAGCCACTCAGAGAGAGACTCCAGGAAGTCAAAGGGATACAGGGAGAATACAGAATCCAGCAGTGATGATGCAGAGATTTGCAAGTTGTCACACAAAAGAAGAAAACTTAACAGGGCAAATTCAAAGAATTTATCTAATAACCTAAAAACTCAGGGAAATGTATGCAGGGCAACTGAGGTCAACATCAATGGAACCATAGAGAATTATCAACAGCTGGATGGCAATAATGGTGAAGACAGTCAAAATGCAAACAACATTTTACATGGAGAAGGAATAATAAATAGTGATAGGTGTGAAGCTTCTCAAACAGATTGCTCTTCAGATTTGCATGTGAGTAACCAAACTGTTACCTCTCATGAGAGCGTCTGGGCAGATCATTCCAGTTACAAGCCATGTGGAAACAAAAAAAGCTCTCATGATCAGGGGGATGATCATGAGGAATCAAGTAGATAATCCTTTTTCATGTAAACCCTTCAACTCCCAGGATCTTGGTGATATACTTTTTCTTGGTTTTAGAAAAAAAGAAAAAGAAATTGGGGTTACCAAAGTAACACTCCCTTGTTTGCTGGATACATTTTTTAAATTGCCAGGGGGAGTAACACTAATGGTTTTGTGAAGTGAAGGATTAGTGAGAGGCTTGCTGCGTGATGAACATCCCAAAGTGTCCAAATAAGCTTCAGGAAAATTCATGAACACAAGCAAAATGGTCAAGCATGAAATAATATATTCATGAGTGTCCTTAAGAACCTAACAAGTTCTGAACTACTTGTTGAACAATAATTGAGTTTCAAAACTTAACTTAGGAGGGTTTATGAGCTATGGATTATAAGACTAGATAAACAGTTCCTTCATTTGAAACCATTCTCAGGTTTACCCTAAGGTAGTCAGTCCATCCAATGCCTCAAGTTAGTAAAGGTTGCAATGATAAGTGAAAGTGGAATATATTGTTCTTTGGAATCAGGTGGTAATGTGGGACAACAACTTTTCAAACTTGGTGGGGTTGAAATAAAACAGTGATCAGTTATGTTTGGTTAGACTATTTATATTAAAAATTTATTATATTTGAGAGCAGTTGTTATGGTTAGAGTAATATTCAAAGTTATTATATTTGAGAGCAGTTGCATTTTCTGATCATTGCTTTCTCTTATACCTCTTTTTCATATCTTTATTCTACAAAAGCTCATCAATTTTCTTGTGGGTTTGAGAACTTATTGTCCAGACTTTGTCCAAGTTCGACAGTATCTTGTTCTTGATGCAATTGTCCAAGAAGAGGCTCTTTTTAAGCAGCTCACTCAAGTTCAACTGGGCAAGATTTCCAGTTTCTTGTTCCTTGGGTAACACAACTGACCATACAAGGTGTCAGTTGACACCCGTTGTTTAGAGCCTCCTTGATCTTGCCAGGCAAGCATTTTACTTTCCCCAAGCCTCAGCATCAGCCTCACGTGCTCCCCTATAACCACCCAACTCTGCTGATCTGTAGAAGCCTTCAAGAAAGAAAATCAGTGAGAACTATCAAAATTATAAAAATGGGGGTATTCTCTTCATGTGACTTGTCGCTTATAGCTCACAGGGGAATGTTTGCATGCCATAGGCAAACTTCCAGATCGCGGGAGTGAAACAATCGTTACACTAACCTTCCAGAATGGCTGGATAGTTGTCGTCCATCCACTTTCTGTAATCTGATTGAAATAAGAGATATTGACAAGCCTTGCGAAGATGGTTAAAATAATTTAATTCACTGCAACATTCGATGTGAGATGAATTAAAAGCCCTCATCATAAATTAACCTAAATAGTTAAAAAAAAATTCAGTTTTTTGAAAGCTAACCTCTACTTGTGTTCATTTGATGCCACACCCGATAAGATCCTATCAAGAGCGCCACTTCTCCAACAATTGCTGCTCTGAAGAGTTTCCTCCAGCCAGATTTGCCGGCCATGTCGCTGAGTACTCATAACATCTTGATAAGTTGTTCATATAAGCAACACATACTGCATGCATGTCAGTCCCAGTCCTCATTTTGAACTAATTACTGTGGACGAGATGACTGGGATCTACATACGTGTCGCAGGCTCAATAACATGGCTGCCTGCTTCTGTCTTTAAAACATGATTGTTTAAAATCAACTTAAAGCATTTTTCGTGTTCGTCTTGGACCTGAAGGCGACACTTTACAGAGGAATATGATATCTGTAACAGTTAAAGGTTGCGTATAGACTTTTATAAAAAGGAGAGAGATATATTGGTGCAGTGAGCGATTCAATAAAAATGGATAGCTCACAAAAACTTCCGTCATATAACAGTGCGACTGCAGCTGCCACACCAAGCATAGGAACGGAGAGATTACTTAGATATCTTCCTAAAAAACAGTCGGAGGTTCGACAAGTTGCCATAGATATTCCAGAAACTGGTAACAGCCAATTGATGAACCAAGATGTTCTTAAAGCTGGCTTGACTGCTCTAGAAAGAGGTATGATCACTTGTGGCATGATTTACACAAGCATCACATAATACACTCGGGTTAAATTTCTGCACTGCCCATACTCTATAATAAATACAGTTCCTGGATAAAGAGAACTTTGGCAAAAAAATGGATTATGGCTAAAGTACAGGGGCTGTTCAGAAATCTTACCTAGACTTGTCTATTAATATAACGTTTGTACAGCTAGGGTAGCATGATTTATATTTGCTAGGTTTGCAAGGAAAAAAAGCACCTGGTAAGAAACCAAACAAGATTCCCACACAGCCCCACACTTAGTTATGCAGACAGTTCTGGTTGAAAAAAAAAATGGCAAAAACAACAGAAGCCTTTGGGACCATAGCTTTGTGTTTGAACAGTTAGGGGGTATACTGAATTCTTAAGAAACTATAGTTTAATAAAATTGTTGTTACTGTATAAAGGGTATCATTTTTTCATTCATAAAACTACCACAGTAAAAAAAAAGTAATCTTGTGAAAAATCATGTGAAAATAGTGTAACTGTTCTTTTTCTCATCCCTTGAATGGTTTACAGCAAAAAGTTTGCGAATGAGAGGGACACTGAATGACGAGGAACGGGTGACATTGTCAGTAAGTTTCCAGTTATTATTTTCCTCTTAATATTTCTCTTATTTGTGTTGTCTTCATTGGCTAACACAAGGATGAATTGTGTAAATTTTGTGCTTTGAGGAATTCTGAAATGTCCTGCTTTGCTAGCTGAGAGGTAATCATGCATTAATTCTCATGGGACTAATCTGTCCCATAAAATTACTTTTTAGAGTGCTATAAAGCCATTTCCACAAAGATCCCAGCCAATTATGAAGAGAGTCAGAAGAGAACTTCAGAGTGTTCTTGCTGAGAGACAGGTAAAATCAAACAAGTTTGTTGGTGACAACAACAATTTAATTTTTCTTTTGGTTTATCAAATGTTAGCTAAAGTTACAAGGCTGCCTGTGTACATAGGACTTATTTCTGATGATTTCTTTAACAGGGATGGAGGATCTTCTGGATGATTATTTTAAATGCTCTTTGTTCTTTTGGACTCTTTGTTTACAGTGGATCAACAAATAGTTTAGGTAATATCAACATTTATTCAAAAACAGGATCACTGGTTTATGCAGTTTTGATTAGCACAGCCTCAGTAGTGTTTGAGCTATCATAGAATAACTGATACTATCATGCTCTGATTGTTCAAAAGCCTATCATTTATGGTTGTGATATGAAGAAAGGTCAGTTTGCTTTTGAGGAGGTCCTGAAATTTGTTTCTGTGTTGGACTGATTGTTAAACAGTGACACAACACTGTTTTTTTTTTCCTATCCACTTACTTCCTTTAATGTATCTTAAAAATAATTATATGTTTAATATTATAAAATTTTTTTGGTTTTCTTTCAGCTCTCACATCATTTAGCTACCTGACAATATTTGATTTACTAAGGTATGGTATTGAAAAACAACATTCTAAAACAATAATTTTTCTTACTTTTAAAGTTCTTTGCTGCTTAACATTGTTATTTTCCTTTCTAGTCTTTTAACATGCCTTTTATCACTTTGGGTGTCACTTCAGAAACCATCCACAACTTTTTCATTTGGGTAAGGGTCTTTGTCAGTGTTAAATAGCAGTTAGAAACCAGAAGATATGAGCTAAGTTTTTGTATACAACGGCCTTGTCTCGTTCAGTGATCGATATATTCTTAGGCAGTAAGGTGATAAAAAATACAAGAAAATGTCAACTTGGAAATACTATTTGATTTAAAACCAAATTCGTTTTCCAGTATAACCACTTTGTACTCAATCATTTAAGACATGTCAAAGCTTTCTGGCTATCATTATTTTCACTTCCTAGTTATGAGAGATTTGAAGTGTTGGCAGTATTTACTACCACAGTGCTTGTGATGTTTGGAGCTCTATTTATTGTTAAAGAAAGGTAAGCATAATTTTTTTCAATTGTCGTAATGTTCAATTTTCTAGAGCTCTATCTCAAGAAGTTGAAATGCCTTTGCATCTGCACTTGTTAGAAGCTCCTGTCCTTTTGATAATGAAACATCAGAAAACTTTCAAATTTTTGTGTAATCCATTGTTTACTGGTATTATTTCCTAGCACTGAAAGGTTGTTAATGCCTCCAGAAGTTATGACGTAAGTTCAGTACATACTGTTACTGTCCTGTTCTTGTTGTTCCCTCTCCTTGTGAGTAAGATAAAAATTATTCCATACCACAAATTTTCTTGCCTTTTGTTTTTGTGCAAACTGATCTAAACAAAGATAATATAAAATTATTTATGAGTTTCAAAAGATGGAACTTTCATTTGCTTTTACGACACTGCTGTGATAAATGGTTTTTGATAAAATTCTTGAGAAAATTTGTAAAATTCATAAAACAATATTTTCAATATATCTACTTCCATTGAGTGTCTGTATTTGTTAAAACATTGAAAATGTCTTAAGTCATGAACATAACATCTTCAGGAGAAGAGTTCCATCCTTTTTCTTCCCTTTCTGTTTTCTTTTCCCACTCATCTACCATTCCTGTTTTCAAACACTTATCCTTACTTTGAACTGGGCATGTCTCTGTGGCTACCTCTAACAAATTTAGTAACTTAATGCATAAAATTGTCAGTATTTCTTTTTACTGATTTTTTCTCTTTTTCTTTCACCAGAGATAATCTTCTTCCTGTCACGTCAGTTGGGTTGTTCTTACACTTACTTGTGACTTATGGTGTCACTAATAAGCCCTTCAGTCTAGTGTCTAAAGGTAACTTTCAAAACATGAACATTAAAGTTTAAAACTTGATGCCAAGCAGGGATATGTTGATGGCACAGAACAATAATTTCCCAATGCTCTGAGCTGCAACCTATTTGGTCACCACAGTGAGAAGGACACAAATTTCAGTGGCAAAATTTGCAGCTTAAGTTGCCAAAATTTGTCAATATTTTCGAGGGTGTATGAGTATTAAACCTTTAGACTGTGAGTTGAGGTTGTGAAAAGACAACTTTGGAAAATATTGAGCTTGGAGCTCTAATTTGACAATTAGAAAGATCAATCAGATGATAATTTTATGGAGAAGCTTGGTCTCCTTTACTTGAGCACATGTTTTGACTTCTTTGGCATCTAATCATTTCCAATTAATAATTCCTTGCCTTGATTCATCTAATGAGTGTTCCACCTCAAATTAAGCTGTCCTATTTTCATTGATTTCTGGCTTTTACAATGTTGTGTCTATTTAAATATGATTATCTTTGATGCCGTTCTCTTAAAATTTGGGCTCAAGTCTTCTTTGTTTTTTTGTTTCAGCTGCTTCATCAAATTGGTTGCAGGATGCAGTGAATGATTTTGGTCACAGGTGAGTCGGCCATCTGCTTAGTTCTGTACAGTGACAAGCATGTGGAAATATTTGAGTGACAATGCTGTGACAAAATTTTCATATCTGAGAAATCTGAGAGCTAGAGAACAACTGACCTCCTCTTCAGCCAAAGCTTCTGGCAATAACATCAGTGGAACTGCAGTCCCTGTCTCCGGGGTTCTCATTGTGAAATGCATTCTCAGGAGAATAAGTAAAGTATTTTGAGAAAATTTTTTTGCATCTGAATGAAAAATTGCTCCAATGCACCATTGAAATTCATCCACAGACTTCTGCCTAATAGCCCAAGAATTCTCTTACTTCTAATGCTCATGAACACCCTGTGACTCTGAGGGATTGAATTTCTATCTACACTCCATTCCCTACCTGATTTCAGTAATGGAGAAAAAGACGTATTGTATTTACCTGAATTTTAAATGGAAAAGAAGGTGATTAGAGGACCTGTTTGTCTATTTTTATTTTTCAAATTGTGAAGGGATGTAGCTGGCTTTGTTAAACCTCTGAGTTTATGAATTGTTGTGTTGCAGTATTTGTGGGTTTGCACCATTCTTGGGCAAAGTCCTTGTACAGCGGTTCAACCCTATAGCTCTGCTAGGTGTGGCAGGAGCAGCGTTAGTTTTAACAACTGATTTTTTAATCAACTACAAGTAAGAGTGCTTGGTATTCTTTTTGCATCTATTTAAAAATTAAAAGTGAATGATTTTAAGTATTGGAAACCATCAATTCATCAAAAGAGTTGTTATTTTTTATTATACAACCAAGTGTGCAATGTTGATGCATACTTCCTGCAAGCTCTTCTTTGTGTTGACAACCTACAAGTCTTGTCAAATCTTAAAAATAGTTTTTAATTACTACTACATTTTAAAATACTCTGCTAAATGAAATGTGAGATTTGTTATTCACTTGAATGTTACTTACCAAGTAATCACATCAACAATTTTTTGTTTTCTTTACCAGTCAATCCTTCATTGCTGACAGCTTTTGTGCGATAGTAACAGCATTTATGATGTGGGCAACCATGTTACCACTCAGCATATACAGTGGACAGATTCTTCTACAGGTAATAGGCTTTGGGTCTCATGGCAGTTGTATATGATAATGTCTATAACCCGAATACTGTCATTTATTATTATTAATAGTTAATGAGCCAGTTTTCATTTCCTCTTATTTTTATTTATCACAGACTTGCCCTATTGATATCATGAATCAGATAGACAAGTGTCTACGTGAGGTAAGAAAGGTTTAACAAAAATTACCATGTCTACTTCACAAGGTTTCAATTTAATTTTTGCAAGAAAAGTAGTAGCCATTCATTAAAATAAAAATCCTCATCATCCTCATCTTGGGTGTGGGTGTGTTTAGGTTCTAATACATACTATGTGCCACATAACCTGTCATATTTGGTGGCATGAAATTTTCCTGGTGATAATTGCTTGGTCAGTGATCTCAGAATTCTTCTTAGACAACTGTTGTGCTTTTCTCCCTAAAACATCAAGTATATGAATTACTGAGAAAGGATCAATCAGCTTTACTTCCTATTATTGTAGGCATCTACCCTAGATGGTGTGTTGGAATTTAGAAATGAGCACTTCTGGACAGTTTCATTTGGAAGAATGGTGAGATACATCAAACACTTTACTGTCTCCATAATGCCTTTTTCTCGCTGAAATTTCTTGGAAAAAAATAGCAGGTTTCTATGGTGATATGAAAATGCAGTCAGCTTCCAATAACTGCCCTCAAAATCAGTTTCTTTCACAGAGTCTGATGCAACAAATGACATAATGTGGGCCTTTAAGGAGACATTACAATATAGAAAGTTAAATTTTGATTAAATGGAAAGTTAACATGTTGACTGAACCATTAACCTGCAGACATCTGAGTTGTTGACTTACACACCAAATGTAGGGCAGCATGTAGCTCATTCCTGTAAAATGATCATACAGTTTGATGTATGTTGCTACATGATTCCCCTTGCTAATATGGATGTTTCCTTCATTATGTCTCACAATTGTTACAGTGTATTTGGAAAATTTGGGGTTGTAAATGATATTGTTAATAGTTTTCTTGTGTTAATAGATTTCAGATTGTGGTTTTTAATTATGATGACGATTATTGTTTTGCTGTCAACCTTTTATAGGCTGGTTCCTTGCATGTCAGAGTAAGAAGAGATGCTAGTGAACAGGTAAGGACAAATGTTAAAGTATTCTTTCCAAATTACATGAAAATAGTGAAAGAGGAAGATCTAATATTTTTAATTTTTTTGTATAAAGAGTAACCTTTCCTTCAACATGACTAACCAAAAAATTATAGTACAGAGCCCAGTTGTTCAAAGAGCAGATAAACTTATCCAACTGATAAATCACTATCCAGTAAATAAGTGTTAACTAAAGGTACTGTGCTATACATTGGATAGAGATTTATCCAACGTATAGCATTATCCACCCTTCAAACAACCAGGACCAAAAGTGAAGAAAATGCAGAAATGGGAAGAACAAATCCAAATGGAATAAAGATGTTGAAAGAATGGAGAAGATTAACTCAGTGGCAAATTTCAAACTTTAAAAAATTTAAATGGATAGGTAATTTGGAATAAAAACTTGGGTCAGTTCATTTATTGGTTCTTAAAAGACTGTTAAGAATGATGATGATGATGATGATGATGAACCAAGATTTTAAGTCATCTTGAACCGAGGTACTCTAGGCCTTGAAATTAATTAACACACGAACCTTTGTGTTTCAGTCTGAACTACTCAGCTCTAAAACTTTTTAATGTTTTCTGTTCTGTGTTTTATTTCACAGATGGTGCTAGCTCATGTAACAAACAAGTTATCTAGTCATGTAACACACTTAACAATTCAAGTATTCAAAGATGATTGGATACGACCGTCAAGTACTACAAAGGTCAACATTCCAAGTCTACCATCTGTGGCTGGTTCTCCTAGCAGCTCTCTGCTAACAAGGCCATACAGCAGTCCACAGTTGTACAAAACTAACTCCCCACCAGTCACAAGAGGACTGGATAGACCCAAAACAGACAACAGGACAGCTACAAACAAAGCTTCAACTCCCTTCATGACCATCTCTCCACACAAGACATCATGATGGTAACCAAACCTTCAATCTCAATATCTGGAACCAAATTCTCCCAACTGTTAACATTTTATTCCTCCATCACTCCATCCTGAGAATTTGTTGTGCATCAATAACAAAGCAACATCCCTGAGTTAAAAATTTCCTATATTATCTTTGTCTTTCTAACTGAAATTTGATCAAATTGTAAGGAGAATTTAGGTATTGAGCACTAGTGAGAATTAAATGTAAGGATCTAATTAAATAAAGTGACAGTAGCCTTATTTATTTTTCAACATCATTAGTCTGTCATTATAACTGAAAGAAGTTGAGGCTAAAAATGCAAATAAACTCTATGTTTTCTCTATTGCTGGTTTTCTTCAAAAAAAGATTTATGTAAAGTAAAAAATAATATTCTCCAGGTCTGAATAAACATCAGCTCAGGTCACTGAAACTTAGCAATGGGATTTTCATGGGAGTTAGAGAATACCATGATCTCCTGTACTGACTGAACACATTGTCTATTCCCAGTAAGGAAGAAGCAATGGATGTACATAACTTAACAAAGAAGCTCAAAGAAAGACTTACAATTACAAAGGAGACAACACAGCCCATTTTTTCAGCAGTCTTGCCATGAATTTTGCAGTTTAATTATTATAGATCTGTACAGTTTCAAAGTTAGTGATCATTATTTTTATTTTTTAGACGAAAATACTTTGGTTCTAAAGTTTCTAAAGACAGTTTGTTGGTGATCAGTTGTTGAGTGTACATTTTCAAAAATGATGAATCTCAAAACATCAGAAATGCTTCTAAGAAGCAAAAGCTTTAGTGACACTGAGAAGATTTTCTCCATTGAGAATTTCAATCCAGTAGCCATCAGGATCTTCAACAAATGCAATTCCTTTCATTTTACCTTCAGATAGAAAGAAGAAGAGCAAGTAAATGTGTTAAAATAAATCAAAATCATCGAGACTACTGAGCCCAATTGGAAAGAAATTCATGCATTAGAATGAATTCAAATGAGTTCAAATGAGTTCTCAATCTCTGAAGACCTTTCCTTAGCAATCAGACAATCCTCTCGTAAAGCATTTAAAAAAGATACTGATTAGAGCCTCCATGCAAGGATGATAGGACAGAGATCACTTAGTTACTGTCAGCTTTTGTTGTTTATCATCAGCTAATTATCCATTCTTTAGCTTGTTACCTCCCACACATCAACAGTCTACAAACTAAAATGCAGATATTTCATACTTAACAAACATCATACAAGCTTACCATCATTAGGTTTTTTGACAAATTTCACCCCAAGCTTTTCAAAATGCTCACAGGCCTTGTCCACATCAGGCACAGTGAAACCAATGTGACCTAACAAGGGAAAAGGATGAACAAAGAATAACTCATTATGTATATATAGGCTTTACAACCTGCTAATTTTTGGAGTGGATTAAACCTTCACACTCAGCAGAGTCCATTCCTAAGATCTACTTTACATTGGGGAGGCAGCTTATTTGTTTTAACTATATGACCACTGGACGAGACGAAACACTGAAAGTGAAATTTATATTAACAATGTAGTTTCATTGAGGGATAATTTAGAATTCAAGGTTACCTCTATGGTCAACATAAATGTGACAGTGTAAAATTAAGTCATTTGATTAATAGGAGTAAGACACATTGATTAGGGCATTGACATCTTGTAACATTAAGTCATTGGATTAATGGCTCAAAGATGTATTGGCCTTTGATTTCTCTGATTAGTGCATTGATATCTGGTTTGCCAAGCTTGGGTTCAAGGCCTGGGCATGTCTTTCAGTGGTGTTCTTTGGCAAGACACTCAGTGTCTCTCTTCATGTTATAGTCTAAATGGGTGCTAGCAAATTGTCAAAGAAATTGGGAATCCTGAATGACAACTTGAAAATAATTATTACTCCTGATCAAAACATGCTTTCAAAAATAGGAAAAGCTCTAAGAATGTGGGCTGTATGGATCATGTGCAAGAATTTCTCTCAAAATTGCTTTTACCTTCTACAGAATTTAAAAGAAAGGATGCTCACCAAATCCTTTTGGTTCAGAGTTTCCATTGTGGTATTTCAAATCAGGGTCATTCTCTGTTCCCCAGTTACTGTTGACACAAAAAAGAGTTTCAAAATCTCTAGGGGGTTCAGTTAAGTTTAGAAGAGCCTTGTAAATTACCGGTGACAAAACATACAAGAAAATATGCAGTATATTGTCATTGTAATCAAACATCAAAACTTGTCACATTTACTTGGGAACATCCAATTTAACATCTGCAGTCTGAAGGTACTTTTCCTTACCACTTTAACGTAAGGCAAATTTTTTGACTATCACTTATCAAATCACAAATATATTACAGTTTTTACTCACTGTGTTAATTCTAAAGTTGCTTTTTGAGCACAAAGCCACTTGGTCCTCTCATCGGCATCTTCTGGAGTGGCTGATGCTTCTTCAAATCCAAGAAAATACAAGGAAAACTTCATTTCTGGGAAGTGATACTTCTGTAAAAGCCTATATAAAAGAGACAAAAAATTTAAAAAAAAAAAAAAACAAAAAAAAAAAAAACAATAGCTGGTAGTCCATCCCCTGAGATACAAATTAACCCCCCATCTGCTATGAAAGTCACAAAATCTACCAGATGAAAGCCAATTTAGACCTTTCCTAAATGAAATTAGAGAAATAAGAATTTATCTCTGGCTTGTTTCCAATGCATAATTATTATTAATTGTGCTTTAGAGCACAATTAGTGATGCCTAAAGAAGGGGAAGGTGACCCCCTAAAAAAGTTCAGACTTGTTTTGCAGGGCCTTGCCTCTCTATTCTGGAGTTTACATCTCTACACTGCTCTCCCAAGGGTGGGGCAGCCTTTTATTCTGAAATTTTGTTGATTTGTACAACCTTAAGGATGAAGGTCTAAAATTGGTCACCATTCACTTCACTTATCTTTGGTCTGAAATTTGATAGGACTTTCAAGAAGCACACATACTTCACCCGAAATTGCGGACAAACCTCCAACCCCCGCCCCTGAGCCCTCTTCTCTTCCACTTCTTCCACACCCACGGAGAGATAGCTGCCGAGAAATGTTACAGACAAAACCTTTTGAGCTTAATTCGTAAAAATTGCACAAGCTACTTTGACTCATTAAGACAAAAAAGGCAGACAGAGATGGGCTCCATGAAAAATTGGTACAAACTGACCTCATGCCCATCACACGTGTGTAGAAATCGAGCGACACTTTAGGATCTTTTACGCGAATCATCGTCTGCTGAAAAGTGAAACCCCTCGTGTTTTCGTCTGGTTCAGTGACGGAAGAACTAATATCTTCTTCAGATAACGCCATTTCTGGTAGTTATTCATAAACTTAAAGATTTTAAAGTGCTTAGTCAGTGGCCCTTTGACATCGAGACTGGCGAATAGTACCCAATCCTTTTCCGAAATCAACATTATCTGTACGCCTGGTTACTTAGCTTTATCTTTTCTACTTATTAATATGGCGATTAGTGACAGTTTATACCGATTTTTGCTAAGTTCGGGAATTATGGTCGGTGGTACTGGCTTGGCTTGGATGTTAATGAAAGTTATTGTACCAACCAAAGAAGATATGCTCAAGGTAGTTCTTTGATTACTATTATTTTGTCGCGTTTGGATGGCCAAATACACAACTGACCTGAAAGTTTCTTAAGCTTTTCCTATCTAAGTTCTTCAAGAAGACATCGCTATTTAAGACTTAAATCTTGCAGCACCTTGAAATTGTTTTGAAGATAAGGAAAACGTACGAAGTCTCATTTGGAAATCCTGTGGGACTGAGATTTTGGAAGTGGTTACCTTCAAAGAAATGTGAATTATACAAGCTTTATTATGTAACTGGCTATCTCATCGGCAGGCAGGTCGAATTCCACGTTAATAGCATGTAATAATGATAAACGTAGTGGGTAAGTGGGGGGGGGGTGGATGAGGGGGAGAAAGAGAGAAAGAGCTCTTACCCCTAGGGCCCACATATAAAGCAACTCCCCCTAGTTTATCTATTCTCTTGAAAGTGATCAGAAATAAATAGAAATAATCATCTGATTTCCTTTGCAATTTGCGTGATGTCATTCATGATGATAAATTTGCTTGTGACAGCCACCCAATTTGTGGGTATGAGCAAAATAGGGGAAAAACCTAAAGAAAATATTGGGTGCAAGGGGTAAGGAATCCTGTCAATTTACTCCCCCCTTCTCTTTCTGAAACCAACACTGACTGAAAGGCTAGCACAGGCTAATGGTGATGAAGAAGTCAAAGAAATCTATTCCCAAAGAAGTCCCTGTACAGTTCTGTCCACACACAAATGATTAGCACATACAACATATTTCCATTCCTGACCTTACTTACTTACATTAACCCTCTTTGTATGAACTTTTGTTTCCTAGAAACTTCCAGACGAGGCAACATCTCCTGAGGCTTTAGCAACACAAGACAGAATAAATGAGCAGTTTTTTATGGTTCTTAAAGAAAACATGAATTCCAGCAATCCAGCTTGGAAAGTTATGGGGCTAAAGGAAGTACAGGACAGACAACAAAAAAGGAAAGATCAGCAGCAGAAGAAAGAAGCAAAATTAAAAGAAAAACAATCTAATGAGTTCACAACTGAATAGAGTAGAGTTTCCAAGTTTACCACTGCTATAATAAAGAAAGTGGAAACTTTCTGGTCATTTAAAACAAGTTGACTTCTTCTAAAGGTTTAGGCCATACCATCTATTCTTTTACTTGCTGGAATATTCAGCAAGAATACTGGTTGCCATTTAGAAAAAGAAATTTTTTTTTCAAGCACATTAGGCATAATGTGCACTAATCTAAAGAACTTTTCCATGGAGCAAGAGGTTTGTGGAAGAGTGCTTCTAAATTTTTTTTGACTGAAACAAGATAGGCATTTAGTTCCTCTCTACTTTTCCCATCAGAAATGGTTAAAAAACATGTTAATGCACATTAAAAATTCTTTCTGAGAAGTATTTGTGGGGAGGTTCTTAAGATAAAAGTATAGAAAATATATAAATAAGTGGATCAATATAAGTATCTGGGCAACTGTCCACCTACCCCTCCCCCATCCCAACAATAACCTTAACTTGTTGTCAATTGACTGTTGTTGAGTTAGGGGAGGGGTAGGTGGGCAGTTGCCCAGATACTGATATTGATCCAAATAAGTCCCTTCTTTTGCGCCTATATTGTTTTATCAATGAGACTCTTGTCAAATTATTGGAAAAAAACATCAAGTTGAATAAAAAATGGAATTGTTTACTCACATTTCTGTTTTGCACAAACTGTGACACAAAATGACCTTGACTTTGAAATCTAATGAAGCAAACTTTGTTTGACTCATGGATTCATTCCCTACTGTTGTATTTATTGATGAAGATTACTTTAACCTTTTATTAATAGGGATTCATCTCTTGAATCAGCCACAGGTCTTAGCATATTTGCTGTGGTTGTGTAATGGTGGCAAATCATACCAAATGAGTCATTAGGGAGGCCTGGGTCTAAACCCACTCCTAAGTTATGTTGAGTAATTCTTCCTTCTAGCTGCTCAACTTTTCCTTAAAAATACTAAGAAGAATTTGATACTTAATCAACAAAAATATTTTGGCCAGTTAGTTCTTATATACTCACCACATGTTACTGGAGAATATGGAAATAATGTAAGAAGAAGTAACAAGTTAATCACTTAGTGAACTGGGAATAAAATCAGTTCAGTCAGTAGGTGTATTGAGTAAAAACACATAAACTGTTAGTGGTTTTCTTACAGTTTTTATCTTAAGTTTACATCAATTTCAAAGTTATATTTATAACTGGAATGGTATCTTAACATTCACAAATAACATAAAGAAAAATTCAGGTGCACTTGGATAAAGAGTTACCTTAAAAGGTAAATTTTGCATGTTACTATACTTTTACACTATATCAGAGGGAAAGTTCTCCATAATTTATTCTATACATTTTCTATGTTACTTACAAGGAGAATTTGTCTTACAATCAAGAACTTCTTGAGTTTGTCATCATTTCCTTTATTCTCATGAACTTAATGTTTGATTCAAGGGTGATACTGTTTGGAGAAATTAGGTGTTAATCCAGCTGAGGCATTAAAGGGTTAGCCCTTTCTTAACATTGTTTGAAGTCACAAGGGAGAAATTTTCCCTGTCTTCACCAGATATCAACTGTCAAATAAAGCACTGAAAACAAACTGATGAAAGATACAGGTGAAGGTTTTCAACCTTCTAGTAGCATTTCAAAGAAAAACCTGAGGTCATTAAATTGTCAGTGATGCTTAGGTATGGACTTCTGTTTCCATGATTTACAACACAGTTTACATCTTTTTCAGTTCTCCTGTTATGAACTAGAGTCTTAAATTGTAACCTCCTAAAATGCCAAAGAAAATTTAGATTCTCCAACGTTTTCCATGTAAGCTTTTCATGCAGAGTAAGTTCTCAAACTTGATTTGGAAAATGAGTAACAAAGCTAACGTTTCCTATTCCTGTTGTGCAGTTTGAGACACTTTTTCATAAAAATATTGCACAGATTGATAATCTATTTCCTCCAAACGATTCACAAACAGGTTCCTCTGCTGGTCAGTCCATTGCAAAAACCACTTGTTAAACATTCGAAGCTGGCAATGAAAAACATCTGGGCTTGCTAACGAAAGAGACTCCAAAGCGTCATTTAATGAAGACAGTTTGTTAGGAGTGACTTTATTAGCGAGGATATCCATGAACTCATACTTTTGATGTTCTGTCCAACAGCTAAACCACGACAAAACAACTCTCAATTCTTCATCTGTTGATTTTTTCTCCGTGCAGGCGGCCATTCACTGAGTTGCATCTTGGTGAAACTGGAACAATTCAGGACAGGCGTTCCTTGAAGTTATAACAGTCTCTAGGACGTAGTCTGGGTTCTACTTATATCCAAAATGGCGGTCGTAGGTTCATTGACGAAGGGAACGGGTGAAGTTTTAGAATTTAGACATGTACTTCTTTCATCTCAACACTCTCAAGGAAGAAAGGAAGATTTTGAAAGTCTAGTCCACTCCTTAAAGAAACTTCAACAGGATGTTAACTCTTGTTTAACGGAAATCATTGAACAGGAAAAGACATCAGAAACAAACCAGGCCTCCAAAAACCGTGAGTAAAATTTTAGATTAAGTAACATCTTCAAACCGAAACCTTCGAGTTCATCCAGTTGCAGAGAGAGAAAATAAAAATCCTTCATTTGATGCAGGAAGCTCTCTCTCCATTTACAACTATCTCTAACTCTCTTAGGGATTTTTTTTGCTCGAGCTTGCAGTTAATACAAGGGTAAAGGAGTTTTCTCACACATCGTGTTAATGATACCAACGCATAATTTCCGTTTTGTGATACAGAAACAACTGAAGACGATGACCCGGATGACAGCGAAGATGACTTGGAAGATCTAGATACCACAGAGAAGCAAAACGGAGCGATACAAGAGCCACAGTTGAAGAAGTTAAGAACGTAGCTTGTTGAGGATTTTGTAGTAGTCTTACTGGCACAGCTGGCCTCGAAGGGGAAGAAGCAACATGAGGAGAAAAGGCAGCTTATGCAATCGAGTATGCTATGCACATAACACTCTGATTGGATGAAAGTATATGAAGATAAAGTTTTTTTAATGGAACATGTCAAGAATTGAATGTCATTTGAAGAATTAAATCCTTGAGAACGACCACTATCTCAACCAATCGCAACTTGGGCACTCGCGTTTTCCTGCGCTTTAGGCAGCTACCCTATGCTGATTAATAACTATAGTCTTCTGATTGGTTATTGTAATTACCTGGTTTTGATTTTACTAAGAGATTATAGTCTCTTGGTTTTAGGATACTTAATCGAAAAGCGCTCTAGTTAACTATCCTATGGACAATTGCTTTCAAATGCGCGTGGATTTGATTACAGACACACCTAGCCGCTGACCTGTAACACAACAAATGGTTGGTGTTGGTGATCTGTTTGAATAATTATGCGCTAAAATTTCGTGATCAACAGAATGATTTTCTTCGCGTGTGGCCAGCTAACAGAGTCATTTCCAAAATGAGCACGCCCATTGTCAAAAGGTTTGGTACATTTTGAGACTGTTGAAAAGGTTCACTTACTCTTAGTAATCTCAAAACAGGGTACAAGTGTCTTTTTTGGAGATAAAAATTGTGCAGTTTCAGAAGTATATTTCTCCCTTAGGCATGATGTAACCTGCAATGTATTTTGTTGTTCAAGGTGAACTAAAGATGCTTTTTCCAGCTAAACTGTCAGCTCTGTGACTTGTCCAAGGCCTTTTTCTAATCAAAAATCCCACCATTGAGACTCTCCTTTAGTCACATGGCAAGATGACCGCGTATTTGTTCGTTACCCTCCTCATAGTCTGTCCGATAGTCTGAGACTTGTTTTGTCCTCTTGAATCAAGAGAGCTTGATTAAGGCTAAGCAGCCACACTCCCTTTGTTACGAAAAAGACCAAGGCAAAATTTTTTCATCTAGGTCTATTTTATATCAATAATTGTTTCGCAAATAAAAATCAGAACGTTGTCTCTTCTAATTTGCATGATAGAACTGCACTCAATAGGCGTCTTCTCATAACGTGCGAAATCTTGTGTTTTACGTTAATCGCCTTAATAAATTTTAAAACTATATATAAAAAAACCTGCTTCCAATTTTTTATCCATATTTTAAATTTATTATCATTATTTTTTTAAAATTCTTTTTCATGAACATTACTGAGTGTGCAAGATCTTCAAAATTTTTTTATAACGCATTGGTTGTTTAGACTACGCACGATCGATTTGCCATGAGACCGCCAAAAATAAAGCAACTATTATTTATATAGTACAGTACTCTTGCACCATTAGTCATGAATTCAGTTTATTATAACACTACAAGAACGAACCACAAGTAGTCTCGATAGTCTGTAGTCTACTTTTTGTTTACGTCAACAAGTAAACAGATCATTTGAGAATTTTCCTTTAATTTGCATCTTTCAATACATACAATACATGTGTTTGTCTCATATCATCTAGCAGGTGTTTTGAACTGCACCAGTGAAACTCACTTACGCGCTGACATCTCGACCAATAATTTTGCGACAGGTTATAAACAAACCAGAACTCGCTTAAGTTTGACAGCAACGCGCGCGAGCTAAGAGACTATCGCCAGCATCGATTTTACATCGGCGTTTGTTTGCTGAAAGCCATCTCTTCAAGTGAAAATATCCTTTAAGGAAGACAAAGAAGCAATTGAAAGCGGATTGGTAGGGTAAGAGCTTGGCTTAAGGTTTTTCTTTGCGTTTAATCGCTCCATTTCCTATCATTGCGATTCGCTTTGTGTTATTTTTATAACTGGATCGTGCTGTTAGTCTTATCTGGAGAGAGTATTCTGCGGTCTGTCTCTTTTTGAGTCTGCACACAGTCAAGACAACCATCTTAATTATCAACAGTCCTAAGGTCAGTTGGACATATGATTTTTTTTCTGTAAATTTCATTTTTTATTTTCGCGACATCTCCAAACAACGCCAGGTGCTCGAGAAGCCAAAATTTTAGAGTGAAAAAACATAGCGCTATACGAGTTTGAATTGGCATTTAAAGTATCTTGGAATTTCGGTCAGTTAGTGCGCCAAAACCAAAAATTAAATTATTCTCATCTATCATCTGAGAGAGCGACCGCATAGAATAAGTTTAGCGTTTGAGAAGTAACGTTGTGAGAAGCTTGTTTTCATTATTGGTAACAGTTTTTTTCCATTAAAGCTCCTGGTTTCACTCGGGCGAGAATTTTCAGAGTTTGAGGAAAAACACGATATTCTCCCTTGCCGGAGAATTTTTGATGACATGCTTGGATGCCGGTTGACAAATAAGTTCTGTTTATTCGCCATTATGAATTAACGCAGTTTTGTAGTTCCGTTTGTAAAACAGCTCTAAGTGAGTTCAAGGTTTAAATTTAGATCAGTGACTTCCTTACATTTCCCCGTACGGATTGAAGATTGACTAAAACTGTAATAAACCCTGGGACTATAGTTACAACTTTGTCGACCAAACGAAATAATAGTTGTATGGATAGTGGGTTCCAGTTGCGTTGAAAGAAACTAGAAACTAATAAATACCAAATGAGATGGATGCAGTTGATCAAATAAAGCGGTAAACCATAGCATAATCCGTCAAGACCGTGTACCTGAATCATTGAAAACTCGTGAAGAAGTTCGTCTAGGAAACGTAGTTAACAAAGAAAGAAAAACATGAAAAAGTTATTGAATGACCGGAGGTTGTTTCATGATCGAAGACTATTTGTAACGCCCACCAGTGACATCCATGTCGATATTAGAATGATTTTTTTCTCATAAGTATGTCTCGAAACATTGCCATCACAATAGTCTAAGAGTTTTTTCCGATCTTTTTTCAGTGTGTAAAGTTGAAAAATTCACCGCTTCAGGACTTTTCCCGTCTCTTAATACGTTAATAGCATAAATACTTAAAATAGAATTGATGCATTTTCATGCCTCAAAAATTGACTCAAAAATTTGGGTTCAAAACAAGGTTGATCGTAAACAAACTCCTATCATTGAAATCTTTCATGACGTCACTGATGGTCTGCAATTGATAGATCGGCATACATTTACTTAAATTGAACTTAGATTTAAAGAATGGAAAAATTGCTGACAGCGTTAAGTTCTTCGGAAACAGATATATTTTCGCTTGTTCATTATATGTGGATTTCCTGGTGACATATTCAAAACTTTTCGGTACAACTAGCAACATGTCATACATGCCGTGTGAATCGCCGGTTTGACCACTATAAGTCAAATTGGGGTCTTTTGTTGATAGGGCGCATGTCGGTTGAGTGTCGACCGAACGGAAATAAAGAAGTAAAACGGCCAATTGGAACAAAGGAAAATTTCTCAATGAGATTTCAAACTTGCTGATGCGAGTTAATGTTGCGTCTGATTGGTTGAGAGAGTAGCGCGCGACTTCTCATTAAAATCTATTACACTGCGTGGTGAAACAAAACAAATCATATCCTGCATTACTCCGCTCGTCCGAACTTAGTATAGCCCTATCGGCTAGGGAAAATATTTGGATCGGAGACTTGAAAAAACTCCTTGTGTAGAGGAATTTTCTTATGCAAGAAAATATTTTGTTGAAAAGAGTCCATTAACGATACCATGTATATTCAGTTTTCAGCTGAACGGATGCTGGTGGAGGCCTGGGGCTGGGGCTATTTGCCATGCTTATTGGCTGTGTTGGTGTTATGTAGCGTGACCCTGACTTGGGACGCCCCTCTTTTTGCCCCATATCGTGAACATTATGTGTCCAAGGCGCATTATCATGGAGTTGATGTCTTCACAGAGGCCCTCCATTCGCCTGTGGGGCCTGAACAGTTCATGGAGCATTTTTATGTGTGCTACGGAAGAGACGGACGGAAAACGTACTTTAAAAAACAGGACCAAAATTATTTCTCTAACCGAAGGTACTGGGTGATTAGTTCTTCCGGTAAATTTGTGGCTTCTATGCGAACCTGTTGATGTAGAGGACACATACTGTATGATAGGAGTTACATAACCTTCAAGAAATCTCTTCGTAGACGTATGAACAAATGCTTAAGATAACACCTATCACAAATACTAAAAAAAAATACTCGTTCGCATCCAGATCACCTTGCGAGTGATGAATTAGTTGTCATTACAGGTTCGGTAGGTTAGCGTCAAACTCATTCATGGGGCTAATATTTACCACAACATTTTGTTGCACTTAACTGTAACGTGCAAATATAGCTTAAAAGCAAGGACCAAAAACACCACCTACAGAACGTTGTCACTCAAATAGTGAGCAGCTACGCAAATTTATTAGAACACTTTATTTAGGACAACAAAATGGCTGCTGTGACGTCGCATGAACACAAACGCCAACAGCTTAAAGATGGACATTAACACAGGATTACACAGGAATCTGAAGAAAGCAGACATCTTCTGGAGAGTCTGGCTTAAGTTGCAGTAGGAAGATGGGGTTATAAATTATGTTATGAAGTTATGATCAAATAAATCTGATCTTATATCCGCGGCGAGTATTGTTGTAGTATGGGGTACATATGAAAATGATTCTGATTGGTCTAAGTCTGCAAGATAATGAATAAGACATAACAAAAAAAAAGACATAAAAAAAAGGTAAATGTGTGTAATAACTTTTCTCAGACTTGGTGAAGTACTAAATACAAAATAACGACAGTCTTTAACCAGCTAACATTTACATTTTTTTAATCCTTCAATGTAAAAGAACTAACAAATTCAGAATCTTTTACACTAAACATTTCCTCGCGTTGATGTAATGAGTGAATGATGGAATCAACCTAGGGCCCAGGGTCTCTCTTTTTCTCTATCTCTTACCCCATTGCATTGAAGGGGGCAAGGGGAGGAAGCTGGGGGTTTTGCACTACTTAAAATGAAAGTGAGCTGTAATTTTACAAGAAGTGATGCAAAGTTACTTTAGAGGCCTTCACAAATGGAACACACATATGCCAAAAAACACCCTACACTAAATAGTTGGAATCTGGAAGAAACAGTAGTCATCTTGGCAAGGGTAGTCCTGAAAAAGAGCAGTGTTTCATCGTGACTGAGATTTTAAAACACATTTCAAAGTCATCCTCACATTTAAGGGCTCTTATGAAGACTTTCCAATAAAGACTTTCCCTCAAAACATTCCCCTCAGGTTGTAAAAAATCTCAGTCACAGTCAAAGACAATGATCCTTACAGAACAACAAACACCAGAACAATCACAGAATACTCATTCCTGAGGAATATAATTAATGCCACTATCAAAAACGTATTTTATACTAAAGATTAATTGTGGCAAAATCATATGAAGGCTACATATGTCCGGTGCACTGTACACTGGAGATCAATCATGAATGTGATTTCTGTTCCAAGACCAGCCACAGAACCCAGCATGAAGACTTTGCTAAACTTAGTGATAGGATTAAGTAAACACTTGGAATGCACAGGACACTTATACTGAATGAACCTTACAATGGTATCAAGTTTAATAAGGGCTTCTGATTGCAGATGAAGAAACATTATGGAAGAGAGAGAGTCATTAATTGTACACAACTACACTTTTGAAGTACCTGTACTTTAAACTGTCACTTAATCCTCTAATTCATTATTACTGTTCACAGCTCTCCTTTGATTTACTTATTTGAGTTGGTGTGGTATACAATTTGTTTATTATCACATATTATAGGATTGGCAAGACAGTAACACTGAATTTCTATTTCCAGAACTACAGAGAACTTGAAAAACACACTTGACTGAACCATTTTTACTCCCAAAAACAGGAAACATGCAACTTGTTCTTTAAAGTTACAATACTAATACATCATCAATACAATATCCAGCAAACAGGTGAAGAAAATTTACAGAAGTAACATTAAATTTCCCTTTTACCATACAATTGAGTAGCACCTACAGCCAGATCTGTCTATCAGATCTGTGGTGTAAAAGGGTTAATGAAGAAAAAACAGGCTTTCATGTAAAACAGAAATACAATTTTTAGCCAAGATGCATAACCCAATCATGAATCAAGTAACCTTTTAATTCTTTCCAAATGTTGACATGACAAGAATAAAATCAAAGTAGTAAACAACCAGAGCAACACATTACAATACTACTCTCCCACACAATAAACATTTTTGTTTAGTAAGGAGAATATAATTATGCTTCCATGCAAGGATATATGTTATGGCATCACTCACTGGTTGCTTTAATTTGGTACACTAATCAAATCTATATTCTCAAAAAGTTATATAAACACACGATGTTGAATCTATCTAAAACCACACCAAGGTCTATTTAACAATTTGTAACCAAACATATTACAAGTTAAGGTAAACACTTCAGGAACACTGTCTTCAGCCAGGCTTTTAAGGTCCATCACTCTGCCTATAATAACACAGTCAATGTTAAAAAAAAATAACTTAATCATCACTATAGAAATAGCTTAACCCTTTGACTCCAAAGAGTGACTCACATCTAATTTCTCATTACATTATTAACCCTGAATCAAGGTCATGAGAATAATGGAAATAATCACCAACTAAAGTAGCACTTGATTGTTCTACAAATTCTCCCTGTAAGCACCTTAGGAAATGTACAGAGAACAGTACGGAGAATATGCATCCTGATGTTTGGGTAAAAAGGGTTAAAGGAGAAGTACAATCCAAACAACATACAGTTTTCTCCATGTCATTCAAAAGCATAAGGACAAATTTACTTTTATTTGTGCTTTGGTAATTCAAACAAGTAAGCTATCTGTTTGAAATTGTCTTTAAATGAGTGAACATTCGGGAATACACACCCACATTTTGAAAACAGCTCCGTAGCTTAACCATACACACAAAACTTCAACATACGAGTCAGAAACAGTTCCTGCTCTAGATATATTACTGAACACTAGAGTAAAGGAATGCCTCTTTATGCGGCTTATTATCGTTCCAGAAAAACTATCAAAAGGTGAAAAAGAAGAGAGAGACTTTTTTTTACATCATAGATATGCTGCCACAGTTCTGAACAAAAAGGAAAAGTTGTGTCCCTGTCAAATTTTAACACATTTGAAGACAACTTGTAAAAGGTTGGCTAGTAGCCATTGTTCAGCACCTCAATACTTGTTTGATGTCATAATTTTTTTACCACTTTTGGATGGAGGCATGGGGATAAATATTATATGGTTTCAAACAGGGAGCATACTTCTCCATACGTTCTACTACACAAGAGAGGGTGTAATGAGAAGGGAAATAACACTGTGCTCTATTACAATCAGAAAAAATTTGTTGGGCCTGGCACCACAGTGAAAGCACCTGCCAGGAATATTAAAAGTACAGAGAAAATAAACATAAGCCTGGTTCAAATTACCACGTTACAACCCTGTTTCGGTTAAACCAAATAACTGATTTAAAAATCAAAATCAGTGTGTTCTGCCTCTCAAATTGTAGCATTCAAGTTTAATCAGTGTGAGAGTATGGTTTTTGCCCTGTTTAAAGTTGATAAATGAGACCAGGAATATATCAAACCTGGACAACTGTGATCTCTGTATGGTACAAAGCACAGGCTTCTGAGGTCAGGCAACAAGGAGTCAGGAATTGATTAGCTTTGTTGAAACCAGTGGTGTTTAATTTTTGTGTAAGATAAATTAAGAAACATTTGCACATGTTTGTCAGCTTATTTGTTTATTTATATCCACTAGTTTTGTGTTCTTCTTCACAGCATAATTGAATCAACTGGAGGGTATCAGGTTCAGCATTTGAAAAATTAGACAGTTTAAATTGGCTTAAGCCATAAATATAGAAAAGTGAGATTGGATGTTTTTCACCTCATTTTCCTGTTTGGCTGACAGTTTTTCCAATGTCTTCTGAACAAAAATCTGCCTGTAAAATGGAAGTCAAAACAAAAACTTTATAGTAAGCCAAAAACCTGGGATATGGGCTAAGGTTTTGTTGGGTTCTATCTCAATATGACTTGAAACTAATGAGGAAAAAATATAAAAGAAAAATCCCATTGCATGCTAAAAAAAATTAATAAAAAATTTACACCAATCCTGGGTTACGTTAATCATGTTTAGAACAACCCAACCCTAAGTGGAAATAAATGCAAGACAAATACAGAGAGTATTACTTGTAAAAATTGTTATGTACTGGAAGTTAATTATACTGAGGGCATCACCATGGTCATACTTACTTAGCCTGGAGTCCTCCTCCTGGGGGCAAGGATGGAATGTCCTCACTGGATAATAAATGCATGGCGTAATACAAATCAACCCCACCAGGGTTTTCTTGGAGTATCACTAAAGTGGAAGAACAAATCAAATGTACTTTGAGCTTACTACAGAAAAACTTTAGAGTCAATTTTTTAGAAAACAAATAAATCAACAACAGGAACTTTTGTATCCTCCATTTTAACAAAAGTTTGTTTGCTGTATCATTTTTAAAAAAATTGAATGAAGGTAGTTCTCTTGTTGGTGGCTGAAAAGATGACATAGTAATGTTCTCAATTAACTTGAGAACATTGTAAATCAACTTTTGTCAAGAAACCACTCTACATCTGAAGCTTAGTACATACAATTAACCAAGAAAAACCTAAACCGCCAAAAGCCATATGACCTCACTACTGATCAACCCTTTAAGAAACTTTCAGTGGCTACACCTCACAGGAAATGAGGGATGGTGAAGAATGTGGTTTCTCATGTAAATTTTATCAACACTTACAGAGCAAAGTTATATTTTTTGACATGCACAGTACTTTCTACTGTTAAACTGGACCTACCTTCTATTCTTTTCTCTATGTCAGCATGAAGGTCTGCTTCCTAAAAATAAATAAACAAAAGAGAAAAGTCCCAAAGAGATATATTATGTTGTGATGTTAAGTTCAAGATAAAAAAAATGTTATACTTTTTAAATTCAAACCTCAAAAATATCAGGAAACATGGCAGAATGACCCTCACTATCCTTATTACAATTAAGATTTTGACATGACTGTAAGATTGTCATCTTTCTCGCAAATAGCACCAGAACATAATTCTTTGTCTTTTCCTTAATTCAAAAAGTGGGGCAATTTAATTGTTGTCAGGTTCATAAAGTCAACAATACAAATAACCTGTACTAACATGAAGTACCTGTTTAATAGCATCCTCAGAAACTCGAGGTGCTCCAGGGAAAGTGACCAAAATCACACTCATGTTATCACGACTTCCCTGTGAAATTAAGTGAAAGTGAAAATGAGCGACACCAAGGAACCTCAAATACTAATACACTGCGGAAAAACATGTAAAATAAATGACTCTAAAGGTGCCAGTCAGTTTGGAAATGATATGGATTATCAATAAGCCAAAAAAAAAAAACCACCAAAGGCACACATGGAAACATTTTAACAGTAAACATCAAGACAACTATTTACGAAAAGACGTGCTTAGAGGTCTGGTATTTAAGTTCAGAGTCACTCGTTATTTATCTGAAGCCATAGAGTTTCCGGGAATGTCTTAACGAGTTGTGAACGACGCAAAACTTCAAAAAATTATGCTTCAAATAAATAAAAGATAACTTTACTCAATTTTTGTTGTCTCTACGAAAATATTAGGTAATTATGCCTCCGTAAAATCTTCTGTACAATCCACATGAAAAATACATGGTAGGATTTGTAACAATACGATCCGTACTATGCAGCTGGCTTTTAAAATATTCTAGTTTAAAAAGCTCAAAACAGCTGAGAAAGCTCACTTGTTTATGAAACATTTCAGATCACTTCAATTAACAAACTGTCTGCAAGTTAATGCGACGGAGAACTTTCCTAACAAAGTTGAGGCTAACTGTTTTAACACAAACGCTTATTTGCCGTTACTACCTAACATTACGTGTACAACCACGTGAATCCGACGACAAAACTGATCAAAAACAACATAAAAACTGACAATCTCACCTTTGCTAGACAGGTGTCGAGGAGCTCGCTGCAAATTAGTTCTAAATCGTCAGAAAGAAGCATTCTTGAGCGAACGTAATCTCCTACTTCTTCGTTAGTCATCACATCCCAGATACCATCGCAGCCGACCACGATAAACTCATCCACATCATCTTGTCTTGAAATCACCGAAATCTCCGGCTCTGGCGAAACTAGTTGTTTATCCGCATCTAAAACTTTATCCATCTTGTACTCGAAATCTCCTAAAGCCCTAGAAACTGCCAAAGAGCCGTTTACCCTTTGGATCATAACACTACCCCCTGCCCTCTCAATGCGATTTTTCTCGTCTGGGTTGGATGGCTTGTGATCGACTGTATGGAAAGTCACTTTCTCGTTGCTACATAAAATAGCCCTAGAGTCTCCACAGTTGGCAAAGATAAATTGCTTAGGGGTAACCATGATTGTTACGGCTGTAGTACCACTTTTGTCATCCCCGTTTATCCAGGCTGGGCGTTCTCGCATCGTTTTGTCCAGCTCAAAAAATCCCATCTTTATCCCGCTTTTAAGCTGCTCCAAGTCAGGCGAAGATGGCCCGTTTTTTAGTGCCGATTTAAAATCATCGCTCGATAAAACACACCCTAGGAGATTCTCTGCACAATAAAGACTCGCATTTGAGCCTGCATGGCCGTCAAAAATGCCAAAAAATGACCATTCTTGAAGCTCCGGGTTCAAGCCAGTGATATCAGTGTGAGCATCTTCCATTTCAATACGCCAGCCTTGCATAGACGCCAGCCCATAGCGAAGTCCATTTCCCGACGCAGACTTTGTCAGTTTTTCAGTCTTTGGTTTGTCTAGAAATGCACCCATCAAAACAATGTCCTTTCAGCCACATCTACCGCATCAAAATTGTGTTTTTAAGTTCAAACATACAAATCTCTAGGAAAGTGCTGGTTGCAACAGATTTTCAAGTTACTATTCCCAGGCCACCACTCGGATGCTTTGTAATATGTTCCCAAGCCTACGCATGGGTAAAAATCTGAACTGGTTGTGTAACAGTCATGTACTGTCACTCTGCTGATGACTACTACATCAGTCAAAATCCCACGAAAGGGCTCAAAAGAGAAAATAAAACGGCCTCAAATCAACGGACTTGACCCTTTCTTTCAAACTGCACTCATGCAATGTGCATCACTTTGCAAACAATCACAGCCTGAGAAACAAAGACAAATCAGCTCACAATTCGTTGTGACTATAGCTGGTTTCAAATTCTCATATTCAGTACTACTAATTCAAGGTTAGTTCAAAGCTAACAAGGAAAATTTAAACAATGTTTTTTTAAGTGATTTGATGAACAGACTTCTCAAGAAAGGCAAATTCTTGCATTATATACAATTGTTGCCCAATATCAACAGCATCTCATATCACAAGTTCAAGTAAAATTACAATTTTTCAACAAAATTTATTTAGAAAGAGACAAATACAAAAGCTGTAGAGCTTGATTTAATACCAGTCAAACGGAAACACAAAAGACTGTCACCCCAGCTTTGCAGATAATCACCAGGAGTGAGTGCTCACGGTTATATGCTTAATATGATTCAATGTCAACAAACATGATGAAACAATTAGAACAATTAAGATACTCTTACTTCAGCTACAAAATAATGATGTGAGAGCTATCACTTTATTGACAAAAGGAAACAAAGTTAAGAATTCAATCATGTTTTATTTTGTGAGTGAAAGTAGCAAGTTATAACAGAGTTGAAAGTCTACAAGTAGCATTTGCAGGTTCTTTAGACACTCAGTTCCTGTGTTGAGCAATGTTCCTAGTCAGCAGCTAATCTCGCTCAGCGATGGCCACCAAATGTACATCAATTTCTGCTTCTGTTAGGATCCTGTAAGACCAACAATGGAGCTATTAAACTCAGTAATATTCCCAATGTGTTTCAAAACACAAGGGTGTTGAGTGTTCAAGCCAGAAAAAAAATAGGAAACAGGAAAATATCACAAGGAGCCAATGACAACTCAAAGTAAAAATATATGTAACCAACTTCAAAGTGCAGGAAAATGAGTTATCAGGTCGCTTTTTGGTTTGGCTTTGTATTCACTTCGTAGAGAGAGTGGCACAAGATTTTCCAGACCAATCGTCAATTGCACTAAGCCAAACCAAGCTTGAAAGCTGATTAAATTCAATAATCAAGTGAGCTATTCTAAAAAAAGAGACTCAAAAGTAATCTGAGATTCCTTTGGTGTTCCTTCACTGTACTTTATAATTGTTGTGGAGAACTTGCACCAAGTTTTCAACCAACCTGATCATCAAGTAAAACTGATTGTCACCTTTGTACCTTTCCTGCACTTCATCTATTCGACTTCTTGCTACTTTCAGTTCCTTGTTAAATCTCTCTTAGTTCTGAGGGGTCATAGTGATTACTTTGCTTTGTAGCAACAGAGTTTGCAGTTCTTTCTTTTCAGACATACAAAAATAAATATGGCTAAGCAGCAAAAAATGTTTGCAATTTTCTCTCAAAACCATCAGCCTGGCTAGATGATCAATTGAAACACACTCAGTACAGGAAGATGCAATGAGTTAATTCATGGGGACACTTACTTGAAACGTGGATTATCAGTTGTCACAATACCAACTTCTATCTCAGATGGCTTAAAGTCTGCAGATAACACAGATGACAGGCAGCTGATGGCAGTCTGTGGGTATGTAAATAAGATACATGTCACGGTTTTTAAGGACCTAAGCCACAGGTTTCCTGTGGAATACCTGGTGATATTCTCCAGGGCTCAAACCTCACTTGAAATAAAATTCTGGGTTCAAGATTCAATTTGCACAGGAGAACATTTTTATTGGATACAGAAGAAGACACAGAGTACTTTTCTCATTAAGTGGAAAAAATATTTTAAGAAGAAAAGACTTTAGGAAAATAAACAAAAAGGCCTTGTATTAGTGCAAAACTGTGCTTTTATATGTGTCCTAAGTCATGATCTGTCACTGGAAAATATTTGTGCAAATTTCTAGGTCAAATGAGGAAACTTTTTGCATAGACCACAAGATACTTGCCTCAATTGTTTCACTTTGTGTCCATGCATGTTTTTTCTTTATTTTCTTTTCCAGAAAGCTATTTGCCTCTGTTTGCTTTACACCAACACTACAACCTTTGAAACCACAGTAATATCCAGCAGGGTCTGTTTTGTACAACTGTGGACCTTTTTCATCATCTATACCAACCAAAATCATACCTGCAAAAATGAAACAATTATTTTCATCTACTTTCATAATTAATTCAGGGCTTAAGCCAAAGGGGCTCTACCCTACCACAGCTTGTTCCACTTCCTACCACATGAAGTTGCTGGGAGTATTGCTACTCCCCTGAGATAGGATGCCAGTCCATTGTAGGCTACCTCTCTCCCCCTTCCCCAAGCATTTTGTCACAATTCCCTGACAGTTTACTTGTATCCACTTAGACTCTTTGATGGAGAGAGGCACAGCGGGAATTAATGTCTTGCCCTAGAACACAACACAGTGACAAGACCAGGTCTAGAACCAGAACCTTTCAACCAAAAGGCAAGCCTGCTAAGCCTTTGGCCACATTGTCTCTGCCCACAAAAAAAAAACCAAACAAAGCAAAACAGAAGAAACTGTTGGGAATTAGCTTAATTAATCAACTATTTCTCACTTACTGCATCCAAGTGGTCTCATCTCAGCATTTTGAGTGTACACCTGTGAAATGTCAGCAATTCTCTTACACAGCATGTCTACAGGAATTTCATACCCGTATTTATATTTCCAGTTGGCTGCTTCATATCTAGCTCTCTGAACCTGGGAACGTGCATCCGCTACAAACAAAATAAGTGTAATACAGTAATGAATTAATAACAGGGAATTAAAAGTAGCCAAAGGATAATTATTGTCAGATTGCCAGACCCATTATAAGCTAAAGATCCAAGTAGATTACTCCCATTTTGTGGTCACATTATCAACTTGGTGTCCTTATAAATTGTGGTTTATGAATATACCTTCTATAATCAATCATTGCATAACAGGTGCTTAAGAACACAGGAACTTAGGACTTTTTAACAGACTACATGTGAAGAGCTATAATCCATAATCACTTTTAGTTCTGGACTGACTAATAAGGATGACTTCATCAACCAAGAGAATCCTGGTGCATTGTGGAAGTTTAAGTGTATCTTGAGATGTACGTGCATAAAGTATTACAGGGTTTTCTTAACAATTGTAGTGACAGGAAAATGATGAAAAGTGACAAGAAAATTTTTCTTCTCTATGTCTCAATAAAAGATAGCTCAAGCCATTAAGATTTCACCAGAGAGGTCAACATATAGTTAAGTGAAAATTCTCCAATCTCTCATACAAAATACAGAAAAACCTGGACAGTATGGTGTCAGGGTTCCTGAGAACAGAGAGATATTCAAGTCCAAAGTAAAAAAAGTACCTATCAGGCCAGTCATAACACATCCTATTCTCTCTGATAACTCAAACATGTGAGTTACAGTAGAGGCATCCAGTAGTTTGTCCTGTAAAACAAAATAACAAGAAAGCAAGAATTAATTCAGGGTTTGCAACAACCAACAAACATACTTTCATAATTATATATGTCAACAAGTTAAATTTGCAGTTTTACCACTACATGAGGCCTTTAAAATACAAATTAAAATGTTCATGCAAGGTGCTTAGTTGAAAAATTAAGTACGAAACCTCGCAAACAAAACCATTGTGTAAAATAATGGACTTACAGAAAGACATTTTAAAAAATAGAGGAGGTATGCTGTCTTAGAAACACAGACTCAAAACTTTAGCTCTACACTTTCCATTACCCAATGCAGTGAGCCTATGGTTAAAATTTAATACTAGATCAAGTCTATTTAACCTGCATATGGTTGTTGGATACCCCTAACAGAATAAGCGAGGTTGCCAAGTCAAAATTGTCATTGGAAGTTCAGTAGGTCCATGTAAAAAACTTCACAATCTAGATGTAGAGATAACTTCTTACAAAAAAAGGATTAAAATTTATTCTGAAATAACTAAATCAAGTTCGAAAAAACTAGTCACGGAAAATATCTAACAATTTTTCATAGGGAAACAAACTTAACATTTTAGAGCGACCATAAATCCTCTATCTCGATCAAACGATTTCGAAGCCGAAACGAAAGTTTATAATTCCACGGCCTGTAAAATTAAAATTGATGAAATCAACCTGAATGACAGTAACAGCACAACGTTTATTTTACTCAGACAATAGTGTGGATGGTAAGTTAGGAGAAAGAACTCACCGGGACTTTCTTTTGAGTCACAACTACTGCTGAGTCAGCCCCACGAAGACCAATAGATGTTAATCCGCCTTGATTTATTGCTTTGAAAGCATATTCTGCGCGTGGAAAGCACCAAAAAAATCGTTATTTGAACACGTTAGTAATAATTTTTTGGAAGCAATTGACTCACCAACTTGATATAACCGTCCTTCCGGCGAAAAAATTGTTATGTGTCGGTCAAAGCCAGCGCTGGTACCACGCGACATCTTGGATTTTTGTCTACTGGCATAACCGCGTGAAGACTGGGGCTGATGACTCGGTGCCCATCTCGACTAACTCTTCACCTTTTACAGATCGGAACATCAGATATTAGGGATTGAGGTTCTAAATTGAATTTACCATAAAGTAGAAAAACTCTTGCAAGCATGGTTAAAGAAATACTAAGTAACGATTTCAAGTCAAATTATCAAAGAAATGGCTGTCTGAAATTGGAAATATGTACAATAAGGCATATACCCCAAGCCACTCAATAGCCAATGCCAGAATCTGGGTACGGTGTGTGTTAATAAACTACTGGTCTCTGTTCACTGGCCTTTCTCGCTTGTCTTCACTGATAGAAGGCCTAGAACAGGGTTTCCATTTAAATATCTGGGTTAAATTTCCTTGCTTTAAACTGGCGAAATAAAACTTACAAAATTATTAAAGGGTGCAATTTTGTTGAGTTTTGAGCAGTTTGTCGTGCGCCCCAAAATAAAATCGTTTTCATTGTGCGGGGTTCACAGTGTAAGTCAAATGTTCTATTTTTTTACATTTCTTCCAATTGTTTCAGTTTTTTCCACAGTTTTGTTGATCTGTCAAATTTTGATAGAACAGAACTTTTGGCGGAAGAGGTTTAGCATACATTCAGTAAGGCAGGCTAACATTTTTAACTATGGTAAAGAACTGGCACACCACATTAGAGCAATATTTAATCAAAACAATTTATTGAGCTATAAGCAGATGACAGCTGGAATACAGTTTGTAAATTAGCTAAGCTGCCAAGTCAGTAGGCGTAGGAGTCTCGGGATCACTGATGCTTTCAACAGGCTCCTCAGAATACTCTGGTGTACAATTATCTGGCAAGTTACACTCCTCTTCCACACCATTTGCGCTGCCATCAACAGTGACGTCTTCAATTTGCTGGATATCGGGTTGGGTCGGTAGAACGCGTTTCTGTTGTGTCACGTTCTTGAACGGATGCTGCTGTCTTCCCGCGTAATGCACGTGCCTCATATTGTCATCGCGTGAACGCTGCACAGGGCGGGAAACTGAGAAGTCGTGACGGCGACCAAAGTTAATGGATCGGTTGATGTATTCACGCGATTGGTCTTCGGAGTTGCTGCTGGAATAATCATAACTTTGTTGGGAAGAATTAGAGGACTTCAGAAGATGCTTAAGTTGCACTTCAAGAATACTGCATTCCAACATCTTTTCACGATACAAATGTTCAGCCATGTTTAGCTGCGTGCGAAAATGCTGAAGCTGCCTTTGAAACTTCTGATTGGTGACTGCAAGCTGAGCAGCTGCCATGGACATCTGACGCCGTAGCCCTCCATTCTCCCGCAGCACCCGGTTACGATGTTTCCTGACCTGTGTAAACTGCTTCTGCAACGCTTCTTGCTCAATCTCAAGTTCCTTGTATTTTTGTTCCCAGTCTTCTGCCTCTTCCACTCTGTTCGCCCATGAGTCAGCGGCTTCTTCAGTATGATCATGATCAGAAGGTACCTTGTGAGAAGTTTTTGAGGCTTCTAACTCTTCCTGAAGGGATAACATTTCGCCTCGTGTAACCTCCATGCTTTCTTCCAACTTCTTGGCGCGAATTATGAGTTCTTCTTTTTCACCCTCTAAAGAAAGAAGTTTCCTTTCAATTTCTTCCTTCTCCGCACTCAAAACCTCATTGTCCGATATCTTTTTCTCTAACTGGCTGTTTGTTTCTTCAAGATGCGCCTTGTCATGTTGGTAAAGTTCCTCTCTCCTCTGTTTTTCTTCATTTAGTTTCCTTCTCAGTATCAGTATCTCCTCTTCCGCGGTATTCAGTCGATCAGAAAGAGATTTTTTACTTGCTTGCATTTCTTCATTCTCACGCGAGACTTTCACAAGCTGTTTCTTGATGTCATCAACACAGCTGTCAGCCTCATTGCTTAAGCTTTCGTTCATCTTTTGCTCTAGGTCAAGTTTCTGTTTGAGCTGTGCCACCTCGGCAGCGGTTTGTTCTTTCAGCGAGGTCAAGTAACTCTGTACTTCAGTCAACTCTTGATTCAATTGTGATACTTCTTCCTCGTGCTTTTCTTCAAGAACTAACACTTTTTCTTGTTCCTTGAGTAGCCGCTGATGTATAGCGTTAGTATCTTCTTCCTCCTGGGATCTTAAGCGCTGCAGTTTTGCGATCTCCTCTAGCAGAGCTTTCTTCTCTTCAGTAATCTTAGCAATCACTTCGTTTGCCTCCGTCAGAGCCCGCGTTTTCTCCTGCGTAATCTTTTGCAGGTCCTCAGCTGAGTCGTTACTGCGACTCAATTCAATCTTCAACTCATCCACAGTGGTTTGTACTGTTTCAAGAAGATCTTCAACCTTATGGCGTTGCTCTTTTTCAGCTTTCACATTCGATGTAAGTTCCTCTACGTTCTCATTAGCTTTCTTGAGAGAAGTTTTCAATTTATTCACTTCCTTTTCGGCTTCGGCTAACAGATCATTTAAATTGTTCCTCTCGGTTTCCAGCTCACGCAAACTTGTCTCACTCAATTTTTTAACAAACATCATGCACTCTTGGAGAGCTCCATCCTCTACCTCGTAAACTTCTAAAACGTTGTCTTCAACAATAGACATATCTTTCTTCGCTTCGTCTGCCATGATTTCTCGAACATAAAACAAGAACTCCCTTGCGTTTGATAACGAATCTTTCACGTCACAATCGTCAGATACGTCATTCAAAGTGTTGAGGACACGCGCACTTTGTAATTAGAGTGACTCATTAAAGCGATTGGTTCAGCACCATTTTAAACAGTGGCATAAGTTTCACTGCAACTTAGTACCTTTTGTTCTTTTGCGTTTTGAACGTTTGTTTAAATGCTCTCACGTGATTCCCCTCTAAAAGGATGCATTTCATGTTTATTTTGACACTCAAGTAAAAGTCTTGATTTTCACATAACCATGGTAAAGTGCAAATAAAGTTCCATTCATTCCATTCAAATAGGTGAATTAATTCAAAATGTATTCTATGTGTGTTTTTTCAAGTTCTTAAAAGGAGTAGAAACATTATTATTTTTTCTGGTGATGAAAGAAATGATAACTGAACAATTAAAAGCTCCAGAAGAGCTGAAAAAGTACTGGTAAGTTTTTCCATTATTCCACTTAATCGTGCGCTTATTAACATTTTTCATATTCTTAACCTGAGCTAATATACAGCTATTGTCTAGAAATCTATTCACATTCTATTGGAATTTAAGTACGTAATTGAAAGTCTCTATAAAATACTTTTTTCTCCATAATTACATTAAACGTCCCGTTCAGAAGAGTACTCGACTCATACAGGAGAAAGATGAAAGTGTTCTCGATTAAAAACTTTCCTTTTCAAGTCTCTTTCTTCGTGACATAAATATAAGGTCCTTAGGCCCAATAAATATTCGCTATTTCCACTTAGCGCACTAATACCAAGACAACTTTACTCTTCGTATACCCTCAAAAACACGTGCTGTATCAGTGACCATGACCGCAAGGAGAGGCACGGGTAGGGTAAGCCGTGCCTCTTATTGTCCAAAGGTTGGATACCGCTCAATATCCAACAATTTAAAAATAACACAAGCCACGATATCTGATGTATAACCGATACTGAACATCAATTAACCTTTACATCACTATATTGTTCTCTTAATCGTGTTTCACACGCAAGCTTCTGGTAGAATTCTCAGTAACACAATTGCGCTTTGGTATCCTCATTTCTCTCTCTCCCTGGTAGAATGAATTAGACGAACTTTTATTTCTTCCACGGTTTGTGTTCCATTTCGGCCCAAGTCCGTAGAAGTGAATTTAGGTTAAAGGAAACGGAAATTCCATATTCTTTTAGCCCAAAGCTTGCTTCTGGCTTCAGCTGTTGGCGATGTTCGAAGCACGTGCGGCTTTTACTGTGTTGAGTAACTCGGTGTAAGCAGGGATTCGGTTCTCTTCGACACCCAGTTCTTTTAGCTGTAAGGAAAAATTTTCAGATTAATAAAGTTGGGCTGATTTGGTCAAAACCGAAAGTTAAATTTAGATCAAGTATACTTTTAGGCTTAGTGAAGGAATTTTAGTGTAAGCATTTTCAATATCATATGAAGTAAATCTTTGTTCCTTACCGCTCGTCCAAACTCTTCCGTGTCGAGAGAGAACTGGAGACGAATCTTGTCGTCATCACTCATGGGTGATTGACTGTCTTGACTGACAGCTTGGCCACTCGCTCCAGGTCCCGTTTGTTTTCTGGAGCGTTTCAGACGCATCAAGCTGTCTTCAGTGCGTTTGATGGACGTGAGCACATCGCCTGTAACGGCGTGATACCTGGGGAAAATTTAATTAACAGTTATTGTATAACACAGTGGTTGGTTAACGACAAATGTGCTCGATATTTCAACAAGTGATATATCAGACAAACAGAGCAAGACTACAGGACTAATCGGTTTCCTAACAAGGAAATCAAGGGCGTAGCTACGTCTAAGAGAGTCGAAAATATGCCCGAGGGTGCCAAGAACCCCGGTTTTTAATATACATGACCACACCCGTAAAAGTATTAGCTTGGGTCATACGAGCCTCGCGGCCACACTGATAGAACTGTTACTTATCCCGTTTTCTGAAGAATGAAGCGAAAAGCGAGGGTGAGTTTTTTTCTATGCCCCCGCATACCATCATATTCAGCCCTGCCTGCTTGTTGGTGCATATTTCCCATTTGGGAGAGGTACTGTGAGGGGAAAGTGTTTGGCCCGAAAATAAAACATAGCCAGTTGGAACTCGAGCCCAGACTTTCCAATCAGAATTCTAGCGCGTTAACCATCAGACCGGCGCGCATCCTCAGGCAAAGATATGTCAACTCGCTGTAAAAATATAGGGTCCAGAATCTCAATTAAGTAAGATGTAAACAGTGGTTGAAAACGGAAAAAGGAACACAAACAGATGCTAAGGATACAAAAAGGTAGAGGTCGAAAGCGAAAAATCACTGACTTAACGAGCAAAGTCTGTAAGATTGTCGCTGCCCAGGCTTGGCGCTGTTGTTGTTTAATTAGAGGCTGGGTCTGTTCCAAGAATTCACGCACAGGCTTCAGTACACTGCTCACAAATGGAGACGACTTGCTTGGAGCCTGCCGAGAATCAACATAGACAGAATTCTTTGAATTTCAAATATTTATATGGCATTTGGAGGAACCTGGAGCAAATTGAAGAACACTCAAGAACAGAAACAAATCTTGCTTAGGGTTAGGGTTAGTGTTTGTTTTGAAATGTTTTGCTTCTAGTACATCCGGGTTTGCTTTAATTTTGCTTTCTTCTTCTCTGTGATTGGTCTAGAAAACTCACGCTAATCTATCGACCAATCAGGGTTGGCCACGCTTTTTCCCGCGTTTCAAGCAGTTTTCAAGAGTTCACCTTGAAATCTGACTGGCTGCTTGCGATAACCAGCTCTCTCCCGATTGGCTTTGAGAACTTCGATTTTGATGTTAAATACGCTGTATGACTGAATACTACTTTAATTTGCTTCTATTTTCAAATAACAGTGTCATCACTTATCACTCCAATATCGTAGGAAGTGAAGAGGGCTTACCTCTTTATTGGTTCTCCGATACAACCTGGGGATGTTCTTAACAGCTTCAAGTCCCTGAGAGGCTCTATTCACCACTTGGCTCACAATTTGAGCCTCCAGTGTCGGCACCATCTGTTGAATGGCCCCACAAGACTCCAGGATGGCCTCTGAAAACAGAATAGTTGAGTGTTAAGATAAACGCGTCTCAATGGCTGCGAAATGACTGTTGGCAAAAAGCAAGCAAGGGATAAACCAACCTGACAAGAGCTCTGTGTCTTGAATATTTGTTTGTCGTAGTTTAGGTAATATATCCAGTCTAAAGAACTCTGGCACCTAAAATAAAGAAGCGGGAAAGAAGCTCCCTGAGATAATGAGACTAACTCATACTTTTTTCATATCTCACACACATTTTGGATTTTTTGCTCCAATAAACTGATCTCAATAGGAAAACAATCTTGACCACAATGAGTGATAAAATACCACAGAAAATAACGTTCCTTCAAAAATTCCTTGAATTTCTGAGGTCTTTAGTAACCCCTTAACCCCACAAATTCCCTTTTGACTTTGCTGAACTACGACTGAAAGCAAACCAGACAATTCAACATTGTATTGGTGATGGGAAGGAGGGACAACCTCTAATAAAGTCTGGCAAGAAAACAGTGAAGCATGCCAAGAATATTGACAGACATGATGGAGTGACCATCATCAACTCAGAATCAAATTATGTTCCTCAAGTTCTGTTCCAAATTCCAAACCCACCTTTGTCAGAAGAGTGTTTAAGTCACTGAGCAAATGAACTAAGTATAATGTAGACTCCTCTCCAGGTCCTTGCTTTGTGTCACCATCACTGATCTAATAAAATTCATTGATTCACCTAAGCCTCCCTGCACTTTGTCTGTTTAGAGCCAGTCTGATAATGCCACACAAACAACAAAAGAGAGAGCACACATAGACATCTCTAACTCTCACTGCTTCTTCAATTACAGCCTGCTCCAAGCTCTTAGACAGAGGAGATGAGCAAGAGAATGGACAAGTAACAGATGTAATGATAAGGGAAGCGATGACCCCTGCCATTTTTGTGTACTTCCTTTTTCACGTGTCTTTTTTCAATTGGGAGCTTTGAACAAGCTAATGCAATTATGAGTTATTTTCTCTTATTTCCATTGCAGTGTTATTTAATTTTTCATCAAATAAATTAGAAAAATTTTCTAAGAAAACCTCAGTATCAATCCTTCACTCTGTTTGCCATACATTTCTAACAATGTCAGATCTGAGAATTTTGTGTTAAATAATCTCCCTTTGTTGATGTTTCTCTATCTTCTCATTACCTTTCTACTTCAAAATAAACTGATACTTTAGGGAGAAATTGATTTCAGGTCACTCCTGTGAGTGACCAAAAACAAAACTATCAACTTACTCTCCAATTACAATGACTACCTTTTGAGATGAAACATCTTCTTTGATCCACACAGATAAACGTGACAGAAGCTACAGGAAAAAAAAACAGGAAACAGTATCTTGCCCATTTTCTGGAAGGAATGTTAAGCTCAGACAAAAATCCACAGAAAACATTACAAACCAGGATGTATGAGAAGTGAAAGAGAAGTGAAAGAGAAGTGAAAGAGAAGTGAAAGAGAAGTGAAAGAGAAGTGAAAGAGAAGTGAAAGAGAAGTGAAAGAGAAGTGAAAGAGAAGTGAAAGAGAAGTGAAAGAGAAGTGAAGAACATAAAGGACAGACTGTGCTTTACCTTTCAAATACTTACCTGTAGGGTCATCTTCCAAAATCTGTGACAGAGGGCCTGAATGTAAACTGAGTCTTGCCAACATCTCTCGATGCACCACCACAAGACACTCACAGCTGATGTCAAGAATAGGTCAGAGTCCAAGAGAACATCTGTGATGAGCAGAAATTAATAATGTGTGACAACATGTTGACTGCCATAGCTGTAGTAACTGAGGCAAAGTGATGTACCATTCTTTAAAACAGACTTTTATTCACTTTGTATCACAAAAAATCCATTTCATGGTTCTAATAACTTGTAAACAAATTCACAATATGTCCTGAGAAAAACCCACAAAACAAAACAGAGAACAATTCCCTTTTCCATTCTGATTCCTTGAGACTTCAAGTACTGTTTGTACCAGATGAAATTAAAACATGTCAGCCAGATTAAAAAAATTTATTACCTAAAGCTACCTATAATTATTTCCTTTGTTTGAGACTTTCCCGTCCAAGTAATGTAGAGTACTTACAGTTTTTCAACCAAATGAACTAAACTGTACCTTTTGTCTTGTCTTGAGTCAACTGGAGTGAATTCTCAAACTTAGTTACCATTTCTTGGAACCTAAAATGACACAAGACACTAAAAATGAATAAAAGAAAGGAGCAAAACACACTTACTTTCAGTCAGAAAATTGTGGACCAAAAATATGATACTCTGCAAAGCCTAATGGAAAACTGAAAGAAAAACAAGATACAATTTTATGATCTTACACTCACCTGATTTGAAAATAGACTGGCAAACTCCACCTTGCCATGAAAGCTGTAAAGCTGGGATGTGACCGCAGTCTTTGTACACTTGCTTTAGAACCACACAAACCCTCAAACTTATTGATAAACCATATTGTGGTCATGTATTTCTGCAGCGTAAATTTGAGATCACTTTAATTAAAGTAGTTTTGTTAAGATGACAGAATGCCAGACACACTACAAAGTAAAAACAAGCCTGCTATGCAGACTAACAAATCACTAATGATACTATAAAGGAGGCAGCGTAGCCAATGGGTAAGGAGCTGGACTTGTAATCTAGAAGTCTCCTGTTCAAGACCTCCACCAAGCTCCTCAATTGATTTGTTTTCAGTTGCCCAGATTTCAACTCCTTGGCTGTGCATATGGCCAACTGATCTGCCTCAGGCCAGTCAGGATTGTTTAACTCTAAGTCTAATTCAAAGTTCAAAGTTCATTTATGATGAGATTGGATTGTGGTGGCTTTGAAAAGCCCCACTGGGGGAGTGGTCAATTGATGTTGTTATTGTTTTTATTATCTTATTATTGTTATCATCAAATACCTGATGGAATGCATCTGGATTACCAGGGGCAAAGATTGATCCAAACCGTGCATCAATGAGACCCACTACTTCAGGCCACACAGCATTCACTAAGAAATCAAAGCCTCTTATTCCTGCTCTCTGTTCACCGAACATCTCCACATCACTGGCAACAAATCTACCTGATGTTATGTTCATCATCTGTGCACAGTGTTTGGGGACAAATTCAAGAACTTTGTTGTACACATTGAACAGGCCTTGAGAGGGATCTGCAGTCAACATCTTCTCATCAATAACCTTAAGAGAAATTGTACAAAGTTAGTAAACTTATCCAATTTATACCGCCGTAGGAGATGTAGCAATTTGAGAGTTTGTGAGCTAAAAGCATTGGTCTCAACTTTGGTGAAGTAATTGAGCTGTGTTCTTGGGCAAGACACATATTAAGTCTACCAGTGCTGCTTTCCACAAAAGAGTAATGAATGCCAGGAAACTATGGTAAAGCTGACAAATGCTGGTTGGTAAACTGTACTGAAGTGTCTGAATTTGCAGTTGGCAGAACAGTAACCCTTGTTACTTCCTGATATAAAAAGGTGAACAACTGCAGAAATCTGACCAACAACATAAACCAGACTAACACCAAATCTAGATAAAATAGCAGTACCCCTTGTTGCTAAATGAGGTTTTGCCTTGTTCAGATCTCTTACCTCGCTCATATATGGCTTAACAGTAACTTCTCTGAACAACAATTCAGCATCTCTTGTCTTGTCAATGATAGCATAAGTTCTTAGCACTCTGGACAACAGATTCAATTCTCCTGTTTGGAGCCCTTCTTGAAATGCTGCTTCCAATTTTTTTTGAAGGGTACTTGTGATGGCAGCAATGCGCTTTTCAAGGAAATATAAAAGAAACAGTTAAAATAAGTATCTGTGTTAAAATCTTTCTGCTGCTTCTGAGGTAGTAAACATAAATTCAGTTGATGGAAGAATTTGGCAACCACTCGCTGACTGGTTTAAATATTTTCATTACCTTGCTTTTGATTTAAGTATTGAAATGTTAGGAGAAGTTACTTAATGCATTAAGGCTAAACTCCTACCTAATGAAAACATTCAATTCCTACCATGTCACACTAGCATTCTGGCAGAATAAGGTAATGAAATAACATCCAAACTTAACCAGTGCCAGTTTGATATTTTTGCAATACAATATCCTATCTGCATAGTTCCTGCACATAATGCAACATTTTCTTATTAATTCAGGAATCAACCAATCAAACAACTCACCCCTCTGATGCTTTCCACCAATGGATGCCCCTGACTCTGAGTAACATAAAACTGCAGCTGATTAAATTCACTGGCAACTCTCTCAATCAAATGAGAATCATCATCCCTAAAACAAATACAAAGGTCATTTATTTAGCATCGATGAAGTGAAAAATTCTCCAAAATACTTGTAAAGGTTATTTTTTACGCACCCTTCAGGTTCTTTAGCTGTCACTTCCTGAGAGAGGCGGGATCCTTGTAAGAGTCTCTCAATCTTTTCCAGTGACTTTGTGATGTTCAATAAATGTTGCATGCACGTCTTGGATGAAAAGTAAACATTTGAAATAAGAAGTTTGCAATGAAAATAAACCAAGACTCCAATAGCAAAGTTCTTTTTAAAGTTCTGCTAATGCATAGAATCCTCATTTATTACTGACTATGCCCAAAATGTGTACATGAAAATATCTAAACCCAAACACTCTTTTTCTAAGGAGAAAAAATTTACCAAAAGAATTATCTTTTAAATATGAGTTTCAAGGCTCCTCTGTTTTCAGTGACTTGAAAATCCCTAAAGAAGAAAAATCTATTGACCAAAAAACTACCATGATTACTCTTTCATAAAAATTGATATCTACAGTTTGTTAAACAAGCTATATGACTGGTTGTCCTTTTATGATACCTTTGTCTGTCTTAGCAGTGCTCTTTCATCCAATTTGTCTTCTATTGCACCAATTGTTCCATCAAGGTCAGACTTTATGAGCTGAGGGATAGACAATTGCAATGTTTACGGAAACAAAATTCACTCAGTCAAATTACTTAATCAATCTACTTGAAGAGTGATACCTTCAAACATCTTGGATTCCCATTAACTTTCTTTCATTAATTCAATTCTAAACAAAGATTACAGTTTACTCTCTGCAAATATACTCACCAAAACTTCCTCCTTCAGTTGACCAAGAGGAACTGACAAGTTGGCAATACTCTTATCCATTCCAACCTAATAAACAAACAAACAAACAAACAACTTTATTTAAGGTGGGTAGCACACAACAGTAATTCAACTGAAGAACTTGTGGCCCTTGATCCTAAAAAGTACCACAATTAGAATTAAAATGTATTCAATGATTATAAAAATGTGTAAAGTGTTATCCAAGAAGTTAAAATTTTGGGAAGTCCTGGATCAGAAACTAGGCTATCAGAGCATATCCCTAGTCTGTAGTTGGGAAGATCTGGTAACTAGAAGTTTACATGGATGCAATTCCATCACAGGTAAACCTCTAGTATTTCTTTTAGTTAGTTTTCCTCAAAGTTTAGCACTTTTTTTAAATGTATACATATATTCCAACTCTCCTGGATTATCAGGGAGTCTCGCAGTTACAGAGCCAATCTCCCGCTCTTGCATACAGGTGACCAAAACTCCCAGATAAAAGGAAGTTTGGATCAGTTGCTCACAAAAAACTAAGATTTAAGCTCCATATGTTCCCAAATTCCAAAATCATCTGGCTTCTTATGCTTGTATTACAGTTTCTGGCTTCATTTTCTTGCATGATACATGTTGTTCATTGCAAACACAAAGAAGAGAGTCTTTTCTTTGTCAATCCAATATAAGTGAGAGTCTGATTGGATGAGTATTCAACCTATTTAAGTCCCTGACAGATAGATCCATGTTTTTCTCGCAACATTGCTCAGGAGGGGGGGGGGTGCTGGTCTGAAAAAAAGATCTCCAGATTTGAGATGTCCAGAGGTTGGCATCACTGTGTATATCATGCTTTTCTGTTAAGGAGTGTGACTAGTAGCAAAATAACAGAGATCATATAACAAAAGACTACTCTACTCGTCTGAATAAAAAGTAACTCAGGTCATCAAAATTTCCCTTGGGAACCATCTGACCTCTGGCCTCTAGCCTCGTCAGAAATTTCCCGAAAACGACCCCTAAATCATCAAAAGCTTCAGTACATATTTCACCGTTCATCCCCTGTTTATACAGATTAGCCTGTAAACTATGACATCTCGTACCTTAACAAATAATTTCCTTGCAGAAAAGTTTCTATTTCTTCACTAAAACGAGAGAAACACTCACCAAGTTTGTAGACAAGTTCACAAAGTCGGCGTAATCTTCGTTGATCAACTCAATCAATGCATGTTTCAAGGCCTTCAAATACTCGTCTAAATTTGATTTTAGCACTTCCAAAGGTACACTCCCTTTGCAGTTTCCAACGAAGCTGTCAACGCTAAAAGACTCTTTCATGAAATCTGCCCTGGAAAACACAGCTGAGGTTGGTTCTCTAGGGACTATTTCTTCGTGAGTGTCCGCCATTTTGTTCCAACTCATCACGGCGAGAAAGTGACAGGCGTTCCATATCCAATCTTGGGGTCATTTTCGGGGCACGTCTTTGACTAACGAAAACGGGCCGTGGAAATTCGTAAGGACGCCTGTCTAGGAATCTTTTAGCAGACGATTTCTTTCTCTAGGTACTATTATTTATGGCAAAAGAGGTAGAAGTTGTATTAAATCTTAATGAAGATGTCACGCAAATCATTAAGTCGGCCCTTTTAAAAAGCTGCATTGAATACCTTTTGTATCAAAGGCAACAACTACCGATGCCTTACCACGAACTCACAAGAATGATGGAAGACGAAGAGAAACAAGATATAACTACAAATGTTGTAGAGCAACCAGTGGCCCGGCGATTTCTCAACACGGAGTACAAGAACGCTAAGAAAGTATACGAAGATGTAGAGTGTTTGTCTGACAATATAAACAAGCTGTTTATGTCAACAGTGGTCAAGTCTGCCTTAATCTTACTGGGGTCAACACCGGTTAGTCCAAAAGAACGATATCTTTTAGACTTTCAGAACCCTGAGGAAAGGAACAGTTTGGAGAGTACTTCTAGAATATGCAATTCTTCTTGTCGTAAGCTGATACGGAGCTTAATATCAAATCCAGAACTCGGTACATTTAAGGATATATCCCCTACTTCAATGTTTGTCTTCATACAAGCTAGCAGATCTTCACATGTCCAATGGTTTCGACCAAAATCATCTTTCAAGCCTCCCAACCGAGGTCAAAGCTGTAAGATAAGTGTAAGAACAGCCCTTGACGAGAAGAATAACCCCCCTAACGTGAACACAGATGAATGGCTGTGGTTCCAGGCGCCTGTTATTGTCAGAGGTTACAGAAACAGGAGTGGAGTTTAAAATCTGTAGCTGCATCATTTTAGGAGAACTATATTATCCTCTAGGCAATTTTGATGAACATCTTAAATAATATAGGATATTTTTTGAAGAAATTTTTTTAAATTTTTTTAATCAGTCAATTAAAATTTTGGTTTACTGTAAAATGTTGTTCATGGGTCTCAGATGTACACCATAGGAGGGGAAAGGGGAGTCAGAGTGATAGTGAGCTGCAAAGAAAGCAATAAAAACCGTTACCCTGTTGGAACAAAGTCCTTTGATTTATTCAAGACAAAAGTGTTTAATTCTTTGGAGCACTTTGTGAAGTTACCTCCAGCATATCTGTGCAGAATATTTAGCCTACCCTCAAAAGAATTGTGATACAGAAACACTTATACTCTATACCACTAGTATCCATGCCCCCATCTGAGACTTAATGAGACTGTAGAAAGATGTCTTATTAGAAAGATAAAAAATTGAGGTAGTATCCTCTGTTTAAAATTCAAGATGACACAAACAATATCTAAATGTTGTCAGAGATATTTAGACAAGAAGCAGAGAGGTAAAAGATTAACAACAAGGTTATCAAATTTCACTTCATTTTGCCACCAGAAAAAGCTAAAACTTTACTTAAACCATACACGGAAATGATACTTGCATTTCAGAGTAGGAGTCAAGGAGTCAGAGTCAAGGAAGAGGACAGCCTTACGATGAGCTTGTGAGTGTGCTCTTTTTAACGCTCTTATCTTGCAAAGCCTGCCAGATTCAAGTGGGTCAAGGGTCTGTGAAAGGTCTTGCTCAAAAGTGGAACAGATCCTTCAGACCTCTAAAGTCTTGTGGGCCTTGCTGCTTGATGGAATATTCTTAAGGGCAACAATTCTTTTTGTTTGAGGGAGGGGGTTCTTTTAATCTAGACAAGCCACTAACCAGGGTGGGGACTAATGACTAAGTAAATTTTTCTTTTGTAAACATGTAGGTCAGTAACTAGACTTAAGATCAAGTTTTTATGGAAGTGAAGTCCGGTATTTGCTCCGAGTGGCATCACCACCTTATTGTGTGGGGCAGTTTGCAAGTCTCAATGACCCCTAGAGCTATGTTGGCTGAAGTCTTGCACTCCTGATAGGGTCACCTGTGCTGAACAGGTCTAAGGGTATAGACCAGACAAAGAGTGATCCCTTGGTCCTCCAAGTTGGGAAACCAGATGCATTGATGATACAACCCAAATGGAGGGTGTTGCTACTGGAGCCATCAGGGTGCTCTTGGGCAAAAGCCAGCAGAAGCCCAAAGGCTAATATGTCCCATAGTAGCCCCCAAGAAACAGATCACCATTGGTTGCTGGAACATAAGGCCTTATGTGCTTACTGGCGCAATGGGCGATGATGATGATGATGATGAAGTCTGGTATGGCTCTCTTGATTGCTTTGGCACTTTTTGAGAACTCTGTTGACCAGATATCATTTCCATAAAATGCAAAAGAAATGTGTGTATGGGCATGGAGTTTCTTTTGAAGGAAGGTTTGGTGACAATGTCAGTGGGAGAATGAATGCTGTAATAGGCAAATTTTTTCATCGATTCACACCTTTATTTTTTAAGTTCAAAACCACACTATTGCTGCAGCTTAACATTTGGTTTGTCAATTCAAAACTGAATTAAACCTTTTTTTTTTACAAAAATTAACTTAATTAAGATCTCGACAATATGTTAAAGATTTTACTGGACAACTCAGTTCTCTGTAGAATGTCTGTGATTCAAATGAATTCTCTAAAGTACCTTTTCTTTAAAGCAAAAAATGTGGAACTTATTTAATTAAACCCTACCAAAGGAAAATAATACAGAGAGGGTTCACTAAATAAGAAAAAAACACCTAGTTCACAAAAGATTTTAATTGACAATCTAATTCTGCAACTACAACTGGGATAACATATGATTTGAGAGATGTTAAAAAAAAATAAAAACTGAATTATGCAATGCATTGGGAGTTTGGAATAAACTGCATTTGTTGACACTGAAAGATAAATAAACTTTTAGAATATTTAGAAAACAATGGAAACAAAAATTCCTGAAAGTGTTCCAGAAAGGAACAATCCTAGGCCTTATCTGTAATCAGCAATCTCCATTCCCATTATTCCAAAGTTTGTGAGCCATTGTTTAAAGTTTGTGTTCTTTTTTTTGTTCCAAGAATGTGTCTTCAATCAAGAATAACTAAAGAAACATTCCATGAATATCTGGAGTTGCAACACCAAATGAATTAAAAAGGGCAGACTTTCTAGACATGGCTGACAATGTATATTGTTAAAATATATCAACTTTTTAAAAACAGAATCTCAGGTATCCTCCACATTTTTATAAATGTGAAATCAAAGCTGTTGGGCTGGCAGCTAAATAATTTTTTTTCCAAAATCAAATTCTACTTAAAATCATCACCTACATGTAACAATGTTTGAACATGTAAAAAATACTTTCTCATTCATAAAAATATTTTCTGTACATTATTTATAGGATACCTTGCATTTCTTTGTCTAACTAAAATATCTTAAATAACAAGATGACATTGAACAAGTACATATATGTAGATGTTCATAAAGATGGCAGGAAACTAAGGACCTGTCCTCAATATCACAAATAATTAAAAATAAGTTCTATAATAGGATAGGAGAGTCCTCTTGTTGTTTAAACCTTGATTAAGTTGATTTCCTTTTGACGGGGTTTTTGTTGACATTTTTGAAAAGAGCAGTTTGATTATTTAGAAAAAAGGAAAAGGAATGCACATCCTCCTTTAAGGCTCCTTGATGATCTCTGAGAGACACCAGCCTTGCTTAAGCAAGGCCAAGATGCAAACAAACTGACGCTAGTAGGCAATCCTTCATTATTTACAATACCGTCATACATGTGCACAACCTATAATAGTTCTCAGACTTTGTAATCTCTCTGCCAAAACCAAATGTTCCTTCAAAAGCCATGCGCACCACTTCGTTTTGAGTTATCAATTGCTGGTAAGGTGTAATGTCCAAACTTCTGGCTTGTTTGATTCTGGAAAAAAAAAAAAACCACAATACATACTGAGCAACATTTATCATGATAAAATTAACAACTCGACAGTGGTTTATCCAGGTCTGTGGTATTGTATGCTCTATCACAGTGTTCAAAAATTTTAGTAAAATAATATACTTGTAACCTTCCATTAATCTTAGTCATAACATGCATCCTAAATCGCTCTTTTCCTTGTTTGTCTCTAATAACCACACAGCCAAACAAATACGACAGCTTAAATTGAGAGTAAAGTTTTTCTAAATTCTCTGCTGTCCATCTCAGAGAATTATTACAAGAGTATTTACCTGTTTCTTCAATTTTGTCAATAATTATAATTAGTTACCATTAATAAAAATAATCACCTTGACTTTATTTTTTTCTTGATGGATAATTGAAGGAAATGATGTTGGGAAAGTTGTTGTATGTGTGGTAGTTGCAACTGGTATCTTGGGTAAAGTTGTGCCATACGTATTGGTCTTGAAGCCTACACCTAAAGATGGTAATGACGGCTGTTGATGAGCAACTATTCCCCCTGTTAGGCCAAAACCATCGTCTTTTGGAAGAATAGACTGTAACAAAGAAAAAAATATTACATTAATGAAGGCATGGAACTGATTTTACTATCACAACATGGTAAAATTCATAGTTTTCTCTTAGTCCCATGCTTTTCACTAGAATGCTCAATTTTTTTATCCTTCCTTGTTTTAAGAACACATATAATGATTGGAAAGTTTATGATCTTCCGGAGAAAGGAGGATGTTTGCTGTTCATTCCACTGACTGTTATACATGGAGATGTTACCCCTGAAGTAAATCTCCGCATCAAGCTTTTCATCTTTGACAGTCGAAATGCTATCTCCTGACATTTTGCACACTATGCTCTCTGTATGTATGATATCAGTAGTCAATAAATATACTTTTTAAGCCTCTAACAGAAATTGTGAAACTTTACCTCAGTTGGTGAACGTGCATGACCTCTCACATGCTTTCTCTGATGGTAATAACAAAAAACTATGTGTTAGAAAAACCTTACAGAGGAAAAAGCAAAGCTCAACCTTAAAATGAAAGCCTTTCTGTAAACACAATTCAGATATACACTGTACAAGGAGTTCACCTTCTTTTTCACCATTCGATGTGGTTTGGTTATAACTGAAGCCTCGGATGGTGATGAATACCTTGTGTTGGCAGCAACTTGCCTTTTGTCTAACTCCCTGTTAAGTTGAATCAAATGGAAACTAATTGGTCTACATAAGACATTAAATTTTTATTCTATAGACATCACATTTTCTTTCATAACCATCAAACTGAAATTCCTGCTGTTATATTTTGGAAGCCCAAAATGAGTAACCTCTTCAAAATACTTTAAAGAGAAAACATAATTCATATTTGTTTTTCTATTAAGGCTATCTACATATGAGAAAATGCTAAGTAGACAAATTCATTTCCTAATGATGTGTATCTTTTAATTTTCAGAAGTTTTAATTTATTTTCTTTGTAATTGACTTTATTTGGGTTGCAACTATACCTGAGTTGTTTGAAGTAAGGATGCCTCAGAGCTTGTTTGGCTGATATTCTATGAACAAAATTGCAAAAGAACATTTATAATTGTAATAAGTATCAAACAGAAGCTGGAAACACTGTAGGACAAGTTGGAGAACTTGGAAAATAATCTGCACATTCCCTTCCTCCTTCATTCTCTACTGCTTGAACAGAAATTCACAAAACATCCTTTCTAAGCAAAAGTTACTGATAACCAGTCATCCCAACTGCAAAACAATTTTCCTTCAAAAGAAAAAATCTCACCAATCTACAAAATAAACCTTCCCTAAAAATTTTAAAGCCACATAGTAACATTAAAACCCTAAGAGTGACTAGCATCTAATTTTTCCTTACAATATCCCCTCTAAATCAAACTTCAAGGCCAGGAGAATAAAGGAAATTATCACCAACAAAAGAATCTCTTGATTGTTAAACAGATTCTCCTTATCATCACCTTAAGAAATGTTTAGAGAACAGGATGGATAATATGCATGCTGATGTTGGGGTGCAAAGGGTTGATTCAAATTACCTATCATCAGGATCATAAGCACACATGAGTTCAATGAGCTCAATGCAATCCTGAGACACATGATCATGTGGAAGCAAGGTACTGATGCCACTTCCTGTTTTGGGTGGAAAGTTGAAATTCATGCTGCGTGATTTACTGAAAGGCAAAAGGAGAAAAATTATTTAGCTTATTAGTAAATTGCTGTGAGCTAATGAAAAAAATCCAGTTATGGTAACCCTTTGACCCTAAAGAGTGACTAGTATTTCATTTCTCCTTACAATATCGCCCCAAAATGACACATTAATTAAGATCACAACAATAAAGGAATGATCACCAACTACAGAAGCTCTTGATTGTTGAACAAATTCTCCCTGTCAGCACCTTAAGATATGTATATAGAACAGTATGGAGAATATACATACTGATATTAAAGTATAAAGAGTTAAAAGTCATAATCACTTGATAAGTTCAACTTACTTTTGTAACTTTTTTAGTATGTTAGGTGATGGTGTTCCAAGGACAGAATGAATTCTAGCAATCTGATCAACTTCATTAGAACCAGGAAACAGAGGATGTAAGCTGTGAATACAAAATAATGAATATTAAATTAAATGTAATACTTCATAATAATTCCTTCATTTATGTGACATCATATTATTCATTAACTGTGAAGATCAGCTTTGGAAAAGTTCATAAAAGTAACAAAAATGTTTCCTTTGAACATATATAAGCCAAATCAAACTTCAAAATCCTCAACATGTGTTTTATGTTAATTAAAAATATTAGGAAACTCTTAGACTAGTGACTATTTAAGATTATAATTAATTTTGGTTAAAATGATTTCACAGTACACTTTTATTTTAATAGCAAAGAAGAAATCATATCAAATAAGTTTAAAATCACTTTTGCATACTGGATATCTAAAAGCAGTACACATATCCTCAAGACATCACTATAATTCTGACAATCATGTCTACCTATAGGTTCCTTCCTCTATAAAACAAAAAACACAAGAAATTTAATCAATAGTTAATAAAATTATTTGTTTGAGCTCAAGTCACCTTAGAACTTCAAAGAACACACAACCAACACTCCACATGTCCATCTTATGGGTATAGTAACCATCTGTCAATAAACATTCTGGGGCACGATACCTGAAAACAAACAAATAATTGATAAATAAGGTGGAACAAGCATTTGAAAAGGGCTGTCAATGCTTCATTTAAGTCAACATCTGCCATGAACTCTTAGATTTTCTCACAAAAGTTCATTCTGCACATGGGAAAGGGAGCCCACACCACTGATAATACTTTTCCTAGTTTTTTACAGCGCTTTTTACAACATGACGGACTCTTGTTTCTTCAACTGGAATTGACACGCAGTCTACCCCAGGCAACCACGTCTGTCACTTCAATAGAATACCATAATAGTTTGCTGGAGGACAGCACTTTGAGAGTAGAGGGGCTGTCTCATATGCCACAGTATCTCTTTAACATTTCTCTGCAAATTTTTATGCGAAGCAAAGCCTTAACTTTTAGTTATGGACCAAACAAATTTAAACCTTGATCAAAAATATCACTCTCATCGGACAGAGCTTTTACTCAAACATTTCTTCTTCTTCAGAGTTTTTCTTCAGCTAATAGTAGATGTACAGTAACTTGTTTTTAAGTCATCACAGAAAATGCAGTCTAACAAATATTGTGTTTGTACCCAACTCACCATCTAGTTGATATGTATTCAGTGTAAGGCTGTTTTGAGTAAACACTTCGACATGATCCAAAGTCAGCTAATTTTACAACGTCATCCTGAAATATGACAGTTTATAGAAAACCATGAATTTGAAATACTTCTCATTGTCAACAAAAGCTTACTTTCATTGATGGAACTTTTTGGTGAAATGGAATAACCTTGACAATTTTTTTAGAGATGCTCTATCAGGCAAACCATACCACAGGAAACAATAAGTTAAGTGAACAAGATGACATCAAAGAAAATTAAAATATCAGTGATTCCTTCTTTTATTTTTCCTCCAAGTTAGAGCGACCAGTAATTCAAAACTGTTGAACATACTTAGATAAAATACCCTTGAATCATGCTAATAAGGTCATGTACAACTAAAACATAAAAAAAACCCCTTAGTTACCTTAATCAAAATATTTTCTGGCTTAACATCTCTATGAAATATTCCATTTCTGTATTAAAAGAATGGGATCAGTTATAAAAGATTAACATACAACTCATCACTGTCTGTGTATCACCCTTCAATTGCCAGATGTGATTTACAACTAAACGGGTCACAAGAATACTCAAACTTATCAGGTAAGCATTGTTGTCTTGATCTAACAACAAACTCTTGTAACTAATTTACAAATAAACATATATCAGCTAGAAAGGGGAGAATCAACAATCAGATCTCAGGAGTTTAAGGGTAAAATTACAAAAACTTGGTAAATCTTGCATCAAATGCCAACTTGATCCACTATTACTTGAAAAATGGAAAGTAAACATGCAGTGAAAAAATTTTTTTTTTGGGTATTAATTAGGAGTTAGATGTACATGCATGTTTATTTTCCAAATATAATCTCACCAGTCCTTGAATCTTACCTGTGCATGTGATCAATGGCCTTACAAAGCTGGTACATATAGTTTTTAACCTTTGCTTCTGGCAAGTAGTGTCGCCGTCCTAAAAAAAATAGTTTTCAAGACTATATCTATATGGTGTTTTTTAAGGAATTATGTTAGTTAGTTGTCTATGATAAGGACTGTTATTTTATTTTCCTATTTTATTTTATAATTGTACTTATTTAAATTTTTCTTTTCCTTAATGATAATGTTAAGTATGTAAGAATTTGAAAAATCTATATTGTAAACTATTTAATATTTGTAAAGCTCAAAATTTCTCCCATCAAATCTTAAAAACAAATGTAAAAAAATTTAAAAATTTAATTGACAAGTGCTTTCATAAAAGCTCTTACCTCTTATCATTTCATACAGGTTCATATCCATCAGCTCACAGATCAAGGCTAAAGTTCCATTCTTCTTGTCACTAAAGTATTCAAATAACATAGTTTTAACAAACTGGTGATCATTTCTTAACACGCTCAAAAGCAGAGGATACAAAATGAAATTGAAAGTTCTTTTTTTCATAAAAAAAAACAACAACAACAACATAGACAGGTATTAAGGTCCATAAATACTAAAAAGCAATTAAACCCCACGCCACAGAATCTGTTGTTGACAGTTTTCATCTCGACATTGTTTGCAGGAGATTAACTAACCAATTATAAACGAAGTATTCCCAACGCCAAATCAATTAACATCCATTACATTTGACAACGAGCATGCAAAATTTTGACATGAGCGGCGGGTGGAATTACCTCACGATCATACGTGTGAATTTAATGATCTCATTCAAAGAATTTTGTTGTTCCTTTCATTTCGAGGAAGTGTAAATTAACTGCTCTTCTATTAAAAACATGTACTTTCCGTAGCACTAACAGATCAAAAACAGCTTATTAGACCATTCCACATCACTGTTCGTAGAATTGAAATGAATATACATGCGATCCCGAATATATTTTTAACAAAATATATCACGGAAAGTAATTTGACTCTGTTGAATAACATCGATTCGTGCTCAAAAGGCTTTAAAATGTTCAATCCTGAGCTCAGGGGTGATGAAAGATCTTTGTGACAGCGTTCAACGACAAATTTAAGTTTCACATGCTAGTGCTTCGAAGATTTGCATAATTCAACTACTGTCCCCAGAAAATCAAGTTCGTTAAATAAGTTTAGGGCTACAAATATGTTCTTACAAGATAATCTCCTTCAATTCAACCACATTTCCATGGGGACTCAAGCGTCTCATAGCTTGAATCTCTCTCAAATTGTTCACTTGATCAATGCTGAAGAAGAAAATATATAAGATAAAACGAATGTAAGTACCTTACATAATCTTTTCCTACAATTTCATTACATCTTGAAGTAAAAACTTACAACAAAAACAACAAAAGCTCTTCTTTTCCTTACTTAAGAGGAGAACAATGTTTAGGCCGTGCGGGAAGCCGCAGCTCACTAAGTCATGCCGTGACTAGAAATCAAATCTACCTTTCATAGCGCTGTTTCATCTTCTTGCAAGCATAGTAAGTACCATCTCGAATATCCTGAACTTTCAGAACCTCTGAGAAGGTTCCTTCCCCTTTCTTGCCGAGGATACGGTATTCTGTGGAGCGAAATAAGATCAGAAAATATGAGTAACAGCGCGCGCTTGGAACGCAGTTGGCGATGAAGTGTCATCTTTGACCGAACATTTTACATGTGAAGCAACATCAATCTTTCACTCACTTTGCATTTCCTACGGCGTGAGTGAATTTATATAGTCATTGTTCACGGATATGATATATATATTTCATCTGAAACCTCTTAAAGATCAGCGCGAGCGGAATAAAAGTTATAACATAAGTTCATGGACACCAAATGCAACCCAACAATTGTTTGCTTTCGAACGAGTTAGCGGAGTTTGCGTATAACGTCGTTGCCATAGTAATGTTCATAAACTAACAGACTGGAAAATTGAGCAAGATTTATGGATAGCCACTCCAGGATAGATTTAAAAACTTTAATGTCGGTACTTGGTCGGTCGGGAAAGAAAGAAACTTCAATTTAAATGCAAAAGTCTGTGAACTGAAGTTAAAATTTCACTTTTTAAAATTGGATTATTTGATGTGTGCGAAGTTCAGTTGCTATATTTCTTATCTCTCGAGACACTGTCGACTAAAATGTTATGAGAAGAAGATCATTCGGTTCAATTTGGATGAAATGTTCAATGCAAGTACAATGAATATCACTCTTGAAAACGAGCAAAACAAAAGTACCCCAAATTTACCCCATTTAACCTCATCAAGGATTTGCCTCGCTCCCAACATTCGGCTTCGTAGCTCAGTTGATTAGGGGATTAGGGCGCTCTGAGAGGCATGGGCTCGAATCCCGTCGGGGCCCTGAATTTTTTACTAAGGTTCATTTCTGCAATTGCTGAAACTGCTGCTCTCCTGCGAGGATCATTACTTAACTTGACCAAAGAGAGAAAGTGGGAAAAAGACATGCCAAAACTAAATCAGGATACACGATAAGAACAAATTTTATGAGTCTTCAAATACTTGCACCCTTGAAGACGTTCTCAGCTAAATTATAATCCAACAAACAAGACGGTGCAATTCCAAATGCCTCCCGGAAACATGCTTTCTCTAAGGCTGAGATGGCATTAATCTGGAAAAAGTTTAAAGTTCTCTTTTTATGAAGTCATTACAGTAAAGTACCAAGCCAGAAAAACCCCCTTCTCCATTTCTTTTGGACTCGATAGATTTTTGGCGCGCTTACCCTAAAATTTTAAAATGTGTTACTTCCACAACTCCCCGAAAAGCAACCAGATATATAAAAAAAAGGGGAAAAAAGAATGGAGCCACCCAGTCCCGTGTCATCGAGAAGAAAGAAACAATAATGAACCAAAACAAAACAAAACGAAACGCGAACATCATTACGCTAACAAGGTCCAGATTTTTACTAAACTTTATTTTTAACTATTCCCATAAAAGAAGGCGAGAGGGTTAACTTTTAAGCCACGCGTTCAGTAATTCCTACTGCACAGAGTTAAAAGATTAACATAACATAGCATCTACTTTCTCAAAGGTACGAACTTCATAGACAGAGGGTCACTGAAGATGTCGATTCGCAAACATGCTCAGAAGCAAAATTGCTGAACGAGACATGGCTCTCACATCAGTCCTTCATCTCCTCTCATTCTACTCATCATTACATCCTCATCACAATGTGTTCCCATGGTCTAAACAGAAAAAAGGAAAGAAAAATTCTGGTAGAACCAAACCAGAGTGCGAACAAAGGCCAAACAAAACAAAGGTAAATATCACGTGGAGCCACTGAGTACTCAAGGGAAACACTAGAACACTACCTGGAACGCGGAAAAATGCTGGAAAACAAGTTATTATTTTCGCAGCTGATTGGTTAAGAGGGTGATGTGAGTTTATCAAAGGGCCAATGGAAACAAAAGTTAATGTCATCCCCTCAGCCAATCAGATACAACACCGAGACAACGTTCATCCCAACTTGCGATAAGAGACGTGATAATTTCGTAAAATCGTCGGCAAAATGACGATATCAACGGGATTCCAACAAGGAACACTATTCTAAAACACAAAACTTGTATTACCTTCTGAACATACTGTGGGTTTGTAGCCAGTTCTCGGTCCATGTGTTGTAGCTTTTCGTCGAGATGTTGGAATAGCCGCATCTGCGAAGAGGACAAAGGAGCTTTATTATCCATTTCATCAGTGACAATATACAATGAATATTTTGGCCTAATTTTTCAATTATTTGCAATCTGTGTTGCCACATTATCTAGAGTGTTCAAAACCTCCCCTGCTTGCACACCTGCACACCAACCACAACCAGTTTATCTAGTTGTCGAGCTTTTTCAACATCATTTGGTCGTTGTACTTCTCCGGATTTTGATGAAAGGAAACCATTCCATCTCGATGATTAATGCTTGCACATATATCCCCATCTTCTATCTGGAAAGAAAGGAGAAATATTACTCAGAGACTTCAAAAAGGTTCATGAACACACGGCGCATGTGCTTGACGCATCGAGAGCATCATAAAATTTGAAGGAGAGCGCTGCTTTTCGAACATGTATAAAAAACTTAAACCAGAGCTTAGATGTGGTGACAACGGCCGATCAAAACGAAGGAAAATTTATCAATAAGTCTAGAGGGCAACGAGCAACTTCGGCGGGAACTGCCTGTAGCGCGGGAAAACGCGAGACACAAAGCTGCGACAGCTTTTAGTTTTGCATCTGATTGGTTGAGAGCGTGCCACGAATTTTCTACACCAATCAGAAAGCAAAGTTGTACAAAACGAGTGCAGTCCAATCCAGTTCCACATTACTTCCAGCAACACATAGACTTTTGTTCTTTGCATAAACTGTTTCCATAAACCAAGGTTGTTCAATGCACATGTTGTTGCCATGTTGAGTATGTACTGTTCGGCTTCCTTGGGGCTGCTCAGTTGCACTCTGTCGGCCATGTCTGACAGAGACAGGGTCTCAGAAATGTCTGACAAAAAAGAAAAAGACAAACAAAAAGAAAAAACAATGGTTAACGAAAAAAATTAATTAAGTAGAGACATTTGGATGTGGAGGCGAGTTTAATAACAAGTTGAACTCGTCTCCATGTTCTCCACATCTCGTCTCAAAGTTTAGAGAAGTTACAGTGAACTGTATTCTTTGAGAACCTTTATGGTTCTCTTTGCAAGCAAAAAAAAAACTGTATTATCATCGTTATTGCACAATAATTTAGCCCTTTCTTGATTAACAAAGTAAAAAAACCGTTGCAGTGTCACCATTCTCACAAAAACTAATCTGGATTGCCATTTCCGCAGTCAATGAAAGTGATGTCTAACAAATTGTTTTTGTGTTAAAAACAACCCTTTCACCCCATCAGTTGTCATGTACGTAAAAATATTAAAAGCAAATGAGGGCATAAATCGACAACGACTACGCCACGAAACAAACAGTGTTCATTTGCATAAGAATACAGGGGGTAAGTTTCTAAAGAAACTGTGGTGCTGCGTCGGTGGGAGAGTAAAACAGGGTAATTTGGTGTTATCGACTGAGTTAATAACGTTAATTTGCCACCGTAGACAGGGCGTGAAATTAATTTTTTTTTCTGATAGCCACTTGGCTCCTAAATTCTTAAAAGTGGTAGCCAATTAAAAAAAAGTTGGTCGCCAATTTCAAAGACAAACAAAACCTTTTTTTACACTGTCATCGTGCTAGAAATTGTGTTAGGGAAAAGATCTTTAACGTGCTACAAAGTGGACACTAGGATGGATGATATGCAACGTTCAAGCTCACCTAAATTTAAGATGGCGTCTAGTTATCGATCGAGACGCATGTGCTGCGTTTTGGAAACAAACTTGACGAGGAAGTTTGTTGCGGATTTATCTTTGCAAATCTTCTTAATTCACTATATCGCTAGGTGAGGTTATGACGAAACATAAAAAATTTTCAGGATTTGGTCGCCAAAGTGAAAAATTTAGTCGTATTGGCGCCTGTATTAGGCGCAATTTCACGCCATGTACTAGACAGTTACAAAGCTGACGATTCGAGCGTTTGTCCTTCCTCAGAGCGTAGTCATTCGCTCTAACGCAGGGCTAACGCTGGAATCGTCAGCTTTCAAACTCTTTACGGTGACCGATTTACAGTATCAACTCAGCTGATAATACTTGATTACCCTGCTTCATTTGCATAATGCCATCAGAAATGATGGACCCAAAGTGCTTCCTTGTCAACTGCTGCTGAGCACTGGACCCTAGGGGTTGAAATTGGTCAATTCACTTATTAGAACCCCACACGCTTAACTTTTCTATTTTTAAAGTGAACCCAGTCAAAGAACTTTCTAACATCCAACATACCTGCTTTGGAATGCAATGAATGCAAGTCTTCACTTAAACCTGTTCCCATTTCTCAGTTTTGTAACTAATTGTATTCCTTCTGTAAAATTTAATTTTTATTCTATACCTTAGAGTGAACAAATTATTTTCATTGGAGCATGTAGGTGTGCCAAAATGTAGTTTAACTTGGCAGTTACGCATACCTTTGTAAGCCTGAGAATATTCTTCTTATAAAGAGAGCTAACCACTTGCTTCACCAGACCGACGTTGTTGTCCTAGAGTACATAATAAATTAACTTTTGTCAAAAGGGGTATCTACCATTATTCACAACTGGCAAGGCAGAATACTACAGACTATTCTTAAACACAGCACACTAATAAAGAACAAAGAATCTGTTGAGATCTGCCTTACTACATCCAAAAAGTTAACCAAAGAAAATTCTCATATGAATCGCAACCATCTGGACAAAACAATCAATTCATGATCTTTTGACTGGGCCCAGTTATTCAAAGTCGGATTAGTACTTACCCAGGGTTAAATTTTAATCCAGATTTCCTTGTTCCTTTGTTCAAAAGCCTTTTCCGGATAATTTCATCTTTTTCTTTTAGGGTATCCAATCATCAATTTGTGGTAAAAATGAATGGTAATGAATTTTACTTTAAAGCTTTTAGATCCAAAATCACATTTCACTCCAACCATGGGTTATCCTAACCCTGAGCTTTGAACAACCCGACCCTGAACTATTTAAAAAAAGAATTTGGGAAAACCTTCCAAGCATAGCCAATCCATTTTATTTGTCTTTTTATTTGTCATCAGTTTTGCCGGGCACATCTCATTTCTAACAACCTCTGAAGGCCAAAATTTGTAAAAGAATTATCATTATAGCGCGACATTCTCAGAAAAACAGGAAGACGTGATTCTCGATAAAACAGGAAGTCTAACAGGTTCTCTCTCAGTGAGTCATCAAATTTTTATTCTTACAGTTGTATGACCTATCTCAACCAATCAGCAATGTTTTAACTTAGGTTATAACATTATATGGTTTTCATGCTCCATCACGCTTCACATAGAGTTTTCAGCAAAGATTCATGTGAATTGTTATAACCTTAAAATGGCAAGACGTTTATCTGATTTGATGGATGAACTAAATTTCACAATGGAGCCTGATGCTTTTCTAGAATGGTTTTGGAAAGGGACTAATGGAAATGACTTCATCAGAGAGCTAAACAGTTATGCTCAAAAGAAGGACTTGGACGATCGCATTCGCCGGGAGAAAGATTGTCCCCATGTGTATGCTATAGTCCTGAATAATTTTCCAATAGCAGGAGATGAGGAATGGAAGCTAGTTAAAGTTGGTTTTACTCACAAGTCTATCAAAAGGAATAGCAACAATCGAATGGAGCAATTACAAAAGATAATTGAGTCGAAGCTAAACAAAGACTCAAATCGAGCGGCAACTGCATCAAAGCCTGAAGTAAAAGCATCAGTTCTGTTTGCAGTGCGAATTGGATCCGTTGACACCACACCATTTCACGATACAGAAGCTCGAATACGAGGAAAGGTCGGTACACCAATACAGACAGCAAAGGCAAAGGAACAAAATCTGCATGCACCAACAGAGTGGGTTCTCACAACCCAGAGCTATATTAAAGAAATTTTAAAAGAGCTGGGCGCTAAAAAGGCTAAGAGTGGATCTGCGGAAGATTTGATTGATGTTTTTAAGGATATCAATCCACCACAGGTTCCACCCAATAAGTTCTCAGATTGGGTATAAGAAGAAAAGTGCGAAAGAAGGAAAAAAACTGAACTGAACAACTGTCATGAATGAACTAGATTATAACATTAGCATCAATTGTAGCATGTAATGGTGTCACGACACACCAGCGTTCTATGTATAACCTATTATACAATTTATTATATATTCACAGTTACTCTATACATCTTTTGCTGTTCATTTACGCAAAATGTACATTCATTTACGTCAACAGTTGAAACTATACGGCAAATATACATTACTCAGCACTTCTATGAACTTCATTAACGCAACGAACTTTCAAGAATTATAATGCTATTTGCATGTGTATTAACATTCAATAGCATTAACGGATGAACAATTGCACCTTTGGACAATGAAACATAACAAATAAACTTTTAATCACGCGCAATGGTTTATCATTAACATCAATAGAAAATCAATAGCATAGTATGACAATCAATTGCGTCTTAGAGATATACATAGAGATATGCATAGAGACGCTCAATCAATTGCACCTTCATACAATCGTTTATTCAAAATGGTCAATCATTAACGTGAACTGACAAACATTAATGTTTTTCGAATGAATATTTGGAAGAAAAAATATTCATCAATGTCATTCATCGTAGTTACATATATTTTAAAATACTGAAGCTGATATAAAATGAAGAACATTTTACATGTACAGTACACTGTAAGAAATAGAGTACGCTGTATGAACAAGTAGACGCATTGAAGACAGAAATAACCGAAGAAAATCATGCCATCAAGAAACCAAATTCTTTTTGAACAGCGACAAAGAATTATTCAAGCCTTCTAAGATGTTAATGAAGATTATTTGACGGATGCTGCTACTATCGGAGTAAACCGATCAACGGCAAGAAGTATCGTTGCACGATATTTACGAGAGGGAAGGATAGCGGAGATACCACGAGGAGGAGCAAATAATGTTCGAGTGGATGATGAAATTTTGATGAAATAAATCTCGACCCAAATAAACATGTGATTTTCATTTATAACGGCGCACCAGCCCACAACAATCCTGCCATTCCTGGTTCGAATTCTGAGCATAATACCACCATACAGCCCGTTTCTGAACATCGTAGAGCAAGCAGTAAGTACCTTAAAAGCAGCCATAAAGTGGACATAAGTCGTCCAGAGCAGTAAGAACAGATGAACAACAGAGCAGAGGCAAGACGACAAGGAATCGCGTTAGGCAATTGCCGCACTCAATTGCTACATCAGGCCCTGCAGAGAAACATAGACACTATCACGGCTGCTAAATGTGGGCAGTGGTACAGATTCATGCAAACATATATTCCAAGATGTTTAAATAAAGAAGAAATTGAAGGAAAATTACAAAACAATACATTACAGTACACTTTAATAGAACAATTTTGAAATTTCTTTTTCCGAGTTAGCAGAGTTTGCGTTGAACGTCGTTGCCATAGCAACGTTAATTTACTAGTAGGCTGGAAAATTGAGTGAGATTTGTTTAATTCAAGTACAATAAACATCGCTCTTGAAAACGAACAAAACAAATGTACCCCAAATTTATCCCATTTACGATTTGCCTCGCTCCCAACGTACGGCTCTGTGGCTCAGTTGGTTGTAGCGCCCTGGAAAGAAATGGGCTCGAATCTCCTCGGGGCCCTGAATTTTTTCCTGGGTTCATTTCTGCAATTGCTGAAATTGCTGCTCTCCTGCAAGGATCATTGCTTTCCTTGACCACAGAAAGAAAGTGGAAAAAATACGTACCAAAACTAAATCAGGAAAACACGATATAAACAAATTTTATCAGTCTTTAAACGCTGGCACCCTTGAAGACATTCTCAGCAAAATTTTACTCCAACAAGCAAGTTGATGCAATTTCAAATGTCTCCCGGAAACATGCTTTCTCTAAGGCTGAGATGGCATTAATCTGGAAAATGTTTAAATTTTCATCTTTTTGTGAAATAATTACAGCAAAGTACTGAGCCGAAAAAAATCCCCCTCTCCATTTCTTTTGGACTCGATAGATTTTTGGCGCGCCTACCCTGAAATATTAAATGTGTTACTTCCACAGTTTCCCGAAATGCAACAAGATATAAAAGGATAGAGCCACCCAGTCCCGCGTCATGGAGGAGAAAAAAACGATAATAAACCAAAAAAAAAAGAACAGAAAAAAACGAAACCCGAACATCATTACGCTAACAAAGTTCAGATTTTTACTAAACTTTATTTTTACTGTTCCCTTAAAAGAAGGCGAGAGGGTTAGCTTTTAAGTCACGTGTTCAATAATTCCTACTGTACAGAGTTAAGTAGATTAACAACTCCATAATTTCTGCTTTCTCAAAGGTACAAACTTCATAGACAGAGGGTCATTGAAGATATCGATTTGCAAACATGCTCAGAAGCAAAATTGTTGAACGAGACATGGCTCTCACATCAGTCCTTCATCCCCTCTCATTCTACTCATCATTACATCCTCGTCACAATGTGTTCCCATGGTCTAAACAGAAAAAAGGAAAGAAAAATTATCGTAGAATCAAACCAGAGTAAGAACAAAGGCTAACAAAGCAAAGGTAAATATCAAGTGGAATCACTAAGAACTCAAGGTAAAAACTAGAACACTGCCTGAAGCGCGAAAAAAATGCGTGAGAACAGGTCATTTTCGCAGCTGATTGGTTAAGAGGCATGAGTTTATCACAGAGTCAATGGAAAAAAAGTTGATATCATCCCCTCAACCAATCAGATACAACATTGACACAACGTTGGTGACTTGACTGCAAACCTTTTCCCGCGCTTTAGACAGCGTGCTTGCTTTTACTTTAATTCATGATTGGCTCCTTGTAATTTTGTAACTTTGCTCTGATTGGCCGTGTGATCAAGATTACATTGATCTAGATTTAAGGAAACTCAATCAAAATGCACGCTAGCAACGAAGGGGAACGTTTCACTTTTGAATACTTTTGAAATTCTAAATTAATTTGCAGTTCATCCCGACTTGAAATGAGAAACGAGATAATTTCGTAAAATTGTCGGCAAAATGACGATATCGACGGGATTCCAACAAGGAACACTACTCTCAAACACAAAACTTGTATTACCTTCTGAACAAACTGTGGGTTTGTAGCCAGCTCTCGGTCCATTTGTTGTAGCTTTTCGTCGAGATGTTGGAATAGCCGCATCTGCGAAGAGGACAAAGGAGCTTTATTATCCACTTCATCAGTGACAATATAGAACGAATATTTAGGCCTAATTTTTCAATTATTTGCAATCCATGTTGCCACATTATCTAAAGTAATGAAAACCTCCCCTGTTTGCACACGCACACACTCACACACCAAGCACAACCAGTTATACCTCACTGTCGAGCTTTTTCAACATCTTTGGGTTGTTGTACTTCTCCGGATTTTGATGAAAGGAAACCATACCATCTCGCTGATTAATGCTTGCATATATATCCCCATCTTCTATCTGGAAAGAAAAGAGAAATATTACTTAAAGACTTCAAAAGGATTCATTAACACACTATGCATGTACTTAACGCATCGAGAGTATCATGAAATTTGAAGGAGAGCTTTTAGTCTTGCATCTGATTGGTTGAGAGTGTGCCACGAGTTTTCTAAACCAATCAGTAAGCAAAGCTATACAAAACGAGTGCAGTCCAATCCAGTCCCACATTACTTCCAGCAACACATCGATTTTTGCTCTTTGCATACACTGTTTCCATAAACCAAGGTTGTTCTTAGAGGCACAATAAAAATGTTGTTACCATGTTGAGTATGTACTGTTCGGCTTCCTTGGGGCTGCTTAGTTGCACTCTGTTGGCCATGTCTGACAGAGACAGGGTAAGAAATGTCTGACAAAAAAAAGACAAACAAAAAGAAAAAACAATGGTTAACAAAAAAAATTAAATTAATTAGGGACATTTGGATATGGAGGCGAGTTTAATAACAAGTTGAACTCGTCTACATGTTCTCCACATCTTGTCTCCAAGTTTAGAGAAGTTACAGTGAACTGTATTCTTTGAGAACCTTTATGGCGTTCTTTGTAAGCAAAAAAACTGTATTATCATCGTTATTGCACAATAATTGAGCCCTTTCTTGATTAACAAAGCAAAAAACCATTGCAGTGTCACCATTCTCACAAAAACTGATCAGGATTGCCATTTCCGCAGTCAATAAAAGTGATGTCTAACAAATCATTTCTGTGTCAAAAACAACCCTTTCGCCCCATCAGTTGTCATGTACGTAAAACTATAAAAGCAAATGAGGACATAAGTCGTCAACGACTGCGCCACGAAACAAACAGTGTTCATTTGCATAACAATAGAGGGTAAGTTTCTAAAGAAACTGTGGTGCGGTGGGAGAGTATAACAGGGTAATTTGATGTTATTGACCGAGTTGATAACGTTAATTGGACACCGTAGAGAGTTACAAAGCTGACGTTTCGAGCGTTTGCCCTTCGTCAGAGCGCAATCATTTGCCCTGACGAAGGACTAATGCTTGAATCGTCAGCTCTTAAACTCTTTACGGTGGCCAATTTACGTTATCAACTCAGTTGATGACACCAAACTACCCTACTTCACTTGCATAATGCCGTCAGAAAATGATGGACCCAAAATGCTTTCTTGTCAATTGCCACTAAGTACTGGAACCTAATGAACATTGTCAAACTCACTTTTTAGAACCCCACACTCCTAACTTTTCTATTTTAAAACTGAATCCAGTCAAAGAACTTTCTAATGTGCAACACATCTGCTTTGGAATGCAATGAATGCAAGTCTCCACCTAAACCTGTTCCCATTTCTCAGTTTTGTAACTATGTATTCCTTTTTCAAGTTTAACTTGGCAGTTAAAATACCTTTGTAAGCCTGAGAATATTCTTCTTATATAGAGAGCTAACCACTTGCTTCACCAGACCAACGTTGTTGTCCTTGAGTACATAATAAATTAACTTTTGTCAAAAGGGGTATCTACCATTATTCACAACTGGCTAAGCAGAATACTACAGACTATTCTTAAACACAGTACAATAACAAAGAACAAAGAGTCTGTTGAGATCTGCTTCACTCCATCAAAAAAATCAACCAAAGAAATTCTCATATGAATCAGAACCATCTGGACAATACAATCAATTCATATATGATCTCCAATATGAGGTTGAACTATTTAAAAAAATTAGGGAAAACCCTCCATATGTAGCCAATTCATTTTATTTTTTACCTTTTTTCAATTTTGTTTATTGGCTCATCTCATTTATAACTACCTCCAAAAGCCCAAATTTGCATTTACATTTGGAAGTACAGAACTTCCTTCCTAAAAAGTTAAGAACAAACATTGGAGAAAATTATGTAAAGGGATTATGGATACCAAAAGTGTTCTGTACAGCAGAAATAATTTCTTGGCTGACAGATAACACTTAACTACTCATTCCACATTTTACTTACTGTTCTGAATGTTTCCTCATTCTTTGTAGCTACTGTTCGAACCTCATTAGGATTGTTTGAAGAGTAACTTGATGCAAGTTCATGATATGAAGCACTCAGAGGCTGAGATATAAGGACATAACATAAAATACATTTATTTTAAATAAAAAGTACAATGTCTTCTATAAACGTCAGCTGAACAGGTGATGATATTGTTGAAAGGCTGCCCATAATCAAACATACACAAATGATTCTTTAAATCATCCATTGTTTTTTTGTTTCAGAGATTTATTCAATCATTGTTTTGCAATAACAAATATGGTGCATACCACAGTGCTGAAAAGAAAATTTGCTCATTTAAAACTTTCACTTATTTTCTTAGATAACCAATAAATAAAGTTTGCCTCTTTGGAAGAAGTGATAAAAGGTCTTTCTTGTTTGTTCATTTCCCATTCTCTCATGTTCACCTCTTTGCACAAAAATATATCACACTACACTGTATTACATAGTTCACTGTGAAAAAACTAAACAGGTTTTAAACCAATGCATCACACATTTGCATGGATGAATATCATGTTCAAGAGGACAGTATGAGTCCCAGTTATATTATGCATTTGTGTCAATGAGAAGTGTTTAAATTCATTCTTACCTTAAGAAATCTCATTACCACATGTGAAGTGTATTTTGGAAGGTCCATAATCTGTTGAGTAAGTCAAACTGTTGGTTAGCTACATTTTCCTTGAAAGTTCAACACAAAAATAAAAGCTTCAGTAATTATTCATAGCAGTATCAGGAAGTTTCAACCCATTGCAAATTCTTCTCCACTACTAGTTTGCCTCATATTGACACATTTATCCCATCTGCTACAGCAAGGTTACTTCCACCTTCACAAATTTGTCTTGGAATCTTTCAACTAATTTCCTCAGAGGCAGAATGTGTTTCCGTTTAGATGAATTACACATGTTTGGAAATTTACTAAGACCATTATTATTCCCCTCTTCTCTTAACCCTTTAAACCCTAAAAGTGACCCACATCTAATTTCTCCCTACATTAATACTGCTGAATCATTCATTAGGATCATGAGAATAAAATAAATCATCACCAACTAAAGAAGCTCTAGATTGTTGAACAAAGTCTCCTTGTCAGAACCTCAGGAAATGTATAGCGAACAGTATGGAGAATATACATACTGATTTTAGGCTGTAAAGGGCTAAAAGAACACAATCTGGTAAAGGAGACTGTGGTGAAAATCTGAGGCAACTGATGGGGGAAATTATTAGAGAGAAATTGCAATGGGGCAAAACATCTATGAACTAACAAAGCACAAACATTAGAGATATCAGTCTCACCTTTCCATGAAGAATGAGAGAAACTAAGATGAACTTTTTGTATGATTCCAACATTATATGACTAACATCAACAGCTGGACAGGTGACTGCCTGAAGAACAAAAAAATGTAAGTTAAGAGTTAGGGAATTATTGATTTGGAAAACAGACCTCTAGCAATTCATTCTGCCACCTAATTTGACATGTCTGACAACCAGTCTGTATATTTCTTAAGTTTATAAAGTCACAAAGAGGCTTTCTAACATTTTCTAACATATAGAATGGCATTTAGTTTATTGTTCTTTCTAAAGGCTTATTTTTTGGTTATTTACCTCCTGATTAGGAACATTACTTTCCCATTACACAAGCAAGTGCTACTACATTGTAATGCTTAAAGAAAGCAATTATTATGGATACCTTTAATCAAGTGAAGTTTTATTTGAGGTACCAAAAGTCTAAGGGGATCTTAGTATAACAGATACAAAATGAACAACATGAATAAGTCATACAATACTTGCACAAATCACCATCTAGGGAAATGGGATAGAAATATGCCCAGTAAAAATACCTTGTCTACAAGATCAACACATAATTTTCTATGTCATTAAACATGCTCACAGCATTTAAGGTTACTCACCACTTCATAAAAGTACAGAGCTTTTTCAAATTTTTTCAGAGCTGTGTAAATCATTCCACCATAATAACAATAACTGAGTAATACCTTTGCATCATACTTCCCACCCTGCAGTGAAAAATAAAAAACACACACAAAACTATACCCATTCATTAACTGTGAATTATGAAAGAGGGGTTCTATTGCCTAAAAGCCTTGAAGTCACTTTAAATTGTACTTGTAGGTTCATCGGATCAATATCAGTATCTAGGCAACTGCCCACCTACTCCTCCCCTAACCCAAAAACAGTCAATTGATAACAAGTTAGGGTTAATGTTGGGTTAGGGAAGGGGTAGGTGGGCAGTTTCCCAGATACTGATATTGATCTGGTTCATCAACAGCATTAGCTAGAATAAACTCGAACTCAAACATAAAATATTTAACCCTTTCACTCCCTAGATTCCATTGTCAACTCTCATTGCTGTCCGTTATACAGTTCTCTTTTTGTTAGTTTTGAGAATTTGGTATTGGATCAACCAGTCATCTCCTAATTGATGTTTTTCTTTATTCTCATCATGTGTCTGCTTGATATTGAATTGATATTGTAATGAGAAATTCTCTCTTGGTCACTCATGGACATAATGGTCTACCTCTTTGTGAATGTCTGTTATATCTGTATCCAGAAAGGGGAGGGCTGGCTTTAAACACTTGGCAAGTAAACAAAGCTGTCAAGAGAACAAAAGAAATAATATCTGATTTCTAATTTTTGATACAATCATGACAGTCTGAGTGCAACATGAAAACATGATCAAAACAGAGTTGCAAAATAGAACTTTAACCTGCTGTAAAGTGAACATTTTTTCAGCAAGAAATCTCACCTGTGCAAGATCTGAATGAATTGAAGTCAGTTGTGTAGGGGACTGCTGTGCCTTTTTTATTGCAATACACATCATTCTTATCCCTCTCATTGGCTGAAACAAAACAATAGTTAGCAATTTGTCCCTATACTATTCATAACATTAGGTTCTTTTCATCCATTTTTAAGCTAAACACCTAGATAATAATAAAAAAATATATATCTGAAAACCCACCATGTTAAGTGAGTCTGTTCTAAAAAGTTCATTCGGGGAAAATGTTCTTGTCTGAATGAAAAACTGCTCAGGCCATCGATTTAGCCTAATTATATTCCTAGGGTAATCTCTAATGCATAGTAAAGAGCTTGAAAATAATATCTTACCTGCTTGAGATCCACTAAGCAATGCGTTATGAAATGACACAGGTGAGCGACTGTAAAACACAAATATGAAAATGTTATTGGAAAAAAAAAACAAACAAACAAAACGACTCCAGACTGAATAGTTTGACAACGACTTACACTTATCCCCAGCAAATTGGATTTGTTCCTTTGAGCAAATTGTTATGAACTGCTGAATCTGACTGAATAACAACTCAAAGTCTCCATAATTTGGTAAAGATAGTTTCACTAACCTAAGCAATAATCAGGACAAAAAAAGAACAAGCAGTTAAAACAGAAAATAAAAACGGAAGCCGATCATTATGACAGAAAAACAATCAGGAACATTGAACGAGATACTCACAATAGAGCCATGAATGCCAATGAATGCTGATCAGGATCAAGTGATGCAATCGCAGCATCAATCTGGCCTGCATACTTGGCTAATAAATCATTTGATCTGTTTAAATAATCTGCAAGTTGGACGTAATCTTTATCGGCAGAAATGGATCGTACCGTGGCTAAGAAATCCTCCATCTTCACTGTGGCACTTGCAGTCGCCTTAGTCTTCCTCGGCTAATCAAATCGAGGCTGGTGTAAGGGACGCTTTCACACGAAATGGCGGGAGAGTCAAGCTAAGCTAAGTGACTCAGCTAAGTGACTGACTAGAAAATGCCGTTACAGCCTTTTAATTTCGACAAAAAACCAGACATTCGACTCGTAGTATACCAAAATATAGTCTATAAGATTAAGGTGACTTGTAGACAATCTTCTGACAGGTAATTTTACGCGATTGGTTTTCACATGTTTGATGTCGCTGCTATGTACATGTTGTTATTGCTGTTATTTTTGTCCAATAAATCACCAAAACGTCTCTATTTTTAAATTCCCAAACAGAGAAAGTATTCGACGGTTGTTTTTAGAAGACAAAAACAATAAAGATCTAGAGGTGAGTTCATTTTGGTCGGACCTACGTCAGAGTCCATTTAAATTTGAAAAACCTCTTGGAATCATTACTACAGACTGTCTGATTTCAAGTAATCATTATGCATAATTTTTACTCCTTCTCCTCAGAGAGTTGTTTGTGCCATATTGAACACATATGATCTTATACCAGTGCAAACAGATAATTTTGTCGTCTATCCATGTATCCTTTCAACAGTAAATACACTGCATTAGCAATCAGTAATTATTAATTTTTAACACAGTAACCCACAAGAGATTAACATCCGACTTCTCCCCGCAATATCTATACATTACCCAGCAAGCAGGTAATTAAAATACTCAAACATATCAAGAAGAAGTTGTTGTCTTGATCCAACACCAAATTCTTGTAACTAATTTAAAAGGAAATATGCTGTAGCTGGAGGGGAGAATTGACTATTAGATCTTGGAAGTTAAAGGGTTAATTGCTACAAAACTAAATGTATAACATTTCATAAGTCTGAGAGTGAGAACACAGGAAGAAGATGACAATAAAGGATTGAAATGTGCCCCCAGGAAGAAGCTTAAAATGATACTGTCTCTTACCAGAGTTTCCAGACAGGGATTTTATTTAATAATCACAAACAGAAGCCTTTGTCATGATCATATTTGATGCTGAAAATGTCCACCTACTCAGTTAATGAATTTACAATTTGCAAATGCTGATGGGAATATTATATTGTGGGTAGTATTAATGGATGTTATGGAAAGATTTATGTCCAATCTGATATTATTCTAAAACAAAGCCTAAGTCCTAAAGATAATTTATTGTTTTCAAATAATTTGAATTTATCAAAGAACTGTATGCAAAAAGAAAGTATGGGCTTACATAGAAATCTTGCCATTGTTTTTCAAAGATGAAATAATAGTAGGGGACAATTGTGAAGAGTCATTGTCATGTCCTTTTCCAATGAAACATTTGTTGCAAAACCAACTTAACCCAAAGCTTATAGATAAAAACTACTGGGAAACAAGAGAAAGACTGGTATTTTCTCAGCATGGTCATTTCCTAGAGGCTCATAAGTATTCCTTTACATTTTATGTGGAAGAGAAACAAAAAAACCATGGACAAATTGTACAGACAGGTATACTAAACCAATTGGATGTGATCAATTCTTTAAATATATTTATGGTATTAATAATAATATATAAGTTCTTATTGAGGGCACATTTGACCTCAATGCAGTTGCCACAAATATAAATTATAGAATAAATAAGAAAATCTTTAGTCCTAGCTGACATGTTAAAGGCAGTTTTGAACATTATAAATATTTGGAAAATATTAAGAGTAAAGACTAATGTAAATATTTCTTGAGTAAAAATGTGTTAAGTTTTGTTTTAAATGTAGCAACTCTCTTTGGATTTTTAATATTCTTTTATGGTGTTGGATAACTGAGGTGCACCTTATGTTCAAGATTTCATGGCTGAGGTGCATCATAGTGAACAGGATGAAGATTGGAGAGTCCTATATAAATATCATATTCTTGTGTGTCTGTGATTGTTGTCTTTTAGACAGAGCTCAAGAACAGGAAAAGCATGTCAATCAGACTTCAGTGGTAAGTGCATTGTACATGCATAACTTAACCCTTAGATCTCTAAGAGTGACTGGCATCTAATTTCTCCTCACAATATTACCCTTGAATCAAACACTAAGGTACCATTAAAAATGAAAATGATCACTAATCTAGGAAGCTCTTTATTGTTGAACAAATTCTCCTGGACAGTCTTGACAGAAATGCTCGGAGAATAGTATGGAGAATATGCATACTGATGTTGATGTTAAGGTGTAAAGGGTTAAAGCTTTTGGAGGAACAGGACCAAAAAATTTTTCATGTTGGCCGACAGGTTTTTTACAGGAACTTGTTCATGAGAATTACCTATGTATTCAAACCAGATGTTTTCATTATTTTTATAGCCAAGTGGTAGCAAAGAGAGAATTGGTATGTAACTTCAGGATTTTTAATATCTTGCATTTTCTGGTTATTCTTAGTATTGAGAATCTTAGACAAAAGATAAAGAGAAGTTTGAACTCATTTTTGTCAGAGGTTTGGAAAAACACTCGTGAGAACTCTGACCTGTGACCTCTCAAGCCTGTTATCTAGACAATTGGTGAAAGCTATGGAACCACAAAGGAAAAGGCGAAGAAGCTATATTCTTTACTGTAATCTGACTCATCAGGACTTCTTTGTTGTTTCTCTTCTTCCAGATCAGTCTATCTTTCTATTTGTGCAGCTTATAGAGTAAACACTAGTAGTAAATTTCACCTTGTGAATTACACAATGCATCTAGACAAACTTTGTGGAAAATTTCCAGGCATCCAGTGATTTCACAGGCATCACCAAAAGGCTTTTTAATTTCAGTCACTGAGTATGGACAGAAAAACCGTCATGATGTTGAAGAGAAGGAACTGAAGGAGTTTCTCAGACTCCAAAATTTGGCAAGTAAAGATGATAAGCAAACTGAAGGTATGTTACATGAACTGAACATTTTAAAGAAAAAAAGATTTAAATAACTCAGGCATCTTGCAATTAACAGAATTGTCAGCTAAATCACTCATTTTCCTTCTTAAATAAATGTTAAGTTTGGAAAATATAAGAAGCCAAATTTTCCATTGTGGTTAAAAATAGAGTTGAATTTTTCATATATTTTTAGAGATAAGATCCAGGGTTGTTTTTATTCAGTTGTTAACTGGTGAATCCATCTAGCCAGTGCAACAAATGGTAAGCTGCATCCCTCTTCTCTCCAATGTTATTTAGATAATTAATTTGAAACATACAATGCAAACAACCTATGTAAAAAATTTCATTCCTTTGACAGATAGTGAGCAGCCCACTTCAGGACTTCAAAAAGTATTCAAGTACAAAAATCTGATTGTATTTCCCCTCTCTTTAATTTTACTTAAGATGTTGTAGTAGTAAACTTAGTTGTCTCTCCAGAACAGAAAAAAGACTTCTTCATCACTTATGTGAGTTTGTTCTGGGTTTCCTTACATCATGGAAAATCTGGAAAGTTATGGACAGTCATGGAGTACATGCAAAATTATATTTCTGGGAAAAACAAAATTAAGAAAGGCCATGGTTAAATGATAATTTTTATATAGTTTTGAAACAATTTCAGTCCAAGAATATTTTTGTGGAAAGTATTGGAATGTTATAACCTTGAATAAGTAAAAACCTTCCTTCTGTCTTTCTGTAACTTATGTTTAATTCCCCCACAACAGAAAAATCAGCCATTCTTTCATTGATATTAATATCTTTAAGCCCTAAGGGTTGCTTTGAGTATGCTTATCATATTGAAGTTTACCATTTGTATTTCAGTGCCTTGGTGTCTCCAGTACGGTCATTACTAGGAAATTAAAATATCTGTTTACTGACAACATCATCAGATTCATGAGGAAGAAAATCATCTTTTTGGTCTGTACAGAGGAAAAGAATCCAGCAAAAACAAAAACTAACCAATTTAAAAAACAAAGCTGAGTTGATATTTTACATTGTATCTAATATTGTCAAATTTATCACTAAAGTAAAGTTTTATCAATATTTTACACTGCATACAAAAGACTTTTGAACTTAACTTATTTTTGTATTTGTAAATATTTGATATGGAGTTATGTAATTTTTGCAATGCAGTTCATTAATAAAATTAAGAAGTCTGTATGGAGAGATAACTGATAAGCTCATGAGGTTGGTGACTTTGTTAGTTTTCTTTGATCTTTGCTAATAACAGCTTTGCAGATCCAGGGGGACTGAGGTGTGGTCAAACCCCTCAAAGAGGGGTCCATGCTAATGGATGGCATCATGTGACATCTCAGAGAGTGGCCACAAAGAATGGTTCAATTAACACTTCTCAAAAAACTCATCTGATTTCCTGTGTTCAATTTATCCAACCATGGTCATTGTGGTCTCTCATTCGTATACCTGATAAACTAATAAGTAAGTAATGCCCTTCAGTGCTACCCTCTGCATGCAAAAACAGCTACCAGACTTAGAAATGTCTGTGCTAAATACCAAAAGTTTCTTGTTCAAGACAATTGAAGAGAAGAGGAATCTTCATGAAAGAGTTAGTTATCACTCTCTTCCTTGTCTCCCTCATTCTTTTCCATTGTAGTTGGCTTTTCTTTCCTGAAACAAAAACATACAAAGATGTTGAGTATTTGTTATGAGTGGTGAAAACTTTCACCTGTAAAGCGCAGTGGTCAAATATGTATGAAATATCTAGCATACAGAAGCAACTCTGAACCATTGTCAATTAAGATTAGTTAACAAACCATTACAATATTTCCTAATTGCATAGTAGACCATTAGATAAAGTATCAAACGTCTTCCAAAAATTTCACTGATAAAAAGAAATACATCACTACTTAGTAACATGAACAAGGCCAGTTAGGTAGTGGTATTTATGTATAATCACTGAAAAGATGTTTAATTAACTCAATTTCTCAAAATCAAATGTGAAGTTATCTCCCATCAGCATAAACGGAGCCCGTTGGAAGGTGTTAGTAAAGCCGTTGTTTCTCAGTCACTTCCTGTCGTGGTGAAGAGATTCATTGGCACTTCCTTCACTGTCCAGGTGTTTGAAGAAATGCTTCATGAGCTGTTCTGTTGCTGCGTCCTCTAAGACCCAGCTTTCCACCAACACTGAACGTGCTACGGATGCTAAGAAGGCTTACAATTCTTCGTTTGAAAGCTTTGCTGCTTCGTAAAATGAAACAGTCATTTTTAAACCAAATTTATGAAACGAAATCCTTCGAGTGGGTGTTTGAAGAAATGCTTCATGAGCTGTTCTGTTGCTGCGTCCTCTAAGACCCAGCTTTCCACCAACACTGAACGTGCTTCGGATGCTAAGAAAGCTTACAATTCTTCGTTTGAAAGTTTTGCTGCTTCGTAAAATGAAACAGGCATTTTTAAACCAAATTTATGAAACGAAATCCTTCGAGTGAGTAAATTTCGGCTCTGTCACTAATGGCCCATCTAGCCCCCCCCGAGGCGCTGAGATAGAATATTTCCCCCCTCCTCACCTGTGACGTAGTCAGTAACCTCTGACTCAACAAGAGGTTTGAGGAGAACACTCATCATAATCAATTAGGGAGTATACTTAATATTAGTTTCTGTTGTGTGTTAATATTTTTTTTTTAATAAATCTGCCACAAACCTATTTTATCTATTGTGGCTAGTATAAAATTTAGGTGACTGATAAGAGGAGAAGGAGAACACTCATAATCTATTAGGGGGTGTACTTAATATTAGTTTCTGTTGTGTGTTAGCATGTTTTGTTTTGGTTTTTTTTTTTTTAAATAAATCTGCCAACAAACCTTTTGCATTCATTGTGGTTAGAATAAAATTTAGGGAACTGATAAGCTGAAGATTTGGTCTTCCATCCATGCCTTCTTCACTTCTGAGATGTCAAAATCAAAGCCGCGCATGATGTTTATCAAATCGCGACAGGAATTGACAGCACCACGAACGATTCAACCCTCATTGCAGTTAATTGTAACATATGACGATCATTCTGTCACTTGTTTTCTCATGCCATATGGTCAAAATTAAATGTGCTATATTTCAAGTACACAATTTTTTCTTTTAATAACATCGGGAAATAGGTTGAACGACTCCTTTATAAATACACGTAGAAAAATATAGACACTGTCATGACCCAGAGACTGACCTTGTGGAAAAATTATTGTCTTTGGTACAAAAATTGTATAATAATTTTTAAACTTTTGGAGATATTTCGTCGCTCGGACAAAATCCTTTTTGAGAAAGGCAGAAATAGTAGGTCAGTAACAGGGGGGAGAATTTAATGAGGTGAAAAGGCAGCTATTGAAGTCTTATTAGATAAACATTGGCATCGTGGATTAATAAGGACATTCTTATTCAACACTGTCAGATTTGCATAGGAAATGACTGCCTCCGAGTCCGTGACCTTTCCACTTTGAAGATGTGTACACAACACGCTCGAAAAAGTTCTCGTTTCACAGATAGCATTTATTTGTTGTGTAATAAAACCTCCCTAAGTGTAGCAAGAAGCACCAGCTAATGTTTGAAGGCTCTACACTATCAGCGGGTCAAGGTCTCGAAACAAACCTTTTAAGAACTTTGCTGCGCGCCAAACAAATATGTTTGCTCGTTCGAAGTACGTATGGCTCCTTTGTTTTCTGTTAACGACCACCTTTTCTGACGGTAAGCTTAAAAATTCCAGCGTCCAACCCGTCAAAAAAATAAAGCAGATCAGAGCTTGGTAGTGAACAATAATTGTGGATTGGGAAGAGGAGATCGGGAAATGATGAAGTACATCAAAGATAAAGTGGATTACATCGCCGAACGATCCACAGGTACTCGGATTGTAGTAACTTTCAAAATTTGTTCAATTTATGAAATTTTTATTGATGCTGTTTGAGAAACGTTACCGTTATAGACTGGAGTTTCTTTAAGCTGTTGACGTTCTGAAAAAGCTCGAAGTCTCTTTTTCTTTGAATTCGTGAACTTCTTAAATCGGACCCTTCTCGAAAAAATGCCTCCCTGAAAAAAAATTTTTCCTTCACGGGAAATCTGACTTGTTTACGGTTATTGACCCAACTGCTATGGATCTTGCTTGAGGAACACAGATTGACCACCAGAAATTATCAAAATTTACAGTGACAGTTAAACTTTTTCAACTAAATTACTTTCGAATGCCCGAAAGTCACAGCGCCCCTGAGTGTTCCCTGACTTTTTCCCTCCCTTACTAGCTTCACCTACAAGCACACCTGATCGAAGATCTACAGATGTGTGACTTTTCTGTCTATTAACAGTAATTTACCACTTCCCTCTTCTTAGATCAGAGAGGGTCGGCCTGTCCAGACGGTTGGGTGCGCCATGGAAATTCCTGTTTCCTCATCATCGACACTCCAACCTTGGAATGGAAAGACGCCAGACGAAACTGCCAAAGGTTCGGCGGAGACCTCGCAAAGATCACATCGAGCGCAGAGAATCAGTTCATCTTCGGGCTCCTCCTCAAGCAGAAAAAAGTAACCCTATTTGGTGTATGGCTTGGTCTCCATCGTAAGGCAGACAATAAGTTCTACTGGGCAGATGACACTCTACTAACTGGCTACAATGCTTGGTTTACAGGTGAACCAAATTCGCTCTCAGAGAAATGTGGTCACATGTGGGGACTGGTTTCCAGGAAAGGAAGATGGAATGATATTACCTGTACTACTGACATTTCACGGCACACCAAAGATGCCCCTGTGATTCTTTGTCACTAGTTTAAAAATAGCGGTGGTGTTGGGATTCTAAAAAACTCACGAGTTTAAATAATTAAAAAATAAAGGTGTTGGTTTAAGTTCCAGTTGTTGAGAGGTGTGGATTTTGTTCATTTGTGGCTAATAAAGCGTTCACTTTCCCAAAATAAAACAAGGTGTTGGGATTCTTGGGGAAAAAAACTCAATCAAAGTATCGATGGACTTGCTTGTAAGAAAATAATTAAAAAATAAAGGTGTTGGTTTAGGTATCGAGTTGTTGAGAGGTGTAGATTTTGTTTCATTGTGGCTTTCCCGCCCCATGTGTCTAGGAGGTTCACTTTCCCAAAATAAAACAAGAAAACTCAAAAGAAGCTGAGTAAACATAGACAAAAACTGAAGGGATGGTCCTCGACAATATGATTTTTTTTGAAAATCTCCAAGTGCGTCTGTTAGAGACAAATGCGTCGTTTTTCGTTTTAGCCACCAAGCTCAAAATCAACCATTTTCATTTCCACTAGTAGAATGCATGTTCATTTACGCGCTTTACATTAGACAACTGGCTGTCTGTTCATTCTATACTTCATTGTTCTACACTGTTTTGATCCATAATAGTGTTCTTGTTTTGCTGAGTTTCTATTGAAGGTACTGCAATCATGTTAAGCTGGCGCAGAAGTTATATTGTGTTGGTATGGCTCTTAGTTATCTAGCTAGCCTAGAAGAAGAGCACTTCCATGAGCTAATCTCGTTGAATAGAAAAATTATTCCTATTGCAGCACTTTCGATGCACATCGTAAATTCGTAATTTATGTACCACGGACTGAATTTAGAAAAGGTAAGTATTCCGCCATATTTTAAGTCTAAAGCTTGATTGCCAGAAAATCTTATGTGAGGCCAAGATTATTGTCAGGTGGAGTTTTTCAGAAGCACAGCTAGCTTTTTGAGGAAGATGAATAATTGATTTGTTGTTGCGCTTTACATTAGACGGAGGCTACTTGGGAAGAACACCCAGACACAGCTGACAGTCAGCGGTTATTCAGGTTGACGGGATGTATGTTACGCGAATTTACCAGTGCTCCAATTTACCCTGAGTATGCGTTTGCAGAAGAAAATTCAAAAACAGCCGAGCTCAAGCCTCCTTTGCAGTCTGTAGAGCATGCTTTAATCCGGTGGCCAATTGAGCCGATAGATTCATTTTTATTACTAGTATTAAGATTATTATTCTTGCAAATTATCAGCACTGCTATTTTCATGCTTTACTGTAAATGTTGTTTACCAGGGGAAACCTATATTGCAGCTGAAGGATTGGAATTTTTTTTCAATGTTTTGGGCGAACGCTATTAAAATTTATGAGGCTACGAGGAGTGCCATTCAAGCAATGAAAAATTTGTCATTAAGCTATGCTTAAGTGTCCCAGATTCATGTCTCGCGGAGAAGGGCGAAGGTTGATAATCTATTCACTCCCTGAAAGCATGAAAGCATAAAGTGTTGCGGCATTAATTTACTCGAGGAATCGTTGAGAATCATAATACTAACCCATCTCTCGTGTCAAGCGCTTGCTTCGCTTTATGAAGAGAATAAGTTATTTTCTTTTCCATACAACGTGTTACGTAGGCTTCAAATTCTCGCCATGGGTGCTTGTTAAGTATGCGACTGAGCAGGTCCTTGTGCTTGTGTTGCTCCTGTGCTGGTCTTGGCCTCGACTTGGTACACCAAGCTTCAGTAACTGTTTCTCCTCAATAGTCTTAAACAGGTTTTTACGTAGCTCCACAAAACTTTATTCCCGTTTATATCAATAATTCTGTTTAACAAGCTGAAACCTGGCAACCCATCAGCTCGCTGAAGAATACATTATCGGTCAAAGTTTGTCATACAATTTTACATTCGTACTATACAGAACTATATTAAAACTTATCGTGTCTCTTTTATCGTATGAGTATTTGTGATAACATTATTTGTTGTTCTTTAAAGATTTGCCCTCGTCAAAGGCCACTTCAACTTTTATCTTTTGTAAACAGTAAGATTACAGTTTAGCTCCGGGCGGGTAAAACATATCGCAAGGGTAACAAATAAAAATCGAACCAATAAACATTACTGAAGCATGATATATTAATAGAAAAAGCATCCAAGTGGCTCATTTCTACAAGAACCAAAATTTGCTCGTTACCCTTTTAAATATTGATGTAATTATCAATGACCTCATTACTGACTGAATTATTGCAAGGCAAATTAATCTTGTCCGAATAGACCGGTTAGCGGGTATAAACATGAAATCTCTGCAACTATCATTTTAAATATTGCAATATTCGTTCACCGCAGAAATCATTGTAAAATTGCGTTTAAGCAAAAAATTAAGTTTCACAATAGCACGAGTGTCTTTCAATGCATGTCGTCGTCAAGTTGGCTGAAGCTAATTATTGTTGACTTCCGGGTTTCCTGTTGCGGTTGTTAAAACATCCTGTCAAACATTACTGGGAACAAAGGCGGCATCCCTTCTTTCACATTTCAAAATAAAAAAAATATAATAAAAAATTCCATTGAGTTCATCAGTATCCTTGTGTATTTGACGTGTAGCAGGCTGAAAATGTTCCTTGTTTATCTCGCTCCAAAGCGGTATGCTTGTAACCACAGCTGATCTTCTCTGTTCAGATTTTGCGGTCCACAGAAGTGGGAAACTCGGGATGGTTTTTTCGTTCCTTTACGGCTAACGGACGATTCATGTGATTTGCTAAACGTTTCGTTGGTGGGAACTTTCCTTATTTTCCTCCCATCTATGACACAATCTCTCTTTCCTCTTTGTGTTCGCTGTCGTCTTCTTGGAAACAAAAATTGTAGACATCCACCGAGAAACAAGAAAGCTACAATTCCCGGTGCTCTCATAATTGCTCAGATTGTTTGTTGTTACTCAATAAAACATGCTGCGCAATCGACATAAAACCCTTGTACAGGCAATCATACTTTGTACTAGCTAGTCAACAATGAGCTACAACTTGACTCTCGCGTGAATTTGGCCATGCGCCCACATGTGATGTGACAAAGTTTTTCTGTTGACAGCATTACCGCATGATCTAAGTTTAAACTGACACTTATGTTATCCAGGCCGTACGATATCGGTACATTATCAACGCGAAATATGATATTCCGCTTTTAACATTGACAGGATTTAAATATGCATACAGCACAGGCTTTTCAGTTTATGCTGTAACACGTAGTCAAATAGCTACAAAATTTCCGCGAGGGATGTATCCGTGAAAAGTTCTCCTCAAAAGTCACAGCAGATAGATTTAGAGAAACGTGACATTCATGCTACTTAGCTTTGCCAAGGGGCGGTACATATAACGTATCACAATACATTTTAAGTGAGTTGAACAGAAAAACAACACCCCAAGAAAATATAGGACTATATAAAGAAGAGTTTGAAACATCCAAAAGTCAGGTATTGTCATTTTAGCATTAATCTTTTGGGAGGTCATAATGACTAAGAGCGCACAGTAGTTGGCGTTAATGATAGGAAGCTGTTTTTCATATTTTCTTTAGATGGATACCCTTTGAACTGTGATAGGGACGAATTCTCAGAGGGGCTAGCAAGCCGAGAGTGGTCTGGGAATAAGGTCACGCAATGATCATGGCAAGGGCGCCTTCCACTCGCTAAAACTTTTGCGCTCGCCAATTTCTCGCCACATAATTTTACATGGAGACCTGTCAATGAGCCCTTAGATTTCCCCTTTGAATCCTGCAAGACAAGAGTAGTTTCATATCTGGAAAAATAAAATTAGAGGAAAAGCTCTCCGAACTGATCAGCCGTAATGATGACCGCTGGGATTTGTTGATTGGTTCGCTTCATCACCATTCTTCCCGGCCATCATGGCTGCTAACAACGATATGGATGAGAGAGAAAAACAGTCTCCAAAATTAGTTGTTGCAATGGCTGATTTCGTCGCAGTAGATAACACTCAATTGAGCTTTAACGAAGGTGACGAAATGACTATTTTGAGCGAGAGTTCCAGTGTTTGGTGGTGGGCCGAACTAGATGAAATATGTGGATATGTTCCGGTGTCCTATGTGGTACCTGTTTCTGAGTACATATCTCGGCACACACAGAATCACGATTGGCAGGATGAAGAGTACTTTGGAGCATACGGCAAAGTGAAAATCCACCTTGAGATGTTAAGCGATCATCCAAGAACTCTTGCTTATCGAAACGCCATCCAAAAGCATCGAGATGTTTTCATTGGAAAAACTGTCTTAGATGTTGGATGTGGTTCAGGGATTCTGAGCTTGTTTTGTGCTAAAGATGGAAAGGCAAGTAAAGTTTACGCTGTGGATGGAAGTGTAGATATCGGGGAACTGACCAAAGAACTCGTTGAAAGAAACGATTTACACAAGATAATCACCGTTATCACAGGAAAGATTGAAGAAATTGAGTTACCAGAGAAAGTTGACATTATTATCTCTGAGTGGATGGGTACGTTCCTTGTTTTCGAGTTTATGATCGACACAGTGCTGTATGCACGAGACAGATGGTTGAAGGCTGATGGTGTGATATGGCCTTCAAATGCAAAGTTATTTGTTGTACCTTGTTGTGCAGAAGAAGCTTATAAAGAGAAAGTTACTGCATGGAACAATCAATATGGTTTTGATTTTTCTCCTTTTCTTAACAGAGCTAAGACAGAAGTTCTTAACAGACCTTTGCATAACCATGAGCTTGACCCAAGGGACTGCTTGTCTCAAGGAGCAGTTCTTTTGGATATTGACATGTCCACATTTGCGAAGGAAAATCTTGAACTGATGTCGGAAAATTTTGAGTTTGTGATTAGTAAGGAAGGTACATTACATGGGCTGTGTTCATGGTTCAGTGTAACTTTTGGAGGGATACCCATCACAGATACATCAGAATGTGTGATACTGTCAACAGCACCTGATCAAGAACAAACTCACTGGAAACAAAATCTTTTTCTACTAGAAGAACCAGTGACTGTTCATGTTGGTAATTTTATTGAAGGTTCTGCCACCTTGAGGCGAAATCCTAAATATAGACGGCATATGAATGTCACTTTTGAATTTAATATTTTCACTAGTGATTCAAAAGGAGAAATTGTTTATAGCAATAAGAAAAAATATTTTATTTGGAGATAGCAGATTTTAGTATGTCTTGAGAGAGTTAAGTATCTCCATGCTATATAAGCCTAATGTAAGAAGAAAAAAAATCCTGAATAACAAAAACTACTTAGTAGCAGATGTTTAAAGCAGATTTTGGACACCAGGACAGTTTTTCAATCAAACACATAAAGGTTTATTAAATAAAATTCTTCGCACATTTTTCTATTAAAAGAAGGGATAAATTGATACTGTTGACAGTTGTATTAGTAAGGATTGGTAAGGTCTCGCATTAGGTCGGCCAGTCGTTCCGAAGCTTGAACTGTCAGCTTATGTTTTGCTCCCAGCTGAGATCTATAAGCTTGTAAAATAACAAATTCATTTTACAATATTAACCTATGCATTAAGAAAATAACTTGAAATGTAAAAGTATGTGAAAAAGGTTGTTACTTGTAAGTGTTATGTACACTCAAATCATGCAAAATTTCCAAATCCTTTCTTTTAGCTATGTGACGGGCAAGATTATACTCTGGAATTGAATTCCAGCCATCCTTAGGGGTATGTGGTCGGGACTAGATGCCAAACCTCTCATTTTACAGATAAAGGGCACAATATGCTGGCATAGAACTTGAATTCTGCATGTTTTTTTGATAATATGTTTTAGTAATATCTGGTAAAATTTCCAGTACCTTGAGCTGTTCTCAGTACAATAGGATAAGCCTCTTCCTGGATACTGATCAATAAAGACCTTGGAAGCTAAAACAATAATATTTCAGTCAGGCATTTGCTACAATACAACAATCATTTCTTATGCATTTAATCACAGAGAATGATACAATGTTTTCCTTTAATTGCTTCCATTTGATCAGTAATCTCCAGCACCTACCTCAGTTTTGATTCGGTCAGCTGCTCTATCCATAAATTCTTGGTGCTTGGCATCCTGAAATAGTAAAAACAATTCAAAAACTTTATCTTGCCTGAAAAAAGAAACATTTAGGACATTACATTTTTACCTTAAACTCATGGCAAGGAGGCCTTATACCACAAGTGAACTGCTGAATGATATTTTAAAGACTACAAGGGCTCTGTTGTATATTTTAAAAGGGAATAAGGAAGCTTTTGGCATAGTTTTGTTAACTTCTGATCAGAGAAATACTTTACTTTTTAGGTTATTTAACCAGGTTGAGAGAGCTCCTGGTAACCTCGAAGTAAAAGTTTACCTTAGCAATGGTCTCTTGCGTCCTTATCACTTTTCTCGCACTATTTATTTTCCATTTCACTAGAGAAGCTGCCAGCGTACCTAATCCCATCGCACCTTTCTTAGTCTCACCAGGCCCTGCCAACGATGCGGCTATGGAGCTCCTCCTCGATTGCGAGCTTCGTCTCCTCGTTGCCTCGTTGGAACTTCTCGGAGCTGAAAGGGCTTCGGACTGTCCTGAAGTAGACGGGGATTGTGGTACGCCTCCAAGAGAGAAATGTCTCTGGCGAGAGGCACCAGTTTGATGGGCGGGGGCAGAAGATGGTTCCAAAGACCCTGGGGATGATTTACGGCGACTGTCGGTTTGAAGAGGTAAGAATGGAAACTCCAAAAGGGATTCCACTATATCCAAACGTTCCTGGAAGTGGAAAAGAAAAGCGAGACTAAGGCTCTGGTTTTTACAGCACAAAACTGTGAATCTGCCTCCAAGTACAGACCTTTCTTAGTCCTCCCAAACTGATTTAAGCGGAAACATAAACTTTCGAGGAAGGGAGGGGAATAGCGGTAACAAAAAATTATTCTCTAAGAAATTAATTTCCCGCAAAAAGTTTAAAAAGTGATTTCCTTTTAGTTTGTCTTGAAACTTCCGTGTCCCAATTCAGCAGAATAAAAAGCCAACAAGATTAAAAAGTGGACTTTTACGACGAAGTCTGTACGATTATTTTGCGACATATACAGCTAAGTTAACAAATTGTACTTCTTTTCTTCCAAACGAAGTTCATCGAGCTTTTATTTACCAGCGTGGTTTATATATTAGGCTAAATTATATACGCATTGCGATTGGCTCTTAGCCACGCGTGATTACAAAAAGAATACAAAGCGGGGAGAGGAGGAGAAAAATTGCCAGTTGAAATTTAATACACGCATAGCGATTGGTTCTTAGCCGCGCGCAGGAGCCCATTACTGCCGCGCATGAATACAAAAAGAATACAAAGCGGGGAGGTGAGGAGAAAAATTTTCACTTGAAATTTAATACAAGCATTGCGATTGGTTCTTAGCCGCGCGTGAATACAAAAAGAATACAAAGTGGAGAGAGGAAAAGAAAAATTGTAACTTGAAATTTTATAGACTCATTGCGGATGGTTCTTTGCCGCGCGTGAACACAAAAAGAATACAGAGGGGGGAGAGGAAGAGAAAAATTGTAACTTGAAATTTTATAGACTCATTGCGATTGGTTCTTTGCCACGCGTGAATACAAAAAGAATACAAAGTGGAGAGAGGAAAAGAAAAATTGTAACTTGAAATTTTATAGACTCATTGCGGATGGTTCTTTGCCGCGCGTGAACACAAAAAGAATACAGAGGGGGGAGAGGAAGAGAAAAATTGTAACTTGAAATTTTATAGACTCATTGCGATTGGTTCTTTGCCACGCGTGAATACAAAAAGAATACAAAGGGGGGAGAGGAAGAGAAAAATTGTAACTTGAAATTTTATAGACTCATTGCGATTGGTTCTTTGCCACGCGTGAATACAAAAAGAATACAAAGGGGGGAGAGGAAGAGAAAAATTGTAACTTGAAATTTTATAGACTCATTGCGATTGGTTCTTTGCCGCGCGTGAATACAAAAAGAATACGAAGGGGGGAGAGGAAGAGGAGAAAATCTTACTTGAAATTTAGAAACGAAAGAGATTTTCTACATCTTCCTTGTGATTTTTCGGAAATCAGACGTAAAGATCACAGAAGACGTCAGAAAGCGAAACCACACGTTTGGCGTTTGCTAATTTTTCATTGATCATTATTTTCACGGTAGGGAAACTATCACTATTTAGTTACGACCATTAGAGGTCATAATCTATGTTATCAAAGAAAGCCCAATAGTTCCTACCCTGCTTTCAGAAGCGTTGTCCTCATTGTCCTCCGGCTCTTTTGAGTTGTCAGCTACTTCTTTTTCAGTTTGTCTATGGGCTGTTTGCTTTAGTATTGTGTCCAGTGTTTCGTTGCTCTCGTTCTGGCTTCCGTCTTTCCTTTCATCTTCTTTTTTGCTCAGTCTCTTTGTTGAACTTGGTTCTGTTACTAGCTGTCTCAAGGAATCGATGAGTTTCTGATTCTTGGCGCTCTCCGCTTTTTGCCTGTTTTACGAATTGCCACTGTCTTCAAAATTACAGTTTCCGAAAGGCCGATAACAACTTACAAGCCATCAAATCATGTAGGATAAAGACATTCACAGTCGAATCTTCACTAGCTTAGCTAAGAACACCTTAGAACCAGTCTCTCTCTTTCTACTTTGGCCGTTTATAGGAGAAAGCGTCAAATATTTTAAAATTACCACCACAAACAGCAAAAAATATCGTGAGCAAAACAATTTCATGAAAAAAGGCACAAAAGAGAAGACCTTTTAATTCCTAACTTGTCGATTTTACAAACCTGGTTAAATTGGAGGACAATGAATTTTCAGGCTCTACTCTGGACGCAGCAGGGGTCCTTGTCTGGAAGAGTGTTCCCGTCAAAAGTATCTGAAAGGTTTTTCGAGAATAGCTATTTGAACCGAACTGGTACAGAATAAGAGAACTCAATTATGTATACAGCTGAGGACAACCGAGTTACCGTGTGTCCATTTGAGATTTTAACAGAAGAGATTATTTAATTAAGAACGAAAGCATTTGATTTCTGCCATTTCCCCTTCAACTGAGACATAGCACTCCTTTCTTTGTACCATCAAACCTCGTCCAGTAATTATTATACGTCTTATTTCTACAAGCATTGAAAATTTACCATACATTTCTGTCCCTGGTCGACGACGAATCGTCTTCATTTTTTATTTTTTCGCATGCGTACTCGGTAATACTGAGATTCGCATCGTTCGGGCGTCGTGAAGATTCTCCCTCACTATGGAAAAAAGTTATGGAAGGAGAGAATATTGAACTCGAAAGGAAAGGTTATAGAGTAATTTATGCTCAAGAGTTAGAATAGAATGTTAAACCAACATGAAATATAGGAATTATTTCCTCTCCACCTTCATCTTCGGTAGAAGATGAAGGTGGGGAGTCAAATCCATTAAATCAAATCAGTCAAATTAGTTTATCCGTTTTTTCTAAAGAGGTAATTAAACTCAATAAAGTTTAGCCTATAATAGTTGTTCTGAGTGAAGCTATGTCTATAAAATGTTATCTGCAGTTTCCTCGTCGTTGAAGCCTATACAATCATTCTGGTCCCGTCGACTCGACTCTGAACCATTTTGTTTACAACTTTTCCGTTACAGATGATATCGACTTTCATTTGCATAACTTTGCTCACCTATTTTCCTTATTTTGACCAATCTTCCCTAGAAAGACAGGTAAATCTTCGAAAGCTGATTTATTTTCCCTGCAGAGGCCCAAGGTGATGGGCGTGTCCCGGGCCCGGGTGCCACTGACACTAAAGCTTCGAGGTGCAGTGTTTGTTGTGTCAACTTGATTCAGGCTAAAGATGCCAAATGGCAGACTCCCTCCCCTAAGATTATTATTACTTTCTGTGCCTCTCAGAGCGGGTAGAACGTTATGTTCTTCATTTTCCAGTCTGCTCGAATTGGCGCTTGGACCCGCGGATATTTGACGATCGTCTGTAGCCATCTAAAAGCTTTTGCAATCTTTTTACTCTTGAAAGTCCGCTTTGTCTCTGGTAAATTTTTCCTACTACTAATATCTTACGGGAAGGCTATTGTTAGTTCAACTTTATGGTAGATAGGGTACGGGTGTACTTTTGCCCGCTGAGTGTGCCTTTGATGACATATGAATGGCTATTCACTGCGCGTGCTCGCCGCCACACTTCCCTTTTAGCCTCCTCATGATTGTATCGTGCATTCTTGATGCGCATGACTGGAACGCGGTAGTGACGCAAATCTTCAATTTCTCTTGATGTTCCATTTTATAATAACTTTTTCAATTTTTTTTACAGAGTTGGGGATAGTGTGAGTTTCTCTCAGCTCTTGCTTTTTTGGCTTGTTTCCGCACAGATATCAGCGTCAAGGAAAAAGTGCCAAAATATTTGTTTAAAACATAATTAAAGTGTGTAGCTTACTGGTGGCTGGTCTCTTGCGCGGCAGTTGTTCGGTGTCGCTAAGTGATAGAGAACCACTTGCGTGACGCGTGACAATAAATGGAAGTATGCTGTTCGGATTCACGGGAAATAAGAGAGTATTAGTTTCGGTTGCACATTTCTGCTCTGCAACACAACCCTTCGAAAGATATTTTCACTCCATGACCTTCCTTAACCTCGTCTTTAGTACGTCTCAAAACCCAGTCGTAATTCAATCCTCTTCCCGTTTCATTCTACATTAACATGCACGCAAGCTAATGCAGTGCATATTTGTGATAAAAAGAAACATGTATAATCAAACAGAAGAGAGTAAAGATGAAGTTGATTAGAGCAAGTTTAGCCCATTTCTCCAATTCAATTTTTTTATTCAATCGTCGTCTTGTGGAACTTCATCTCTCAAATAATACTGGCTTTGTGCCTTCTGTAAGGTATACGTTTCAGTCTTGTCTCGTAGACAAGCATTCGACATATTATTGTATTGATTTCGATGGGAAAAATGTTAGAATCGTTGGAATAAGAGGTCGAACGAGAGATCGAAATAAATACATGTGAAATCAACACTTTAATGTACATCATATTTTTCAATCAAGTGATCGGAGCTAAAAACAGGAAAATACGAGGAAGTGAAATCTAAGCTTGGCTTACACGCCAGGACGTGTCAGTAAACAACATCCCAAATAATGCAAGTGTAATTTCACTTGATTTTTACATCACCCGAATTTTAAATTTATCGCCTACTCAATGACAGAACTTTGCGAGTCACGGGAATACCCTGGGAGAACGCTGGTATCAAAACAACCATAATAGATATTTTTAGGGTATTCCTTCAGCAGCCGCCGAGGCATTGTAACTCTATAGATCAGAGGCAAATAGGATGCAGTCTTGGAATGGAAAGAATGCGAATTAAACTGGAAAAAACAGAGAAAAAAAAAAGGGCTGAACCTGAGCACATTTTTACCCATTAATCTAACTATTGCTCAAAAAATCGCAAGTTCATGCCCTTCACTCGACATTTTCAGGTAACCTCCTGTATATTTTGTTTTTGCTGTGTAAGCGAGTAATCCACGCACATGACAGGCAGGGAATAATAGCACGACATGTGTGCCCCTTGTCACAAGACTGTCACGGAGTTCCCGCGAAGGAAAGTGTTAAATTTAGCGTAAAAAAAAAATTTCATACTGGGGGAGGTGTAGCGAGGGTTTTATTTCAAGGAAGGAAAATTGCCATGATAAAAAAAAATCAAAGATTCAATACATCAAAAACAAATTGGTATTAAGGTATTCACGAATAAGGCAATGTTCATTTTTGGTATTTTAATCGTGCGACTCGTCAATCTTCTTTTTGTCAGAATGGTACTTACTGTACCCTACATAGAAGTACTTTTATTATGACGTCATGGCGTCGAATTCTTATTGTTTTGGTACAAAGGTCGGTATATAGTTACCATTCAAATAGGCAGACGGATTCATTAGCAATTCAGTCGCCCGCGCATTAATTCTAGACGTAAGAGATGTCTCTTCTTGGTAGAATTCTGGTCGCTTTTCTCTTCCTTATCGGAGGCTGTTTTCCAATTGTGATCCGGAAAAAGAAGATGAGATGCCAAAGGAATGGAAGGAGTTGTTCTTGTACAGATTATCAAACATCTAGTCAAGAATCGATCGACTCTATCGACAGTATGTCCGTTGAAGAGCCAAGCACATGGCAAAGGCCAGCCAAAGGGAGGAAACGAACGAGGACCATCTCAGGAGCTTCGAACTTTTCTGGTACATCTACGTTCTCAACACTGAGTGAGAAAGACAGGATGTGGCTCCAAGCTTTTCGCTTTGCGGGAAGATAAAGTTCGTGACGAACTACCTCAGCTGTGAAAGCGCTCCATTGTTTACGTTTCGATTTTACAAATGTGAAAGGACAGAAGCATTTGACGAATCGATAGACCGTGCGATGTTGATCGCCTTCGCTGGCAAAAGACTTTGATATTACTAGAACTCTTAAATCGTATATTTGGTTTAGTTAAGAAGTTAACATAGTCTATGTATAAATTTTCAAAGTTGCTCGTTTTTTGAAATGATCGAAGAAGTGTAAATGTTGTAAACATGTCGTTACTAAAGGAATTATTGAATATGGACGCGCTCTTTCTGGAGTGATTGTTTTTTGTTATTTAAATGTTAAAATATATTTTTGGTGTCCGTTGAAAAAGTCGATGATTTTATGTAGATTTTAGAACATTGTCATGTAGCTAGAGAGCGTAGTTATTTTGAATACGAACTCTTTCAGGAAAGACGTTGTACGTAGGTGGTGCCCACCAAAGGCTGAATATTGATTTTTTTCTTCGATTCCTTATGATAGTTCTAAATTTAAAATATAAAATTCGATGCAAACTATTTGAATTTTTGAATTATGTTGTAAATTTTGTACATATCGTTAAAATTTTTGTTCAAAGGAAGTCATATTGTTTCGATGAATATAATAAAGTATAAGTTGACATGTTGAAGATGAATGTACGATCGTTTATTTATACGTAGTGAGCCTAATTCGCATGTGAAACTTTTACTAAGCTTAAATCGGACCTAAAGTCCGATCGTTTGGCTGAATACCCGCCCTTTGATTCTTCCCTGACCTATTCTGAATTCTCTTCGGTCCGTTTGATGACCTTGAAGGACAAGAATTCCGAGCCAAATTCCATGGAATTCCAGTTTCAATTTGTGTTTATACCGGTTACGCCACGATCCCGTGTGTATCATGTGACAGAAAACGATATTATTTATTGATCAATGAAAATTTCCCGCGTTTCGGTTTCGTTTCGGTTGACTTCCTGTCTAACCTGTCAAACACTGAGGGATTCTATGAACGAGCGAGGCCTGGAGTCAAAACAATATGGCGGCATGTGCTCAAGAAGAAAACATCACAGATACACACGAGCAAAACGTGAAACACATGCTTTCTCGCATTGCAAGCACTAATGCTGTTGTAAAAAGTCAGCAGAGAGGCGAACCAGAATTAGCTGTGGATGAGAAAATTGCTATTTTACACGAGCTTTACGATAAAAAACCAGCTTCTTTTCTTATGCGATTTGGAAGATATCTTTCCGAAAAAGACCTAGGAAATTTCGAACATTTAAGGGGAGAATATGAGATAGATTTTCGTCTTAAAGAAGTAAAAAATATCCTTGATGGTAAGAAGAAGAAAACAGGGATACGTAACAGACGATATGAATGTTTACAGCGATTAATGAAAGACACGGATTTCTTCAGCGAAGAGCAGATGAGAAAAAGGTCCCCTCTTCTTTACGAACAGTATATAGGTCAGTATCTTACTGCAGAGGAAAAACTTGACCGGGACAGAGCTGAAATTGGAGACGATCTGTGCTTGTCACAAATGATCATGAATAGACAAGAGAAGGAAATGAACGATTGGTATCTCAATTATCAGAGAGATCAAGAGGCTTGTCTAGAAGAAGAAGAGGAAGAATCAGATATGGAGAGTGACAGCTCAATCGATAAAGGTGATTATTTAATTTAGTCACCTTCTCCATTGTAATATACACCCAACATTGAAGAGGTGTGGCATAGGGCCTGTTTAAATATTTTTTCAAGTAAACCAACATAATTTTGAACCCTTCAGATTCAAAAATTAATAATAAAAGTGATGACAACAAAAATTTTGGGTATCAGAATCTGGCCTTCTTCAGGTGTGTGTGGAGGGGGGGAGGGGGGTGTTTAAAAGAAATGGAATGTTCCATTCACCTGCATACAGGGTTCACTTCAATCAGGAGATTTCCTTTGATTCCACACCAAAATCTTAGATATTAGATCATAGGAAGTGTATGGGAAATAACATAGAGAACTGATGTTTAGTTCTTAGGAATAAAGGGTTTGGTTGAGGAAATTGTTTGGATATAGTGTGAAATTCTCACAGCACACCAACAAAAATTTTATTTAACTATGTTGTGTAGCTCTCGGGGTGAGAGTTATGCTGAAAAAATGATTGTCCAATTGTGACTAATGTTTTGACAACTTGAGTAAAAGTCTTCATCAGGGCCCAGTTGTTCAAAGGCCAATTAGTGCTAGCACAGGATTAAATTTTAATGCAGGTTTCTACACTTTTTTTTTTCCAAAGCCTTTTAGAGAAAACTTTCCCTATTCTTTTTAGAACATCCAATGATCAAATTGCAAGCAAAAAGATTTCAACTGAATTTTCTTTTGCTAACCATGGGTTATCTTAACCCAGATTTGAACAACCCAGATTATAATTGCTCGTAGACAATCAGCTGTGTTATGATGGTCGTCAGTCTCTAGTCACTTCTGTAAACACCTTTAATTCTTACAGTGGAACCTGGGAGTCCAATCAAGGGATGCCCTACTAAGGAAGAAAAACTTATGCTCCATGAAGAATTTCTTAGTGCAATGCAAGACAAATTCATGAGAGGTGAAGAAGAAGAGTTTGACTATAGTTCAGTTGACGCAAATGATGAGTATGATGATCTGACCATACGAGGAAGAGATGAAGAAGAACAGTACTTTGACAGTGAAGACATGTAAGTGTCTCACCTTTTTAAATCTATCAGCTGTATACTTAACATGAAAACTTGACCCATGAGTTACCTATGGGAGGCATGGTGGTCTAATGATCAGTGCACAGGATCCTACATCAAAAGGTTCAAGGCCTGATGATCAGTATACAGGATTCCACATCAAAAGGTTCAAGGCATAATGATCAGTGCACAGGATTCCACATCAAAAGATTCAAGGCTTAATGATCAGTGCACAGGATTCCACATCAAAAGGTTCCAGGAATAATGATCAGTGCATAGGATTCCACATCAAAAGGTTCAAGGCATAATGATTAGTGCACAGGATTCCACATAAAAAGGTTCAAGGTTGGCAGTGTTGATGGCTATTGAATCTTTGGAGTCAGTGAAAGAGAAACTTAGTAGAAAAGCAGACACTACCAGAATATCTCTATTATTTTCATGTGGATTTATTTGTTTCTTCCTGTTGATTATTTATTATGAATTTAGAATTCATCACCCTTAAATAACCAACCATGAAGCATGGACAATTTTTAAAAAAGCAGAAATAAATAATCATTGTACATTTAGGAGCTGTCTCCGTCCCCTATGTGACTTTATCATTTTAAAATTTACTTCACATAAATGGCCACATTACGTATCATGATGACAAAAAAAAAGAAACAAAACAAAGATTTTGTGAGAAATTTACTCAGACACAAAATCATTCAAATAAAAGAAGATAAGTCACAAAAAGGACTAATTATTATTGTCAAAAGGTACAATAAGTCGATATTGACCTGGACTTCATTGTAATATGAAAAACATACACTATGATAATGACTTCCCCTTAGATTATCTAGAAATTCAATTACTACAACATTATCTAGAAATTCAATTACTACAACAGACAATAGTCATCCTCAGGACTACTCACAATGAGGCCATCAAGCTTTACCAACTATTATTACTGTACTTACAGTATGATTTGACCCAAGTTTTATGTTGTTGTTAAGAGTAATTCTCCAAAGATCAAAGAAATAACTGACATTTGTCCTTTGGAAAAGGGGAAATAACAAGAAGAAAAAAGAAAAACCTCATTACAAATGAGTAAAATAGAAAAAAACATGTGGAAAATATCCTGAAAAATACCTTTCTAGAGGAAGTCATCATCTAACAAAAGAAATTAGTAGAAAATGAAATTCCTATTTATATTGTGTTTTTCTGAAATGGTTTGTTTCAGCCACATTATCACAATTCCTGTTCTAGCAAATATTGTCACCAGTTTTGAAATTCAGGTTTGAATACATGAATGTCTTGAAAGAAATACTGTTAACTTTATTTTAATTCAGTTACATGTGAGTGTAACATGCCAATTTTTCCTTTGTCTTGTTTGGAACTACTTTCCCTCAAAGCCTTTGCTGGTTCCTGTCATAAGGAACAATAATAGCTAACTAGTTTAATTCCTGAAGTATTTGTAAGAAAATCCTTCAGGATGTTTGTGGTGCCACTAGTCAGCTACGCTTGGACTTGCGTTGACCATCTTCATCAAATGTTGATAAATCTAGGGGAAAAAAATTGTTTATTATAATAAGTAACTCTGACAGTAAATGGCATGTGAAAAATCAGTATTCCAAGCTTTTTAACCATCCTAAACTACGCATCTTGGTTTCATAGGGTTTCACTGATAAATTTCTTGTCTAAATCAAATAATATCATTATTCAACACTGGAATGATGCTGAATTTAAAAAAAAGTATGCCACCTACCAATTGCAACAAATTATTGTTCCTTTTTTGTTACTGCATAATGTTTGAAAGCTTAACCCTTAAACTCCCATAAGTGACCAAGACAGAATTTCTCCTTACAATATCAATACAATATTAATCAGATAAGTGATGAGAGTAAAGAAAAATATAAATTTGGAGATACTTGGTTGATCCAACACTAAATTCTCAGAACTAACATTATAAGAATTGTATAGTTGACAGTAAGGAGAATTACAAATTTGATCTGGAAGGAAGGGTGTAGATACAACTACACGTGAGGGAAGTATTATTTATAGCATGACACATTTTGATGTCAATACATATTGAACAACCATTATTTTGCAGATTGTGAAATGAGCTTTTAAGAAAAGGAAAAGAAAGAAAAATGAGTTGTGTAATAAAATAAATTGTTACCTTCAAAAGGGTGTGATTCATAGCCAGGGCTTCCAACTGGAGAATAGGGTTCAGGACGTATCCACTCTTTTGGAAGACATTTAAGGAGAAACGGCAAATATGAACCAACAGATGCTAATCTGTTCACCCAACCCGGAATTGATTTGTTACACAAAGCCTGTAATCAATAACACCACATCTTTATGACAAGCTGAGCACATTGGGTATATTTCACAAAATTCAATGAACATGACTCCTAGAGTGGTTCCACTGTTTTATTGAAAATTTTTACCAAAAAATTCCCTAGCAGAGTGTCATTTATAGCCATGTGTACCACCCAGAAAGATTCTAAATGCAAGACGGAAAGAGAGAGAAAGGGCAGCAGTCATACATGATATCTTGCTTATTGACTGGATAAGGCAAAGCTGAAATGTAAAAATTTGTGACACTTCACGGTCTGTTACTTATGATCGACCCACATCAAGTTGATAATCTTCACAGCAGTTTACTTTCAGCATTGACTAAGAAAGCAGTCTGGTTGTAAGGACACAATGTACTACCAGAAATACTGTTTTTGTCATACTTTGATAAAGAGACTTTTCTCACCTGACAAAATTCTGAAGTAAAATGATTACAATTTCTGGAACAGAAATCAACCATAAGCATAATTAAAACACATTGTAGAAAATCAGTTAAAAAGAACTTCATTTCTGATTAAAATCTTATTTATTTTAAGTAAAAGTTCAGTTACTGTTCCAATAACAGAAACCAAAAATTAACTTTAGCAAGTTACACTGCAATTAATTCTTATCTCCAAACAATTTCTTTCAAAACTGTAGTCAACCACTGGAAGAAAACAGCCTCTTCATACTTGTCTATGAGATGGTACGAACGTCCTTGGTATGTGTTTCCCATTCTTTTCAAGAGAGCCTCTACTTCACTTGGTAAAAGTTTTGTTGTTCCAATTTTTATAGTTTCCCTTGAATAAAAGAGTAAATAGGTAAAGAATTACTCAATATATGTTTATGTGAACCAGAAGAGGGAAAAGTTAGCTGAGAAAACAATCAACCCTTTAAGTCCCAAGATCTGATCATTAATTCTCCCCTCTAGCTGCAACTCATTTCCTTGTAAATTAGTAATAAGAATTTGGTGTTGGATCAAGATAACAACTTCTGCCTAATTAGTTTGAGTATTCTTTTACCTGTGTGCAGGTTAATGTATGGATATTATAGGGAGAAGTTACATGCTAATCACTTTTGGGAGTTGAAGGGTTAACAAACAGATTCCATGTTACTGTGTGTCTGTTGAGTAATAGTTCACAGATGACATAAAAATGTGGTAAGAATAAAAAAGTGGTCCACAAGGCCTGGCTGATTGTGCCTCTGATGTTCTTACCACATTTGCCTTCTTCTCTGATCTATTTGTTTTATATATTAAAGAAGCAGCAAGTTGTTAATGGTGAGGTCATCTGTATATCTCTCCTCCGATAGACCATAAGTAAGAACTGATAAAAATGCATGTCTAATTCTGCTAAATAATAATATACTGAAAACAGAAGAATGTTAATATAACTATTTTACTGGGTTTTCAGAGCGTGGTTGAGGGCATGGTCTTCTATTAAAACTAAAAGATGCATTCAGTTGGCATTGGACACACTAACCTGAACTTAAATTCCTCTCCTAAAACTTCAGGTGAGTTGGGATTCATTTCAAATATTCCTGAACAGTTGTAAGGGTGTCCTCCAAATGCATATTCTAGAAGAAGAGAATAAATTGACAAAAGATACAGGATAGGTAATTTCATTGTTATCTATAAAAGATAAACAAAACAATAATGGACTTTTTGCTATTAGTAAACACTGCTATTTAACTCCCAAGAACTGATTGTTTATTCTCCCCTCTGGCTGCTATATGTTTCTTTGCAAATTAGTTACAAGAATTTGGAGTTAGATAAAGATAACTTCTACTTGATAAGTTTGAGTATTCTCATTACCTGTTTGCTGGATAGTTAGAAGATATTATAGGGAGAATTATTATGTTAATCACTTCTGCGTGCCATTCTGATCACCAACTTACTGAAGTTCTTTAACTTTAATTGCATTTTATTTTACTTTGATAAGACGGAAAGGATCAGTAAAACAATTATACATCATTGTCCATCACATTTTATACATTTTTTTTTCTAACAGCATGTTACTGCACACGATATGACTGCCAACATAACAACATCAAGGGTAGTGTTTCTTTTCGTGTATACCGTACGAAAATGTATAAAAAAGTGTGCCTCAGTTGAACTAATGAATTGCATGCAAAGAAAGTCAAACAACACTATATGGCCTGAGGATAACATTTAAAGATATTCGTTGCGAGAAAACAAATGGCATAGCGATATGAGTCATTATTGCGTGAGGGAAATTAAATATTATGAAATATAGATTAAAAAGATAACTAAGCAAACGAGTAAATAAATAAATATATAAATTAAATAAACAATCGTAATTCTTGAAACTTCTAATTACCTGTCGTAAATCTTACAAGCACTGAGATCCGTGAGTAAATGTCTCAGTCTTTGATATTAATTTATTCTATACGCGCCTTTTCATTTTATTGTCTAGGACTCAGTGAAATAATATCAATAATCACGAAAAAACAAGGAAAAAACGAAGAGTAGCTAAACTACGAATTTTTAAGGAGACTTTTGTTATACTAGCTTCTCAATTCAATTAAGCCAAGAGTTATTACCTTTCCCGTGTACAACTACTCCTGAATGGAACACACCAAGACCAACAGGGAAAGTGTATTGGTTTATCCAGTACTACAAAGAAGAAACAATAAGAATAATAAGATTCTTCTTCTTAAACACTGTCGGAAGATGCTTAATGACTTCTATCACATCTGTTTCCTCTCACGAAATATTTTCAACTTGATCTCTCAGTGATAATAATCTGACTTTACCCACCATGTCGTAGACGTTTATCACTACCGGGTAGCCGGCCATTTTTGTATTAGATCTACGACTTGCCGGCACGATTAAGGGAATTTCTTTACTGTACAGTACTATTGTCAAACATCTGGAAGCATCTTGAAAAACATCCTTCGAGGCTGTCAACCACTACAAATTATTTACTCATGATATCGACTGCTGACCGATTTATTGCATAACAAACAAAATGGCGGATGATGTGTTTGACTCCGCTACTACTAAAAAGGTTTGTATACGTCACAATTTGACGAGAAATGCGTTGCTTGACAAAAAAAAATGTTTATGGTTTATTAGTTAATTATCCTATGTTGTTCCTGTTTTCAGTACAATTGGAATTTTAAAAAATTTATCGAGCGCACGCCTTGTGCTCGGGAGTCACTCTTGTATGGTATCGGTGCTGGCATGATAACTGGTTTTGGTTGCTTTATGAAGACAAGTGAGTTGACCCAATATTTTATAGATAGCTTCATATTTTTTAATAAAATTTGGCTAGTCTCCCATAAGGAATGATTGTGAAAATCTCTATTGCCTGGTGTTGATTTGTTGTAATTGCAGTGCACGTTTTCAAGTCCTGTCGATTTGCAGTTGGTGGCTTTGCCTTGATCTCTTTTGGAAGCTGGTAATGTGCTCATTGTCATACTTTCAGAGTCAAGCACTTCAAATTTTTATAATGATTTAAAAATTTATTGTGGCGATCCAAACCCGCAAACTTGCGCAGATCATGGAGGAAGGGGCAGGTTCAACCATTATTTTGTTACACGCATAGAGGATGATTATGAACATTCTCCCGCTGGAGATTTGTTGTTGGGTTGAAAAAAACTTGATATATAGCCATTGTTACTCAAGACAGTTAAAATATTTTCCCTTAAAATTTTTTGACTCGTCTTCTGATATTTAGGGAGGTATGCAGGTACATCAAACAAAAAGAGAAAGAAGCAATCAAACAACATGTGGATATGTTAAATAAGTACAGAGAACAAAGGAGAGAAGAAGAGGAGGGTAGTGAAGAATGAGCACTGAAAGAAATTAAATGTAACTGAACCCTTTTGGTAATAAAAGTTTTATTTTCAGCTTTCCTATGTCCAGTGTGTTGATTTAAGTTCAATTTAGCTGTTTGATGTCAAAGCACTCTAGACAATCATAGGATTTTTTAATTTGAATGTAAACAAAGAGGATCCATCTGTTGCCAAGATTCTTTAGTTACAACATGTCAATTAGTTCACAGGGCTTCTTGAGTGTGTAAGTTTCATGTAAGGACTCAAATTTTACTTATGCATGAACTAAAATTGCAGTTGTTTATGGTTATATCATATCTCTAAAATCTTTGTACAAAATAAAACTAAATGATTGTATTTGATTTGTTATAGCTGAACTATTGATCAATTGTCATTCAGTAAGCATGATACACCAGCACATACTACAATTTTAATTGAGTGAGGTGTTATGGAAACTTAAGAATCACATTTTGTTGTTTAAAATTGAGTAGCTGTCATGGACCACTTGCTCCTTTTCCAGTGACAGCATTTTGTTCGACATGATGGGCTTTCACATTTGACGTTTGGAGACACAGCTCTTGAGATTTTGTTACCATTGGTAACACTGAATATGAAAGAGATCTTCACAGCAATGAACACTACTTGAGCAGTGAATCCCGAATCCTGGGATCCTGTACAGGCCTGAATTATTTTCTCAGGCCTTATTTTCACAACTGCACAAGTAGTGTTCATTACTGCAAAGATCTCTTTCATATTCACACCTTTATCCGTAGTTCAAATATATGACTTTCATATATTCACAGTCATTTATTGGTAACACTGTTATTTTACAGTCAAACTCCCAGCACAAAACTTTTTCCATGCCTCACTCAACTGATAATCATAGTAAGAACAAGCCAGCTATTTGAAGTTACTGAAGTCCATACGTAGCTTGATGGATGGCTGTGCTGGTGCCACTTTAGCCTGGACAGCTGGTTGCTTTGGTTTGGCTGATGCCTGATTAGCTCTGACTGCACTTTCTAAACGTGACTTTAGTTCAGGCTGTGAACTCATGATGCTACGGAAAGGCCCAGGGTATTTGGGTCCAATTTTCATAAGTTTCTGCAGAGCCTGATCATGGAGGTTCCTGGTTATCTTCCCTCCTTTTGGGAGGTTAGCACTGTCTGACAGCAATGATATAAGGATTGGTACAAGCAATCCTAGCATATGCACCTCTGAAACAAACACAAAATGAAAACAGAATGTTGTAAGCCAGTATAAGTTCCACAAATGCTCTCAATCCTATAAATAACTTCAGATCAGTTATAGGTTTTACCAATCTATTCTCTTTGGTATGTGAAGATTGCTTTCTCCCTGTGAAAACTCACTTATGGATTCCAAAACAGAATTCAGTGCATGAAAGCAGGGAATGTATGATGCCAGATGAGCACAAGAACATAGAACTCAAGAAGAAATGAGTTTCCTAAGCAATTACTAGAAGTATGACTTCACTGTTAAAAGAATTCTCTAGGCATTTAAAATGACTTGACTCAATGTGATGCAAGAAATCCCTTCGAGGTGTATGTAAAGTTGAAATAAAGGCCTGAGGTTCTTACTTAAATGATCATCTGTCCGTTCCACCAAATTCTCCAGGATCTTGATGGCAGCTAAAGTGATTGTCACCTGTTCCTCGCTGCTTGGCTTCTTAACACACATGTCATTCAAAATCATCACAATGTGAGGAGCTAAAGCATTGATGAAAGGATAGGCAACACTATGCTCTCTACACTGGAAGACAGACTCCAATGTCTGTAGAGCCTTGAGCTGAATCTGAATTAAAGGGGAAAGATATCATCAAAGAAAGTTCAATTTTTATTTATTGTATATTTATTTTCAGTTTCAAACTTCCATATGTTGTTACTCTCTCAACAAAAGGTATAAAGATGATATTTAAGTGTCAATCAACTCAAAGCTTCAACCTTTCTCACCCCCCCTGGAGCAAACCCCTGAAGTTTTGAAGATTGGTGCCCCACCCAAAATGCCCCACCCATTTTTTTTGTAAGATGACCATGACTTTCAACACATCAACCAGTAGACATTTTAACCCTTTTCTTCTGAACCATTTGATCACAGAAGTGAACTTTTTTTCCCTAAAACACCTCCATAGTTTAAGATGTAATAGTTGTCTTCTGCTGGAAAGACTTGTCACTTTCAGCCAGGCAACATTCAAATTCCCCCCCCCCCCCCCCCCCTCCCTTCCCCCTCCCTTCCTTAGCCACAGAAGACAGTCAGGGTTTTGGATTGATTGGTGCTTTAAGATGATGACAATAGCAATGAGAGAACTGTTATCAATATTCTAGAGCAGAAGGCACATTGCTGACATTAACTTTACACCACTTAAATAAGGAGCAACATGACACACCTGCATTGTTGATTTAAGGCACCTGGTAAATAATTTAATACACTGTTGCTGTAAGTCTGATGCCAACACCACTTCTTTTGGTGCTGAGAGAATGAAGATGGCCAATGAAAGCATCACCACAGAGTCATCCATTGCAGGTGATTCTGATACTGCACCAAAAGCTGCAAACTCCTCATTAGCTTTGGAATCTGACAAAACTGTGGCTAAAGCACTGTGATCAAAAGAAACAAAAACTAAAGAAGATTCAAATATGTCATCAACGATACAATGAATACCATTGCCAAGGCTGCTGAAGAATCTACCGACATGTTTTGTTTCCCATATCAAGTTTGTTCTCTCAGGTTACCCTTTAACTTCAGAAGTGATTTACATGACACTTCTCTGTGTGATTTCAAAAATTATTTTGCAAAACCGTAATGAGAGCAAACAAGCTTATCAGCCTGAGATGTTATCTTGATATAACACCAAATTCTCCTGTCTAATTTACAAGGAAGTACATGGTAGTCAGAAGGGAGAAATACTAATTGGATCTTGGAAAGAAATAGAGATCTATAACAGCTCTGGTTTGTAACAATTGGAGAAAAATGGGGTGCAACAAAAAAATTGAAACAAAACATACTGAGCTGAAAACTTGTGGCTAACAAAACAAGAAAATTAGAATCTGTCCTTCTTCAAGTCTGCAAATAAATAATTTAAACCTTTGAAGCAAGTCAATCCAGTCCTTGGAACATTTAGGGTGCTGTGTGAATGCAGATGTGGTAAGTTGTTTTAAAGCCTGTAATGCAGCTGAAACTGTTTTCTGTGAGGTGGAGTCTTGAATTGAGGCCACCTCACGCAGGGCACAGGTCAAAAGGTAAAGTACACTTGGTAGAACATTAACAGAAGCCTCTGGTGTACAAAGGCCAGGGACACATGGGAGGATTGATAGTGCTTCAGATATAAGTTTGGAGCTCTCCTCTGTTAATGCTAAAAGCAAAGCAATACATGATTCATTTACTTTGTATTCATAGACCAGAATTATACATTTGAAAAATTTGAATCTCCTTTGTAAAGTAATGGTAGACATCTAATGGCTACAGTCTTTTGCCCATGCACATTTGTAATTTCATGCAATCAGATCCTGGGCATTATCAGTTTAATCTAGGATGCATAGGGTTGGGGGGAGAAGAGAAAACAGATTGAAGAAAAAGTGGTAAAGTTTGTCACATTTTTGACTGTAATTATAGACTATGACCCACACTTGCTGATAGTTCACCTGCTTAAGAATTCAGATCTTTCTCTGTCCACAGTTTATAACAAATGAATGAATATTTATCATCAATATCAATGCTTTCTTGAGAAAACTCACATCTAAACCCTGAGCCAATAGACACCAACATAACTGGCTGCTGGCTGGATGCGGCAGATGAAGGGAGAAGGTTTGGAAGCTGTTTCGTGAGGATGCACATACAAATCTCCATCACACCAAACACTAAGGATCTTCCAGGTGTTAAGTCATCCTCTCCCTCTGCATCTATACTTGAGCTGCTCTCAGAACTGAGGAGGGAAAAAAAAGTGATCACATCAATTAGTACATTTCTCTTACTAACTCAATACCATTTACCTCTGTACTTCAAATCTCAATATTTTGACGTGTAACTACAAAAAATGAGATCTATTGGGAATGATGTCCTAAAGTAAAGTTTTTCTCTTACAAACTGAATACTGGACCATACAGTTGAACCATTTTCCCCTCAGAGGCTTGCTCAGTGTCCAGTCTAAATGTTTTTCAATCTTAGCATTGGGTCAGAATTTAGCAATTGTTCACCCCTCCTGTTTATTTTTCTCTTTTTTTTTTTTTCATTTTCATTAAGCAATTTTTTTTTCTGTGGGGTCAATGGCCCTTTTAAAAATTATCCTTTGGCACTTGATTCACTAACAATGTATCACATGACATTTTGTGTATTTTAAATTTCAACATATAAAAATGTAACCTTTGCTTTACAAATGTGAAAGTGATTGACCCTACTAATACTTATCACAAGCAACAAAATGAACTGTAAATAATATTAATTCTGTTTGATTTTATGAACATATTATTTTGATTTAACTTTGGGGTAACCACTCTTGACTAGTTAATATTACTTTGCAGCTGCAGCCTTTTTTCCTTCTAATGATTCTTGAGCAGCTTTAACAATCTGTCTGGCAACTCTCATGGCAGCCAAGTGGATATCACGAGAGTCCCTTGTGAGCAGTACTCTGTGTAACACACTTAACATTTCAACACCAAGGATCTGAAGAAGAAAATCAAGATTAATAAATATGCTTGGTTTAATTGGGGGAGAGAAAAGAAATGATGAGGAAAACAAATTCAAACTATCATCTAATTCAAACAAAATTGTCAGTTCAGGAATAATTCGAAATGTCACCAGAAAAAATACTAGTGATATGGTTTCAAATCATTATGTTGTTCCATAACTCATACCAACTAGAAATTCCAAAGAGGGTGTGGGGTGGGGGGGGAGATGAGAAGGGAAGAGAGGGGATGGCTGTGAAGTTAGGCAATAAAGGTAAACAGAATTAACTTGGGGTTAGGAGAGTGGAGTTAAATGAGAAGGTCCATGAGGGAAGAGGTAAGGATACTTTCTGAAACAATGCCTTAGTTTGAAAGCCCCCTCACAGCATAGTTAAGTACGATGGTTCTCTCTGACATGTGGAAGATAGGTTCAAGATATTACCTGTTCATTTCCTATGAGAGTGCGTGGCCACTTAGAATCCAGTAAGCTGTGGAATGCATTTAGACATGCAGACACAGTACTGTTGGGTTGTGTTGCTCTGGATGAACACAAGGATTCCATGCAAATTCCAACCAGTAAATGAAAGTAGTCTGCGTTGATATCTGTTGGTGTCTTAGCAGGTGTCACCATATCAACAGAGCTTGTGTTTAGAGGCTCAGTTGGTATTCCTAATTAAAAAAACAATAATGATAATAATAATAATAATAATAATAATAATAATAATAATAATGATTACAACAATAATAATAATAATAATAAGAAAACCTAAATTTTTTTTCGTTCATGTAACAGTCATTAGCACTACAATTTAGCTCCAAAGTAATTAGTTTTTCAAGGTGGTGACTAATTACATAATGTGGGATTATGTGAACCAATAAGGCACTGATAAATTTTGTAGATGGGAGATTACATATTCAGTTTTTTACACAATTCATAGACCATTTGCTTATTTCTCTATCGGTTTATTTATTCTTTAATAAGTTATGACCAAATGGTTTGTGTCTTTGTGATCTGAACCCTGTGTTAAATTTCACTCTAAAAGTTGTCACATTAACATCAAATCATTCTAAATGAATATTGTCTCCAGTTAGGGACCGCATTGCTGATAGATATGGCTGTGTCAATTATAGCCAGGCAGCGTTCATTAGAATGGGGACATATTTAGTGCTCTTACCTTGCTCCATATCACGTTTGGTGCTTTCAAATCCACCATTGTTCAGCCACAAGGAGGCTGCATGAACAATGGAAGGCCAACAACTTTGGTAATGTGGCTTGGCTTGCTCCATTGAGTCAGGACTAAAAAACGAAAAGAGTTGCAAAAAAGACAATATGATTCAAAACACAGATCTTAAGAAAGAAAAGAACTGGTGTGACAGGGGTGCAAGGAAAGCTGCTTGCATACAGATTTGTACAGTTAAAGTTGCTGTTTTGATCTAACACCAAATTCTCATAACTAATTTAAAAGGAAATGAGTAGCAGCTAGATAAGCAATCAGATCTTGGGTTACAGGGTCAAGAAAAGAGGTATTGACACCCATGGAGTCAATTGTAGACATTGATGTTCCACAATGAGTGAATGGAAAACATTATTGTTGACCAAACATTTGTTTGTAGAGTACAACAGCTACAGAAACAACATCTCAAACCTGTAGAACATTCCACCATGGGGAGGCAACTGAGATGCATACTCTGCAGGTAGAGAAAGAAGTGCATGATCTCTCAGTGCACCAAGCCAGTATTTACTGAGAGATTTCAACTCAGGTTCTACCAGCTCCAACAGGCTCCCAGCTGGTTCAGAAAACTCTTCATCTCCAGCATTCACTGGTGATGGACTGTCCTGCTGCTTCATGGCAACTATATACACCTGTAGGAATTCATTGAAAAAAAAACTCAGATTCATCAGTGATAAATGTCTATGAAATTTATCATTAAGAGGCATCTTCCCTCTAAATCTTCCCTCATGAGTTGTTAAGGCAGAAAGATGACATAGATGAACATACATATATGAGGCAGAGTTGTAAATTAAAATAATTTGTCTCATGTATTAGAAGCCAACTGAGCAACATGTAGCAATTGAAATTTGGGAACTGAAAAATTGACTAATCAAGATGTTATACATAAAGTAAATATTTCAACTTGCTGTTGATGGAACAATTAAGGCTTCCACAAAAATTTTGATGAAAATATCATCCACATTAAGAGAATATCAAGGGAGGTTCCAAATTTTCAGCAGAATACCAGTGGACTTGCTTTACTATCACTGATGTTATAAACTATCAGTACCTCAGCCCAAGCTTTCAAAACTGCTAGTTTCTCCATTGTAGTAGCTGCTTCATTGTACAGCTGTAAAGAAGAATCTTTGGCCTCCCCAACTTTTGACAGCTTGGTGACTAACAGTTGCTGAATCCTTCGTACATCATTAAGATCTCTTGCAATACCACTGGCAATCCATGCACTACAAACCTGAGAATAAAGCAATATTATATATGGTCAATACATCTGCTGTGATGCCAATTAGACCAAGTATAGTCTGACACAACCTGTAACCATTTGTAAGTGTTTTTGTGAGTTGCTTATCACATAAATGAAAGTTTTGACAACACAGAGTCATTTTACAAAACAACAACACAATTAATGAAAATATATTTCTTATACCATAGACTTCACAGGTTCCAACTCTGAAAAAGGTTTCAAATCAGTGACATACCAAGGTATTCTCTGTTGGGCTAGTGGGGTAGGAAGGGAATTAATTTGGCATAGCAGGTGACAGGAGAGGCATATGGAGCTTAGGACCCATATCACAAGATTGAGTGTCACTTCTTACCTCGCATGCCATGGCTGTGACATCAGAGGGCATGTCTGAAGCAAATGCTGGTCGCAGAGCAGCCCCAACCTATTTATGGCAAAAATTTTTATATTTGAGAAGCAGGTCTATGTCATTGTCTTACTATTGTCACAAATATTGTTACAAATATTTTGACAAAATATTATTTATCAATACTAATTAAAATAAAGTATACTGTTGACTGTTTGTGTAAGTGTAACACTGCAACCTACTTTAATTTCTTTTATCAGTGAATTGCCGTTTCTTACCTGAGCCTGAAACTGTTCCAGAATAACATGCCCTGGATAATCAGGATCAGGTACTGATGCAAACATATTGACTACATCCTGAATGAAAAAAACAACAACAGCAACAAAACCAGATACAGAATGAATAAAAAAAAAATTTAAAAAACTGTCTCAGATTCTCATTCAATTGTTTTGTTTTGTTTTTTAACATAATTTCACATGGATGTTACAATTACCTGATTACTAAGAAAAGTGACTGACTCCTAAACATTTATGACAAGGGAAATTTCTAGTATCTGCAAGTAATAAGCTACTGTACCTGTAAAGTGCTAAGTCCCTCCAGCTTCAAATGATCGCATGTTGCTGTGGCTGCAATGAACACCATTCTGACAAGCTCTTGAAGATGCATAACAAGAAAATCTACCAAAGAAAACCAAATTAAGTCCAAGGTCATCCTGTCATTAAAAAACATCAGAAGCCTCCTTGATATTTTTATAAGTAAACACATGGTTATGACTCAATTACAAAATTTAAAATACCACTTTATCTATGATCACACGAGAAACTTGATCACAAAGATATTCATCCACTATAGAATCCATGTATATTCAATTAAACTGCGCTCTGTAGGCTGTAAACACTCCAAGCCTCTGGGGATGGATTCTCAACAGACTAAGGGAAGCAGGGGGAGGAATTGAGGGAGGTCAAGGGGGGTAGACCTAAGTAGTTGAGGGGGGTGAGGAAATAGACTGAGGAGTAGAGGAGGTTAGACCAGGGAAAGTGTGAGGGGTAGTCTAGGGGAGGTCAGGGGGGTAGACCAAGGAATTATCAAACAATGGGGCTTGTTGAGAGGAACAACTTATCAGAGTGTTTATTGTTAAGTTTATTCTAAAATTATCTCACCCTCTCCAGTCTCCTCTCGCAATCTTCGTGCTACTGCCAAATCAAAATGACCCTGTTTTGATTGACAGACGACAATAATTTTCTTGATACACCCAGTTGCAAACACTCTGGTTGGCCAGCGTGGATCCACTTTAGGGTGTGTTTCCTCAGGAGCTTCTCCTGCTGTCATTCCTCCACCTTCGTCAGTATCACCTTCACCTGCCTCTTCACCCTCTATTTGTGTACATAGTTCAAAACAAAACAAAATGCCATTTCATTAAATATTCTGATTCACTTTTCTTAGATAAAAGCTTTCCTACCAAGCTCTAAATGTTGTAATGTACATGTATGCTTAAAAGCATGTATGCTTAAGACCATACATTCACAGGGACAATTCACCCCTAGGATGTTTTCACATGATGTTAAAGTGGTCATGTTGGTTTATCTAAACAAAAACAGGTCAACATTAGTGTACCACAATGATAAGACCCCAACCATGCTGAACTACTTCTTCATGTAAATATATGAGAGCACTCTATATCACTATGCACACCCCACCCAATGGGTTTGTCTGAGCTCCTGATCAAGAATGAGGGATCCATGTTTAAGACTAGAGGTGTAGTACCTCACATAGACATTTGATTTCAAAAAAGAACAAAGTGAACTCTTTGCTTATTTAAGCCCCTTTAGACATCCAGTTCCTTAAGCAAGAAAAGTATTTCAACCTTGTTCTTCATCCCTCTTTTGAACTTCTGGTCCTTTCGCTGCTTTGCTGCTTTTGGATGCAGACAGCACATCCCTACAGAGGCCCAGCCAATGTGTCAGGTTTTGAGCTGCAAGTGTCTGCAGCATGCTGTTCAATGTGTCGTGAATATCAGATCTCATGCGTGAGTCTGTTTCTGTGTCCAACATACCAAACAGTGCCCCTGATACAGAAAAACTTGGATGAGTAAGGGGATAAAATTTAGGTGTGATAAGGGGAAGTACATGCAAAGCATTTAAAAACACATCCATGGAGAGTAAGGCTAATTAATAGCCTGGTTAACCTAAAAATTGAACCTTCTTCTAGATAGATCCCTTTAGGACAAACATCATGAGTCTATTTTTAGCAAAGTGTCCCCTTCATCAAGTAGTGGTGATTAAAAATTTTCAGAGTCATTTCAGTAAAGTGGCAAAATGAGTTGACTGTGTAGTTACCTTAATAATGTTACTTGCTACTTTATGTTTGCGTAATATTCAGATCACCTCTTGTCATCACCCTCAATTTCTTCATGAAGATTCTTATGCGCTGACTTAATCTACATACAATTTTTTTGGCCCATATAGGCAAGGAAACACACACAAAAATCTTTCACCTTCCAGGCCTTTGTCTCCTATGACAACAGCGTAACTGGACTGTTGTTGCTTATGAAGCTCCTCTCCAGCAGCTGATGCATGTTCACAAACTTCTTTAGCTTCACGTTGGGACAGTTGACGCAGGCAGGCTACTGTGGCTCTCCGCAACAATAAGTGAGGACTTGACAGGTTGGCACAGAGTTTACGGACCACAAGCCCTAGGTTGATATGACTTGGAGCAAACACGTGAAGCTGTTGAAGGCAGTTAATTGCTTCTCCTTGTACTAAGGAATCTGGATGGTTTTGCATGATGGCACATGCCACAATGCAGGACAGGCGCAGATCTCTTATAGACTTTGAAGTTCCTAAAATCAAGAGTTCGTAACTTGTATTTATTGAGAATAATTTAATTGGATCTTGTCTATCAATTAAGATTTTGGGAAGGTTTTAAGAGCCTTAAAGGAACAGGAATGGCACAGTGGTTCTCATCCTTTATTCAGGGGTTTTTTCTCCCAGTTCTCCACTTTCCCACCCTTCCTAAAAACCAACACTACAAATTCTAGTTACCAATTATACCTAACAATGGTGATAAAGATGAGCAACTTAACCTTACTGCTACATCTGAATTACCTGATATGCAATTTTAAAAAGCTTCATTCTTATATAAAGTAGATATTTAATCTCAGTCTACCCTGGATTATGATGAAAAAGTCAAGAGTTGTTGGATTTTGTACAACCCATAAATAACCCTTTGAGCCCATAGTACAATGCAGTATGTTCAAGACCTGAACATACTTCATTGTTTATAAGGTTATTTAACAGTTGTACCAAATCCAACAAATCTTGACTTTTAAACTCTACCTGGTAGAGTTCAACTCTTTTACCTTGCAATTCAGGTCCTATTGAGGTGATAAGTGCTGCTAAACACTTTCCAAGACACTGGTGAACCTCTGTGATGGCTGGTGGGACAGTCATTACCAGATCAACAACTTGCTCTAATGTTGGATTAACATAGCTTCTAAACATTGGCCCTCCACAGTCAGCAATAAGGGCTAAGGCATGTAGTGCCCATACCTGGGTCAGGCAAACAAAATCAAGAAACTTAGATGACTGCATTATTACTAACAAATATGATACAAAAAAACTACTTGTCATTTAGGTTTTTTTTTTAATGTTTTAAAAGAGTTCTAAGACTTTGTAGTCAAAATCTTGGCCTAGTGATCCACAGTGATGACAGGAGCTTGTTCCAGTTTCCCTAGCACAGGTGTGTAAAAGCATCATTTCTCTCCCAGGAGGAGATACCTGTCTAGCCCAAATTACACCCCTGGATTTTGTCAGGCTACCCTATTACATTGCTGTTACTGGTACCAATTTATAATACTACTAGGTGGACTGTGAGAGTAAACTGTCTTGCCCATTAACACAACATGATGATCAGACCTGTGCTTGAACCCTGATCTCTTCACTTGGTGTCCACTGCCTAAATGTTAGGACACTGCATCTCTCACTTGTTAAACATAGCAGTATACATTGCACATACCTGAACCAAAGATGATGAATTATCCTTAGCTAAGGCAAGAAGTATGCTGACACTGCTGTTAAGATGATGACCTGAAGCCATTCCACCCACATAACGATGGATACAGCCCAGAGCAACAGAGTAGCCTGTTCTGGACACTGCATCCCTTGCTGCCTTCAGTTGATCAAAGATCTTCTGAGTAATGTTTGATGTGAGAACAGGGCTCCCAACAGCTTGTGCAATGCGACCCAGGGCTTCTCCTGCAGCACAGCGAACAATAGGGTCTGAATTTGTTATGGCATTCTGTTGAAGTAAAGGGACAATAAATCAGTAAATAAATCAAGTACTATTAATATGGATATCTAGAGTAAAAGCAGAATTACTATAATTACACTCTTTAATGTTTTTCAACTGAAGGAATGCAAAGATACGAGACTTCTGAAAGGGTTACATAGGGAGTCAGAGCAATGTAACAGTGTGTTAGCTGTACTGTAACCATACAAACCTTGTAATTTTTGTTAGATAGACACTTTTAGTACTCACCATTACTAAATTAACAGCTGTGGTCTTTACATCTTCATCACCCAGACCAGTTTTTGCTTCAGCAATACCCTAATGTGGGAAAATTAAAAAAGGCACAATAACTTCCTTTTAAGCATCTCTAGGATTTCTTCAGACTTTTATTTTGTCAGGAAACAAGTCAACCATAGAATTAGGTGAGAAAGACTATTGTCTCCACTGACATTAGTTTGTTACAGACTAATTTTAAGTCAAAAGAAAAGTAAAAATACTAAAGATAATTTTGAATTTTGGTGTGCCTAACTTACCTTTAAAGAAAACAAAAATGCTGTCAATACATTTGTTTGTATTGCTTGTTGTCTCGAGGACTTTGCTTGACGAATACATTCAGCAAAATGAGATAATAACTGGCTACGATGCTTCTGAGCCACAAATGGGAACACAGTTCCAAACAGTTTAATTGACTCATCAATAACAGCCACACCCAAAGGTAATGGACCAGGAATGTCTTCTCCCTAAGATAGGTGACAGAAAAAAGATTGCATTGAAGAAGAAGGGATCTAAATTTTGTGCTTAGTTGTCAAATAAAATTAGATGTTATTCATTCTGTAATGAGTATTTGACAAAGAAAAAAATTTGGGTCATTTACAAGGAATAAATATCAAACACTAAGACAGATTTTTCAGACTCATTTTCTACCAAAGAGCTAAAGAGAACTCAGTGGTGGGCATGGCCATTACTTTGTTTACACATGTTTATGACAAGCACTTGGTGCTCAGATTAGCTATGCTTAAAGCATGTTGTGAGTAAAGGATAGCAGCTGCTGTATGTTTGAGACATGTTAGAGTCCACTTACCTCTGGACAGCGTTCAAATATACAAGAGGGATCATGCTCTAAAGATCCTGACCCTGATGCACTGTTGGTTTGTAGCTGAAAGATTAAAATTGAAACAATCATTACTCTTTAATGATCTATCTATTCAAATATATTATATCTTAGGGACTCTTGAAAACTGCTGAGGGGTAAGTAGTCTGAATAGACACTTTATTTTAACCTTGATAGCAGCTTGGTCAGCCTCTGGCAAGTTTGACCACCTTGAACAAGTGATTATATCTCTTCATGGCTAAATTTTATTCTGTCCTCAAAACTCATTGTAGTGTTATGATATGAAATGGTAAGAGGAACCAGATTAATTAGACTGTTTTGTTTTGTAAAAACATACAACAGTCCTTGGGAAGAATTAGTCAAACAAAGTTGTGTCACAAACCTGCTCCTCCACAAACTTGTGGTCTGTTTCTTGAAGCCATGACCCAAGAAGAATAGAATCATCTTTATGGCACACAGTTTTTAACAAAGATGTGGTTGTCATAGCAGGATTTTCTGCCAAAGTAAACTCTGCAACCAAGCTACGTAGCAAAGAATGAAAACTTCCTACAAGAGCAAACATTTTAGAGAGTTGACATCTATCTGAAGCAACATGATTTACAGTTTAGCTTTTACATTTAAAGCATGAGGACCATGATGAAAAACAAATTAAACCAACAAAATTTTATTTGCCAAATAATTCACTATGACTCTGACACTCACAAACAACACTATCATTCTCAATTCACCAATGAAAACAAATCATAAACATCTTCCATCTGTAAAGATGGATCCTGGCTACAGAAATTTAACTGTTCATCTCATATGCACCTTAAGAAATAAAAGAAAATCTGAAAATATGAAATAGGTTCTGTAAACATAAAGTACATGGATACCTTCATAAGATTTTGGTGGAAGAAGAGTTAGTACTGAGTACATTCTCAGTCGCACAATAGCAGCACTTGCTTTCAAGTGATTTCCATGCTGCTTGATGATCTGAGGTAGGCTGATCCAGAGAAAGAAAAAATAATGATAACAAGGCCAAAGGTAATTTAGGCAAAATTTACAAAAACCTAAGTTTATATTTTGTGGTTTTGACAATGAGGTGTGGGGGACCTAAGGGAGGTTTGCAGGAACTTTGACTCTGTTGCCATGGTGACCTCCTTGCTTATGAGGAGAGGAGATAACTGCCCTCTTCTATTACAACATTTATGGCAGCTACCCACCATACTAGTGAAAAAGTGTATCAGTGGTGGACTAAACCAAGATCATTTGTAAAAATTGAAAGCACAATCACCTAGAAATGCAATAGACTAAGAAATTGCAATCAAACTTATAACTCCACTGTAAGTGATAATGAACTAACCTTGGAAGCATTGCTAAACATGCATCAGTAGTAGCCAGCAGACGCTTGGTGAGGTCATCATTTAGAAGAGCAGAACAGTTTGCACAAAAACTTGCCATTGCTGCACAACAACAACAACAAAAGCAAAGTAAATGATTCTGTCAAAATTAGACACTGGACCACAGGGCTTTAAAGCAAAATTTTATTTTATTGAGATCAAGTTGTACTTTAACTTTCCAGTGATAACCAAGTTGTAAAAATTAAATTCCATGTAAATACTTACAACACAGTGCTCCTGCACGACATTCCATAGTGACATGCCAAGTGTATGCATCACCTCTGGTCTTCTCCTGATCAAATTCCTTCACTGTCTTTGGAAAAGCATTTGTCCACAGAGCAAGCATCTGTGGCAAATGATGTTTGACAACTGATGGCCCTACCAGATAAAATAACAAGTTGAACAAGTTTCACTTTAATTTACCATTACCCCTGTTGAATTTTATCTTAGATGTACTGTATTACAAAATGAGTGCAATGACATTCAAAAGCAACATGCTTCATTTTCACTTTATAGTTTGAGAGCATGTAAATTAACAAGAGAAAAGAGAGATTGAAAGAATCATTCAGTTCCATGAGATCAACTGACAGTAAACCATTTCCTAAATAACTAGAGCAAAAACCAAAAGAAATGTGAATATAGCAGCTACAGCTGTACATGTGATCAAAGTAAAGGCAAACATCTCAAAAAGCCAAAAGGAACTTGATGTTACAAAAACAAACACACTGTCAGTGTACAAACCCTGGTAATACTAAGTGACCAAATTGTGATTGGTTTTAGTTTTGGACATGACTGATTAATGGGGAGGGGTGCAAGTTTTCAAGAAAAATCACAGAGGAAAGCAAAACAAAAATCAATACAGCCCTAGATTATTTTTGAAAATGAAAACTGCTCTATCCATTAAACAGACTTCTCACCTAATGTCATCAATGCTCCCAAGAGTATCCATCCAGCTTTAGCTTTGTGGAGAGCAAGTCTTGGATTCTGATTAGCAGTTTTTAGAAGCTCATTTGCTACGTTAAATACAACCTAAAAAATAAAAAAAATGAATACATTTGTGGGACATCAACTAATGGAGAACCTGTTATGTTCATTTCCAAAAAATATCAATGCTACATAGTTATTACATTTCAGATTTGTACATACAATGTTATATACTTCTTTGGAGATAATCAAAGAAAATTGCATGTCATGTTTGCTTTATACTACAAGAAACTGACTAATATCTAATTAATCAGGCCCCTAATAAAAAGGTAAATATTGCAACATGCCTCAGAAAACATACTAATTAACATTTAAATAAACATATAAGAATATAAAATGGCCTTTAGCACTGGAAACACTACTTATTAAGTTGCAATTGGTTATGGTTTTGCATCTGATTTATTGCGAGTACGGCATGAGTTTTTTATATCACTATAGAGAGTAGTGAAACAAAACCAACACAATACTGGATTAATTTCTTCTCTCAGTTGAGAATTTTTCTCAATCAAAAGTGTGACTGTACCTTTCCTTTAGCATGAGGGATACCAAGAGGACACTTATGAACTCCTCCAACAAGAGCTGCTAAAGTATGGGCATAACCTCCAACTGCTTCCCCAGATGACTTGAGGGAACTGATACGATTGATACACCGGTCGATGAGTGGTGTTGCCTGTGATGGAACAGCAACTGTGATGCACCTCAGACACCAGGCAGCAAGCAGTTGAGCAGCAGGAGCTGGGTGCAGCAACACTGACAGAACATGATCCAAGAGGTTCTCCTGAATAAGAGACATGGCTGTGGTACTGAGCCCTTGAACTAAACATCCTAGTTCTTGCAGAGCACACACAAGAACATGTTGAGTGTTGATCACATCATCCGTGTTCTGAATAACACTAGCTGAACTGCTGCCATCTGATGCACTATGCACAGAATCATTCACTTTATTCATTTGCTTTGTTATTAGGCTGCACAGTTCCTTTGCTGCATCTAACTGAGCTGGTTCACCAAGATGCCGTCCGAGCACAGCCCGCAGAATAAATGAAATAGAACGTCTGGAGTACACTGCATCCACATGGGTTTGAGTGGCTTTAGGACTGGAAAGGAGCTCCAGAACATTTTTCAAGATCAAGTTGATGTTCCTCTGCACCCACAGGCCTCCCATCTCAGTAAAAAATATCACATAGGCCTGAAAACAAAATTAGAGTTCATAAGAATTTCCTTTGATTTAAAGCAATTTTGTATGACACCAAGAAGACCCAAATTTCTGTGACCTGATTACCCAAGATTTATAAAAGTGGACATATTCTCCAATATTTCTTTTTAAATCAAAGTGTTGTGAAATGTTTTAGTGTGTTGTTGTTGACAAAGCTCCTACAAGATAGCTTCTATAACTTGATAAACTTCTCACTTAAATTCCGTACCTGAGTAACTCCCACTCTCACTTCTCGTGGAGCAATACTCTTCAACAGCTCCCCTCCACTTCCCTTCAAAAATCCAATTCCTCCCCGCAGGAATCCTCCAGACATGTAGGCAAACACTTCTTCCAGACTGCATGTCTTCTTGTTCTTTCCAGCTGCTGCTGTTACTGAAGAAATCTGTTGCGTCATGGCCATTAATGTACCAATCAGTTGAGCAACACAGACTCGTACATCATAATTAGAACCCTCCAAGGCTTTAAAACATGTTGATATTACACTCTCCAATTCAGAAGTGTACAGGAAGTTGGCATGTTTCATTAACTCCAGTGCACACTGAAATGTAAAGAAATTCCTGTAGGTTATTGCAATTCAGTATGACACATCTCTGCAACTGATGAAAGACAACAAGATTTAGATTTTCACAGTTTTTTAAATTTTCCCTGAGGTGCTACAAACCTATTACAAATACTAATTTAGGTGATGTACTATTTTAATAAATTTTTTAGCAGTTTTAACAATTCCTTTCAATCAAATTTTAATACATTTCTCTCAATTTACGATTTTTCCATTCTGGTCACACAAGTTTCTCTTGGCCACCTCCTTAAGACCAAAAACATCAAATTTTCCTACAATGACCTTGCTCAGGTTGTCCAAACATGATCGAAAACTAAAGACAACATTCCTTTAAGGATTTTTCTCACCCAGACAATCAGACCACACAATCATGCGTCGCCACTAAGTTCAAACCATTCACTATAAAAAGTCTTCGTAACTAAGAGAAAGCATTCACTTTCACAATTCTCCCCTCTGGCTGCTACACATTTGCCTGTAAATTGGTTATGAGAATTAGGTGTTCAGTCAAGGCAATATCTTGTACCTGATGAGTTTGAGTATTCTCGTTTCCTGTTTACTAAATAAGATAGGGATATTATAGGGAGAAGTTACATGTTGATCACTTCTGGGAGTTAAAGGGGTTAATGGTGGCCAATTTAAATGTTACTTCAGTTGATAATACCAAATTACCTTGTAGTAACTGGGAGGCACAAGTTTGAATTGAGTTGAGGTCTGAATTTCTTTACATTTCTTTTCCACAACTGCTTAAATAGCAGTCTACTTGTGTGGATTATTTTTTCGCATAATTTATAATACCTTTGCGGCTGCACATCTAACTGACATGCTTCTGTCGGTCAAAGCTCCTTTTACAGCTTTGTAAATATCTCTGTGTAAGGCTGCTCCATTACTACCTAGACCACTTAAAACTCGCTGCAGACTCAGCATGATTTCACAGCGTCCTTGAGACTGCAAGATAAATCATGCAAAATAAACCATTTACTGACAGATAATTAAATATTCTCTGTCTTGTAAATAAAGAGCAAGTGAATTAAACTTTAAAAAAATTCCAGCAAGATTCTATTTCAGAGGAATGTCATGAACTCTTATCAAGTAGAAACATGATTACTTATATCAAATAGTTGATTGTATATTGCTACTAACAATGAAATGAATAAATCAAAGCCTTAGATACCTCAGCATTTTTCATTGCTTTGATTAGAGTCTGCACAGTCTCCTGATAAGATCCACCAGCCTGAGAAAATACAAGATGAAATGAAAATCACCTGTGATTGATATCTTTTTCAGTAAGTATAATTCCTCCAAGTTTAACATTGAAACATTTTGAGAAAATTGCAAAGTTGTGATAAATTCAGATTACCATTCGTCCTAGTTTCTCATAAATGGCACCAATGCATGTTACTGCAGACCTGACAACACAATCAAAACATTTCATTCAATATAAACATTATTACAAGAACATGACAAACCTTTCCCACATACAGGCACAGATGAAACTTTTTTTTTTAAGGATTCTGTTTCTTAAGACCAAAGTAGCACTAATCCTGTAATAACTAAGTTTGTACAAAACCTATGAGTTATTATGGCATTTAAACCAAAACTGAAGCTAATTCTGCTATAAACAACCTAGCCACACAAATACTTGATCTAAAACATTCATATAAAAACAATTATCACAGGGTAACCAGAGGTGGAAAAATAAACACTGTTCCTTGCATCAGTACGCATTGTCTCCATACTGCTCTCTAATCAGTTCCTAACTCAGGCACTTCCCAGGATAATTTGTCTACTAATCAAGACCTTCTTGAATTTGTAATAATTTCTTTATTTTTGTGACCTTAATGTTTGATTTAGGAGTGATCTTGTTAGGAGAAATAAGATGCCTCACACTCTTGGGGGTTAAAGGTTTATGCTTACAGTTTTATTGGAAGGTAAGACTGTGAATCATCCTTGTACTTGATGGTATCACTGCACTTGTTGACTGTTTCATACAATGTTGTGGTGTTACCGATACTGTACAGCAGTGCAAAGCATCTAGAGAGCAGCTGTCTTGTTGGAGGTCCAAGCACTATAGTCAAGTGCTTAGAGAGTTGTTCCTCAAGCTTCTGTTGACAATTTTTTACCTCTGTCTATAAAAACCAACACCCACAATCAAGAATTAGGATAATGATTACTGCTTTGATCATTAAATCTCATCATTTGTGTGAGGCATTATTTGGGTGAGGGTGGTCCTAAAAATTACTCTTATCAGCTGAGGTGACAGATTACTTCTGCTCACATGATAGAAATGTCAAGTAATTTATTGTTAACAATTGAGTTGATTAACTAAATTAACCACCGTAAAGAGATTAAAGGTTGATGTTTCCAGCATTAGTCCTTCGTTAGCCCTTTGTCAATCCCTCTGACGAAGGGCTAATGCTTGAAATGTTAACCTTTAAACTCTTAACAGTGGCTAATTTACATTTTCAACTCAGCTGTTAACACCAAATTGTCTGTTATACTCTCCCACCCATGCAGCACCACAGTTTCTTTAGGAGCTTACTCCCTTTATACAGAAATGTCAGTCAGTCCTACTGATAAGAGTCCTTTTCAGGACTAGGAAAAGGTGGAAGGATAAGTTTCTAAAGAAACTGTGGTGCTGTGTAAGTGATCAGGTCTACTGCAAGGTAATTTGGTTTTTATCAAATGAGTTGTTGGTGAAAATTGGCCTCCGTAAAGACATTCTAAAGCTTATGTTTCTAGTGTTACCCCTTCATCAGGGAAAATTGAGGCAACCCTATTGACATTTACTTCACAATGAAAACAACTGGAATTTAATAGTTTTTTATTGTCAATAAAGCACTGGTTCAGTAAATGGCATGAGTAACTGGATTTATGTTGAATCTCCTTATGCTAGCCAATTCACGTTATCAACTTAAATGATAACACCAAAATGATCTTTTCAGCTGTCACTCCTGGGTTCCAACCATTTGCTGCATGACTGTTTTGTTAATAATGACAAAATCTAGTCCACAAATGAGGGTCGATAATGTTTTGTTTTCATTATAAAGAAAATCATAGTAAATCAACGTAAGGTTGTCACAGCTTTTCCAGTAGGTTACATTTTCCCAACTTCACTAACAAATCAGTGAGAATTATGCGAGCAGAGCAACTAGCCAAAAACACGTATCAGACTGTGATTTAAAAGTAAAAAAAGGTTTTATAATCTAACATGAAATCGTTATTATCTACCACGATCATCTCATGTTCTTTTTGCAAACGAATTACTGGTACTGGTCGTGCTTGGTAGTGACAAACTAGCCCCTAATTCTAAAAAACAACGATCAGTAGACGTTGCATCGGTAATTTTGCTTAGAAATACCGTGGTAAAGATTGGTAGGACTTCGTATTTCACGTGCGTGTTCACGGCACAGATTTTCTAAATAATAAAACAATGAAAAACAGCTGAATTTGATAAGTGCTTCTTGCTGCCTCACCTTCTTGACAGTTGTAATGTTATCTTCCAGATTTCTGAGCCATTCGTAGATAAATATGGCTTTTTGATTTGGTGGCGTTCGGCCATAGTCCTCTTCATCATAAGTCAATGTCGGTGTGTCGAAATCCATGTTGTCAGCCCGCCAATTCAACAGAACTTTCCATTTACTGCAAGCTCTTAAGAGGTTTGTCGTCGTCCTACATTTTGGTTACAAATAGCGACAATTTACATGAATGAAGTATCAGCTCACACATACGCTGCTTACTTGTGGGCTCAAAATATCAGCGAAAGAAAAAAAAAAAGGGAACGGGATGGGTGGAGAGGGTGGGGCGGAGGACGGTCTAAGCAACTGTCCACCGGAATGTAGAATTTCGTTTACAATAAAAGCTAATTAGTTACACTCACGAGTCGCGACAGGAAGTACTTCTTGATAAATGAAAATTTGAGGCTGTTTTGGTGTTGCTCTTTACCTGATTCGTTGTGGTAGTCGAGTTCTTGGATGCACAATGAAGAGCAGCAGAGCGTGAAGGAATTCGTGTTCTAGCAACACAACAAACAAACAGTTGTTTACATTTAAGGCCAAACTGAGCGTGGTAAACAGCACGCGCTATGAACATGGATATGTTAGTCTTAAAACTTGTCAGCAAAGTTCGTCTTGGCTGAGTCTATACTCGCAGTGTATTTAATAGGATTGACAATTTCACTTATCGATCTGACGATAATTTGTCTGCCAAATGTCTGAAGAAACCACTGATCAGCCAGCCCTGCAAAGGGATCAAACAACCCACGATTTTTTGACGGGATTGAAGGAAAGAGAGGAACTGAAAGCGAAACTTCACGAAAGGGAGAAAGAATGTAATTCGCTAAAGGGAACAGTTTATGACATGAGCAAGAAAATGGAGGAATTGGAGAAACAAGTGAGCATAAATATCTGAAGAAACCCTCGATTAACACGATAAATATTTGTTTTTAACGATTCACAGTAAAGCAAGTGATAATTACAGTTGTCTTTGTTTGATAGGTTTGAAGAATTCGTCAGTAATTGTAAGAATGCAAGAGCAGGTGTTTGACCGATCAAACAATTCCTTCCGCGCGCACAACCGTTGAAATTACGAATTGTTTACATTTAAACTACCGCATAATTATGCACATTTAAACACGCCCTAACTTCTAAAGATTACTTGAAGAATTCTTCTCCCTTAAGACGCTGCTTAGCTACAGATATATAACAAATTTATTGATTTCTTTTTTGTTGTTTTTTTTTCTTTAAAGTTGGCTGAAAAGAATAAGGTAAGTCTTACCCTGATATCTTTTTTTAAAAATTATTTTCAAAATAATCAGATTTACATTTTACAGCAATGTACATCTAGAATTAATTGGAATTAAGCAGACCCCTCAATTCTTCATAGGATTTTTACAAATTGAAAGTGATCTAAGCAAGAGACTACTGTTTTCTGCTATTGGCTTGCTATCATGTATTTTGATGAATTGAATCAACAGTCAACAGTGATATAGTTAAAATTCTCTGTTCACAAATTTGTAGGAAACCAAAAAACGCCGTCAATCAGAGGCAAAAAAACCTAAAAGACCAGCACAAAGAAAAAGAGACAAAGGAACTAAAGGTGCGGAAGAGAAAACACTTGATGGAAACAATAAAGAGAATATAGACAACCCATTTGATGACCCAGAGAAGTTATACCAGGTAAAACTCTAAACTAAGAAAAACTATGCTGGGTTCAAAATCTACTTGAAAATTAAGAAATTTGGTCATTTTTAACAAACTCAAGAGCACATATTGCAATACCGCTGGAAGGCTAATTGAGACTGGCTGGTAAATGTTATTGGAATATCACTGCAAGATGAACTAGACAACCACTGACTTGTTAAACCTTTCCGAGAAGACAAGAACTTAAGGTCATGAAAAGCTAAGCAAGTAGATGTTACTGGGGCATGCCTCTGAAAAAAATTAAAAACATGCAACTTGTACATGTATCTTGTCAAAAAATCTGAATTAGCGCTAATTGATTTAAGAGCAAATATCTATTGCATTTGGCTGAGACCTGTTCCCATATCATTTTGCATTGCTAAACGCTTAGCTTCATTGACAAACCAAAACTGCATGAATATCAAGTAAAAAAATTATGCAGCCACTTGATTGGGGAAGCACTCAAAGCTTCCTTCTCATTGATTGGTGAGATTTCCTCTTTCTGGAATTTTACAAATGAGGTAGTGATTTGAATTAGGTGTCTGCCACATTGCTTGAAAATATCTGTCTCTAAAATTAATCTCTTACTTGCATTTTGCAGGAAATTGCCAGCAGATATCCTGATGTTCCTCTAAGTACAGTTCTCATTGCTGAGAAAAAGTTTGTGGAGGCAGATCTTGACAGGAATGGGGTTAGGAAAATTTTTAAAGTTATGTTGAATTTTTCATTCTATAAGAATTTAGAGGAGCAAATCAATCAAAGGAAAAAAACATGGGTTTTTTCAAATATATTTTCTTTCCATTGATACACAAATAAGGATGAAGCCACAGTCAAGGGTTGGGTTGGAAAACACATATTAAACAAGAGGGCTTATAAGTGGGCTTTTATACTCTTAACTTGATTTATCTACATGAATACTAAATGTAGTTAATATGTACATGTTGGATAAATTACTTAATTTTGGTTTGATTTGTTATAATTTTTTCTCAGACCATAGACAGTGATGAACTAGAAAAGATGTTGGATTTAATAGCTCAGCAGGGGAACTCTATGATGTACACAAAGGCAGATATAAGGGAAAAGATATTTAAGAAGATAGATGTGGACAATACAAATTCCATAGACTTCTTTGAATGTATAGGGGTAAGTTGAAATCTGATTTCCTTCTCTCTTGACTTGTAAAGGAGAAAGCTATTTGGTAAAGAAATGCTGGTTGCTGTTTTAGTTCTGAGTTAAAAGCAGTATTAAGGGTACAATCAAGTTAATTAAGTTAAATAGGTGCTGCCTCAGTTTATGATTGGAGAGGTATTTTAGGAAAGTGTTCCCCTGAGTTGTATGGTACATAACTGATTCAAACATAGTAAAATCGTCAAATGGGTCTCTTCTCTTTGGAGCGTGTTCCCAAAAGAAATAATTGAACTTAAGGTCTTCTCCTGAAATTCAGTACAGCTCTAGCGGAGCAACAGGACACTAGGTCAGGGGAAAAAAGGAGAATCAAGCAGTTTTCTCTCTTATTTTAAGAATGATAGGTAAAAGAAAATTTTAGACCTCAGTAGAACAATCCTATTACCTGTTGAATTTTCAAGAATTCCAAGGAATTTTAGGGAGTAGTAAGAGGTACCACAGGTCTTTGTGTTTGGGTCTTGGTTTCTTGGTCTTGGTTTTCAGGTCTTCATTTTTGGGTCTTAGGTCTTAGGTCTTAGCTTTCGGGGGTCTTCATTTTTGCTACCAGCAAGAACTTTCAATAAAACTCTTCTTGTCATCCTCAGATTTTAGAGATGGTACGACTAAACAAAAGCACTGATCTGCCAACTGCCTTACAACAGAACAAGAGTGCTGTTTGTGCCATTCAATAGCAAAAGAGTGATCATGTAAAAAATGGATGCAAACTGAAGACTTTGATAATTTAAGGATTTTGTCATTGTTGTTTAGTAATATATTCAATGATAATTTACAGTAGCAAGTAAAATTTTGGAGAGAAACCTTTAAGAAGAATGTGTGTTGGTTAATAGTGGCAATTGCTGCTTTAGTGCCTTGAGGAGAGTTACAGCTATACCATGTATGTCAGTAATCTCAAGATATTCATTACAGAAAATTAATTCAAAGGTGGCAAGTTCTCATTAGAATTACTAATACTCAACTAATGACAATATTAAAAAAAACATTTATTCAGTATCCTGTGATAATGAAAACATATAATTTGTGTATAATTTATTCTCATCCAGCATAATAGCCCCCACATATTGGTTGTTTTTTAATGCTGATAATATTGATGAAAGTGATGATGTTAATAGTAATAATTGTGATAATAACAATTATGATAATGCTGGCAACATTGATTATGATACTTATTTTGATATGTAGTTAGAATTCATGCCTCATCTTTTGTGGTTTCCAGAGAACTGGAGGCACTGGGGTAAATTATGAACCATGAATTTATTGATATTTTCAAATGACAAATTTTAAAATCTGTTTGATATATGTCTATTTGGAGTCTCAACTTAAGTCAATTAAAAGAGTGTAAATGGCTGTAAAAATGTTTCAAAGGAATCCTGAAGTGGAAGAAATTTGCCCTCTAAATATACTCAGCTATTTTGTTAAACTTTCAAGATTTTAGATTTGAATTTGATTGTGGCAAGATTTCTCATCAATAACTAGATTCAATGGGGTTTAAATTGATATGCCTTGAATGTTGCAAGAACTGCGACATACTTTAGAATCAGTTATACATTCTATCAATTAATATTATGAAATTTGGATGACTTAAAGATTAATTTGACTATCTTAAGTTATGGAGTATAAATTATTGTGCCTTCTATTTAATTATGCAACCTCACTCACAAAGGCTGTGAGCTGACCAGACCTAACTGTTTTTACTTCCAACTATGGAAAATTTAAGTCATGTTGACATGTACCTTGTCAGTTGCTGTTTTTAAATTATATTCTAATAAAGTTAACATATTTACATCTATATATGTAACTTTCTGATTGTGTCGGGTACGCCGTGTTCAGTTAACCATCAAATCTCTCAGCTGATCCTTCGCCCCGCTCAAATAAGTTTGTTAAGATAAATCAGTATTTTTATACGAAGTATCCATCCACAACGAAGCTGCATCTCCAGAAGTGCTTTTTGAAACAGAGTGGGAAAGGCCATAAATCAAACTGTTCTTAACGGTTAGTTTTCTACCTACGCTATTGTGTTTTAACTTCTCCATTTATTTGTTGAATAAGAATTTGTTAAGCTTTATTTGTGGAATTTGTCAGGCAATACATTGTGAATTTTAAGATCGATTCCCAGCACCTCGGAAATCCAAGAGGAGTGAACCAATCTCGTACTCACATATCATGCACTGTGGATTGAAACATGTAGAAGAGATAATCCTAGGTGTTTGATTCAAGCTTAATTAATTTGAAGTTAAAAGGTTGAAAATATCAGGGCTTGAACCGTCTGTCAACCCTTAATGGCGTTCACTCGATCTGTTATCAATTATTGTCAAGTCATGACAATTCAACATGTACAACCTTAGTTCGAAAACAGCTTTTTCTAGTTCAGAGTCAGTTGTAATCTGCTGTGATACAAAATTTGTAGTAATCGCAGTTTTTCACACTTTCTCTCCTGTTCTTTCCAAAGGAATTAACTGGGAATAATTCTTAAGGTCTAAAGAATGGTAAACCAGCTGAGTGTGCTTCTGACCAAGAGGCTTCCAAACTTGTTCGTGGGCACCATGACAAGAAAAATGATGCAAAGAACTGTTCTTTGCTCATCAACTCTAAGAGCTCTGTCAATGTTCCCTCACAACATAAATGCAGCTAACACCAAGTGCCTCTCTGGGACAACAAACAAGGTTACTCGATTAGGTGAAAGCGTTACGTTACAATGTGTTCGGTTCTGCAATTTTTCATCAGTTTCCACTGCCTTTCCACTCAAAGAGGAAACTATAGCTCACAAAACTGTCCAAGAACTTCTTGACATATTTGCAGCATCAAAAGATTCATTAGAAAAAGAGGAATGTATTGAGTTGTTGCGCAAGATTGCAAGAGCTGTTTGGCATGACGATAATCAGAGGCTAGAACTGCAGAAGATCAGAGCAGCATCTGCAGAAGGTTGCAGTATGTTTCGACGTTTGTTAAACCATATTACTGATAGTGTAGAAGAATCAAATTTAGATGATAAACTGGTGTCCACAATTCTCTGGTCTCTTGAAAGAATTGGAGAGACCAATCATCGTCTGTACAGGAGGTTTGATAAAGGAAAGATTGTTCTTTTAAAGGTGCGCTAACTCTGGTCACTTTTGACACAACATTACTGTTTCTAAGAGTGGTTTTTAATCCCCTTGGTTAACATCTCTTCAATATTTGTAAAGGTTGCATGGTGCAGATGTGCATCTTTACTCCATTTCCCAGATCAGAAAGTAATTCTCCCTTCGATGAGTTCTACAGTTCCTTGTGAATTTGTTACAAGAATATGTAGTTCATGCTGGTAATATCCTCTTGCTGATGAGTATGTATATTATCATTACCTGCTTGTTAGATAATGTATTAAAATTGTATGGAGAAGAAGCATGTCTATGACTTTTGGGATCTGTATCACAGTATGTACATCATAAAAATCTGAGTTTGTTATGTGCAATCTTTGTCAAACTTCTCCACCTTTAGCCATTCCCTTCTGTATCAAGTGTTCTTTCTGCTTGGAAAGGTCATCCAAATAAATAAACTTCAACATGTCACACGTATCAATTTGTTTTATTTCTACCTCGCATACTCTTATAAAAAAACAAATGCAATTTCAAAAAGCCAGTTTTTATATTTACAATTTACAGATGTTCAAGTGCATCAGCAGGAGTATTGGTTGGTGGTTCATTTGTATCTCCTTCACCTTCCTTTGTGTCTGACATCATATCCTTCCCATTTTTAATTCATAAGAAAAATATATTATTAATAATCTCCATAAGTCCCTGAGGTAAAGAACAATCCATAATTTCTTGCCATTTTCTTGATTGTATCTGGCATTGGTGTTTGGTATGTCTTGCAATATGTTCCAGGACCAGGTGTTTTCTATTTTGAGAAAAAGAAAGAAAACAATATGGACAACGATAAATGCCAGTATTCTGGGTATTTCTTTTGTGTACAAGTCATATACATCTTTAGATCTTGAGCTTTTCCCTGTTTTTGTACCTCCAAAGTGACTACACCCTTGAACCTTTCAATTCAGAGTGCATTGTGCGAAAAACTTGGCTACCACATTCCCCTAGAAACAAGAAAATAAATAGCACAAAATCTACTGTTCTTGTCTCCAACCTGAGAAAAATCACACAAGCTATAACTCATAAAATTCCAGGGATTTTCATTGGTTTTAATACATTCTTAAAATAAATTTAAAATTACATTTAAACCCAACACATTCAAGAGTATGAAGTATCAATGTTATTACTAATGGTCTTTCAGTAGTATAATGGTGAGCCAAAACAAAAGCAATTCATGCCCTTACATTGATTTTCCTGACACTAAATTCTGATATGATTTTGAGGATTTTGATCCATAAAAGCTAGCACTACAACTCAATTAAGAATTCTCAGGGATTTCTGGCTCATTGAGTTAGAACTGTGTGCCATTGCCATAGAACTCTTTCTAAACTTATATGTTTGCCATTACATACCAGCACATGAGGTTGGACAAATCTTGGAGTTTTTGACTTGAATGGAGATGTAACATTTGGTCCTTTTGGTAAAATTGGGTCCTTGGAGAGTTTGTACTCTCCAGGAGGGGGACCTTCTCTCTGCGGAGACAAAAAAAGACACAAAAGAATTATGCCATTAATATCAATAATCACAAAAGGTCTAGTAGCCTGTGAAGCAAAATGGAAAGATATATGAAACTGACAGAGCACTGTGATATAAATCTACCAAAATCTACACACTGTGCCATTGTTAACTCCTCAACACCTACGAGTGACTATAAGTATCTAATTTCTCATTACAGTATCCCTGGTGAATAAAACATTGAATTCCCTGGTTTCTCAATACAAACACAGTATTTTTTTTAAGGAATCACTCACTGGTTTAAAGTAGATGGTTGGGAATCTGCGCTCTTGAGACTTGAAAGCTGGGTGCCTATTAAAAAGAATGTCATGTCAAGATGGTAAATACACAGTAATGAGAAAGTCTTGACTATGTTTGAGCAGGTAGTTATTTCCCTGTATATTTTCAATGACAAGATTTACATTGCATGACCAATGAATGCTAATTTATGATTTCCATCTTAAACTGAGTTACTTACTTCGAAGGTAACTTAGGCACATACTTGTACCCAGTGTAATATGTGTTTGGGCTGATTTGACTCTTCACAAACTCCTGCAATGAAAGTTAATCAATGTAGTAAGCATGACTTCAAAATACTTTTCAAAATGTTTAAAAACCAATCAAAAATTTGAAGCCCAGCCAAGATCTACAGAATACCTTGTCCATATATCCCACTAGTGCTGTTGGAGTATGATATCTGTCGCAAGACTTAAAACTGTATGTCACATGTTGTTTATTCAGCTCATCAATGGATGTTCCATGTTTGTACAGTCCTGGCATTAATTTGTCACCTTTGCGTGATGGGTCAGCATTTCTTTTTCTTCCTGCATTCTTAAATCCATATGTAGTTCTCACAGGTTTTCCATGCATTTCCTTAACAAAATCTTTCAGTTCATAACTTCCAGGAACAGGTGTGTCCTGAAACCATAACATAGAATATAAGTCTTCAGAGGAAACAGGAACAGACACTATTCCATTGTTTAAATGGCTTAATATGTGTCTCGTTGTTGTTCACAGCAACACATTAAAAAAGAAAAGAAAAAGAAAATATGTAGCAGACTCCATTGAAGTTGATCACCACCACCCTACCCTCCCTCCCCCCAATTTTATATGCCTGTGTGGAGAGGCACTGAGGTATCTTGCCTAAAAACACAACACAGCAACCTGGCTGGGCCTTAAATCAGGGCTTCTCAACCCATTGTCAAGTGTGTCTGTACATATTGCCATGACTACTGAATGATTAACAATTATTCAGTAACTATGAAATTAAGAACTGATCATTTTTGTAGATTGATTTTGATTAGCAATTTGATTTTCTCATCAATATATTACATTGATTACCTCCCCAAATACAATATTCAGGTTGTCAATAGTCCAGTCATGTCAAGTTTTGCCAATTTTACCTCCCTTGAACAATTACATTTTGTGCTCTCCTATAGCAACACGTCAGATATCGGCAGACTCAAATACATCTCATCATTTTACTACCAACTTAACACCACATAGTGATTGGCGTTTGCGAAAGTAAGCTGACTTTGAGGGTATATTCAAAATAGCTTTGTATGCTATGTCTTAAGAAATAAAACCAGTGTTAGTTTTATAAATTATGGCTTCAATAATCGCGTGTTTGCTCAAACTATCAAATAAATTATTCAGAACTTCAACTCACCTTTAATGTGGATCGCCACCACTCTTCTCTGTCCGACACTGGCTCTTCATAGTACGGGCTCTTACTTCTTCTTCCAGACTATGAACATTAAAGAATTGCTTAACATATCGCTCATCAGTTTGGTGTAATTGAAATGTAAACAAATTATACAGAAGAGCTCTCATTTCCGGATCAAAGACGTTTACAGCAACCAGTGACCATGGAAAACGATAAAATAATTCGGCTTGACTTAATTTATAGCTGTTGAGAAGCTTGAAGACTTACTAGAATTCTTATGGGTGATCGAGGTTGCAAAGGATAGCCAGTGGGGCTAGATTTTGGCTCTTGCAAAAGCATCCCATTCGCAGCGTTCGCCATTTTGTGGAATTCTAGCGTGCTAGCATGTTTCCAAGGTTACCTCCTTCGAGTGGCTCCCAGGTTCTCCAGGGCACGGTTGACCTCGTCTGAACTTTCATTTCGATACAGGAAGGATTCCCAAATTTCTTGTTTTTCCAAATAAATTCAATTTCATGAAGGATTGTTGGATTGATTATGCGTCAGAGATCTCCGTGTTTCCGTGAAATAGCTTTAGCACCTGTGATCACTCAACGAAAATTGAGTTCCAAAATGACATATTTCGATAATTCGAACTCAACCATTGCAGCTCTTCTCTTCTTTCTCCATTTTCGATCCATTCGTAAAATTTAAATGCGAGATTGAAATACATATTGGTTCATATTTCAGCTGTTTCCTTTCGCGACTAAATTAATTATATGCCTTCGGTATGACGGTTAAAAAGTAAAATGCACGACTATTCTCCGAGTTTCATTCCAAATTTCACCTCAATTTCTTTATTTCATTAATTTACAAACACAACTTTTCGAGGGACCGTGTTTTATTGAGGCAGAGAATTCGAAAAAGTTAAAGGAACCTGAAATCTTCGCTAAAAAAATAGTTTTCGTGTGAAAAACGGAAACGATTTGTTGTAGCGTGATCAATGTTTCCTACCTCTTGTTTACTGAGATCAGTAACAGTGGAAAGTGATACACAGTTTCGCAACATCCTGTTCAATTTGTTATACATTTACAATATCTACTAGAGCAGGTAAGTCTTGAAACACGTTGACCCAAATATGGGAAGCTTTTTATTTCGTTCCCATCGCCCGGGTTGATCACGCTCCATAGCAATGCATGTCTTTGTTCGGCAACTAGCTTTTCTACAGTATCTGATTTCCACTGAAATTAAATATTCACTCTTTTTGTCGAATTTTTTTTATCGTTGCAGACAACAGGGGATAATGGAAGAACAGCGAAAGTGTTGAACAATTGGAGCATCTCTCGTCATCTGACTCAAATAATTAAATTCTCTCTGCTAAAGACAACGAAACAAAAAGGGCTATGGAAACCATTGGCTAAATCTTCACAATTACAATGGTATTTTGTGGTTTTGGCTCTAATTGAGATAACTTGTGATCAATTATTTACTGTTTGTACTTGCATACGCTGAGGAAGTATTCATTTTAGAGAGGAAGAAAGCAAACGGGTAAGTTTCGATACTTAAAAACTTTTTGGTAAATATTTCAATTGTATCAGTGTCTTGGAGACAGCTAGAAATCTTTGATAACTTCGCCCTTTCGGTATATTTAACCTAGAGCTCACTATATCTTACGGAAAATAGTCCTGCTAAATTTTTAAGAAACGACTGAGGGAAAAGAAGATAGAAATAGTTTAGGCTCACTGCAAACTCTTCACTATGTAAGGTCTTCATGAATTGACGTAAACTCTGGAGTTCATGATTCCTCAAGCTCTTGTATCAATTTTTGCCCAACCATATTTAAACAGAAGAGAGAAAGGGATCTTTTTTTCTAACAAAATGCGGTAATTAAAAATTTAAAGAAAATTCTTGTCGAAATTTTTCAGAGTTTGATGACCATAGTTTAGAAAAGGGTGCTATTCAAATATATTTAGCACTGATTTTCTTGATCAACAAACGAATCTTTAATGACACAACAACCAGGATTCAACAAAGACAAAATCTGATTATGATACAATGATCATTTAATTATGAGAAAAAAACTTCAGTCCAAGAACTATGATACCAGAGAATTCGTCGATTTTGATGTATCGGTCTGTAACAACCTCATACACAACCGAATTTCTAAGGCTCATTGTTATTAAACGCAGGTGACAGATTTGTCCAGCATCATGGGATGCCTGTTTGTTGTTGTTTTGGTGGCAATTTTCAACAACGCGTTTGCTGACCAAGGTAAGATCTCTACTTCCTCACATTTATGATCCGAAATCAAACAACTAAAACCAGTGAGAATTTCCCTTGCAACACAAGTAAGTAAGTCACAGCAATTCTTGTCTCGCATTCATATTAAATCAAACTAAGAGCAACTGATTCCTTGACCTGATCTGAGTAAGAGCCCATGAAGTATACCATCGAGACAATCTGCACATTGGGACGTCAATTTTTTTTGTTTTTGTCGCTTGAATTTGGCAGCCCTGGGTGAAAATGCAGAGATGGCGAAGAGATGTAATTCAAGATCAGTTTAAAATGATCTAAACTCTAAAACGTTTCTATCGATCTCTGATGCTTTTTTTACTAGGAGGACGCCGGTGGGGATACGAAGAAACAGGTATGATTCAAATTATGCTTCGTTATGCCCAGTTGTCGTCGTTTTTCTCCATTAACTTTCAATCGCTGAGTGATGAGACAACACACAGAAATCAATACATTCGCAAAAACTTCTAGATGCCAGTTTGAGTCTCATAGCTTAGTCCTTGGTTGCCCATCAACACATTCACTGTCTTCTTTCAAAACTTTCTCTAGAGTTCGGTCCGGCAGACTGGGGTCTAGCAGTGCCGTCATGCAGTGGTCAGTTCCAGTCTCCCATCGACATAGTTACTAGTTTGTCTCAGACAAACTCTTCTTATGGTGGCCTAGTGCCGATCTTTGATAATGAGGATGGAACAGTGAGTGGTGTCTTGTCCAACAATGGCCACGCCCCTACAGTTACTCTGGATAAAACCCAAGGCGGTGTAACCCTCACGGCAGGTCCTCTTGGTCAAAACACCTTTCGTCTGGAACAGTTTCGCTTTCATTTTGGATGCGAAAGCAATGTTGGCTCTGAACATACCGTGGATGGAAACTCTTTTGCATCAGAGGTATTTAACGTGAATTCATGCTAAAGCTGCACGAATTAAGGCCCCAATTGAAAAAATTACAATAAGTAAGCAAAGGAATGAATCTTGTAAGACTTCCTTCAAAAGAACGATTGTTAAGCTAGAGGAGAAAAAAGATTTTTTTTTTCCTTGAGACTTATACACTCTCGCGAAGGCTGTCCAGCATACAATCAAAATGATAGTCCACTAGTGTGAATTTCTATTGACGTTAGTTCTTTCCAACTAAAGAACGATACTGTTGGGGAAATTTTTCACTTTTGTTTTCGTTTCGTCACTTACTTGTTATCGTATACTTTTTTGCTCTTCGGTATTTTGTTAATTACACTCTTTTGTTACGTGCTGTATGTAAATTTAGTAATTTAGTTATATAGTTTGTTGTCTCGCCCTTTTCTTTTTACCAGAGTTTTTTGTGCCTAACCGTGAAATAGTGTTGGTAGAAGTAGATTTTTCCCTTTCTCGGTTTTCCCAATCACCAACTCTAGGTATCTTCAGCATTTGGTGAACAGCTTCATTTTCATCGTTTTCTTTAATTTCGGTTGCAGTGGTTTTTAGGTAGTTTGTCTGGTAGTAATTGCTATTTTTTGCACTTCGTAGGAATTTACTTTTTTCTGACACATTATAGTAAAACATTTGCTGAGGCCTCGTTTTGTTGTTTTCGTCGAATTGGCCCTTGCCTGTTCAGACACAGAGTTTACGAATGAGATACTCTAGTGCTTTTTACTTGCGTTTCCTCTGGCAGATGCAACTGGTGTTTTATAATGACATCTATGGAAATTTCAAGGACGCCGTCTCCAAGCCCGATGGGTTGGTGGTTATCGGAGTGTTTCTACAGGTAGTTTTTGTGTTGTGTTTTTCTTAACCATACTTATTAATTTGTTTAACTTTTGACCCTTTGAGGCTTTGGTGGATAAATTGACAGATTACGGAATTCATATTGCATATCGTCATTACTTTTGCTAGCGGAGACGCTTCCAACAGATTCGTCTCCACCCAGAAGTTAACTGATTACCTTTTCGTTCTTACTTTTTTTCGAAGGTGAACGGAGGATTCAACAAATGGATGGAGAAAATTGCTCTGGCCTCAACCAATGTCGTGACTCCCAATGGTAATTAAACATACACTTGTGTCATTTGCGATTACGCCCTTACTTCTAGTGAGACTGGTACGAATTTCAGCTTGTTGTGTTTTTTGAAGGTGACAGCTACAGTCTTGATGGCGGTATACCGCTGACACAGCTTGTTCCAGACTTGATGTCAAAAAGCGCTCCTTACTACACGTACAAAGGTTCCCTTACCACCCCTCCCTGCTACGAATCCGTGCAATGGATCGTAATGAAGAACCCAATACCGATCACCGAATCCCAGGTTAGTAGTGGAGCTCACAGTGCTTAGTAGTAGTAAGAGAATATAGTAGTAAGAGAATATAGCTACCGCTCAAGCCGAGAAAATTTGGTGTTGATGCCACTACTCAGACGGATTTTATACAAAGAGGTGTAAAAACCACGCATATTACATATGCATATTAATGCAATCTAACAATTTCTTTTCAGCTGGAATTACTGCGATCGTTATCCACGATTAGCGACGACCCTCTGTGCAACAACTTCAGGCCTGTGAAACCGCTGAATGGCCGCAAGATTTTCACGTGGCCTGGAAAGGAAAAGCTCTCTGGCCTGCTGAATGTCCCCTTTTATCATTGACGATCCAATAGTTTCACTAAGACATAACGAGGTCTACATGATTACCAGTAGAAAGCCGTGTCATAATTTGAACTCGTTTCCTTTTTAGCAAATATCTATCTTAATTAAATGGTAGTTCACTGAAGGTTGCAAAAAAAGTCAGAAAAGTTAATAAAAAGCGGGCTTTCACCATAACACTAAGCTGAAACGACCGTGTAACCTTTTGGGCTTATATGAATCATTTGCCATTACTTTTTGTGATCCTTATATTATCTTTGCGTTATATTGGTAAACATCACACTAAGAGTCCTAAATTACCAAGCCTGTCCTCTGCGTTTCTTTATGGTTTTTTCTCTGGAATTGGCAGGAAAATATTCTCGGTATCCTGGGTTCACCAGTGGATTCCGGTGAGTCGTAAGGAGGTGTATTGAGTTTGTACGAGAGGGAGTCGACGCCTTTAAACGCTGTCTCGCTCTCTTTTGCGATTATCAGAGAGTTAGCTATACCATAAGGTTGTACGTGTGTTATTTTGGGGACTAAATGCGACCTCGATTAAAGTGTTACACACTGAGTGAGGCCTATACTCTCTGATGATTTTGATTTTAACACGGAGATCATTATTTGCTACTGATTCCTCTGATTAAGGTCGTTCTGCATGCTTGTGAGTTGGGTATGTTGACCGTGGCTTTTTTTTTCGAACCCATGTATTTGCTCTTAATTTAGTCCATTTTCAGTTACAAACCTTCATAAGATCATATTATCTGACGGCTTGCTGACATTTTCATGGCTGCTGGAAAATTTTCACCACTACCAAAGTTGGTGCTGTTTTCCATTTGATACAAGAAAATGATATAACCAATTTTTATAAGGTTTTTCCCTAGGTTGGTTTGTGCCGCGTCAGATGCACTCCGAGATTTTTTCAGAACCTCACCCACTTCTAGTCTGAAAGTTGATAAAAATGCTCAACCTGATAATTCACATTTCCTTCGGCCTACGATCTTGAGATCTAAGCAAACGTTCTGCTAACAAGTTTGTCAAAGATTGGCCAAATTCTACGCTGGGGTTTACGGAGCTGCAAACTTATTGTGTTGCGTATCTTTTTCTAGTTAGATAAAGCTTCTGAAACAGTGTAGCCAGATTGACGTCTGTAGACATCTGAATACTTTTTAAGATGTGAAGCAGTCTTATTTGCTGTCTGTTTTATTAATTTTCATCCCCACAGTCCTTCTTGCCGTTATAATAGCTCCAGAATTGTGTACGTTGTCAATTGTTTTCAGTTTTTGTTTTCTATAATATGCTGATGCGATACTCTGGCTATGCTTGCAAAGATGAAGATCAAATTGATGGAAAAAAAAGAACCACCTCTATGTATTTTATAAGCTTCTGTTGTCCTCGTAATTTACAACAAACGCAATTGAATCAGCTGGCCTTTAACATTTACACAGATTTTCCATCAAAGATATTCACAAAAAACCAATCAGGGTGGAGGCATTTATCTCGGTATGGGATAAGATACAAGAACGAGTGTCAATAAATATTTCCCGCAGATCAGCCAATCAGAATAGGCGTGTTGAAAAAAGTAATTTTGAGTAAACGAGTAATAGCCATTGACGTATTTCGCGCCGCGTTTGGATCTGTTCGAAGTGTTTGTCTGGTAAGTGTAAGTGAAAATTTATGTGCAACCTTTTTTTCAGTTTCAAGGCCGACTTTTTCATAATTTACTGGCGCTACCAACTTTCGTACAGTCTTGACAACCAACCACAGAGAAAAAGAAACATTAAGATCGATACTCTTAGCGGTCACATCTACATAGATGTGTTTCTTACTGAGATAACAAGTGCAGTTTTCCAGGATTAGCTGAAACATTTCTTTTTAACAGTGTGTTAGAAAATATTTTAAAAAATTCATAAAAAAGGTTAATGTTTCGGAACTCTCAGATATGCCAGCATTGCATTTTCATCAATTGGTTCAACATATTTTTTTTCATTCAAATTTTATCGATGACCTTCACTGGCTTAGAGAATCAAGGAATCATCAATGTCATCACTATCATCACTATCACCAGATCATATTGGACTTAGCAGCTTTGTAAAAAAATTAAAAGTATTTTGGTATACATGGTTATATAATGAGGTGAATGACAACAATGAAATTCTGTTGCCATCAGCGATAACTGAGTTGTTTGGTGTAAAATCTTTCTTGCAAGATTTTTCCTGTGGAATTCGATTGGTTAGCGGTCGCCAGTGTCGCTCTCTAGAAAGGAAAATTATTTTTCAGTTTTCTGTTAGTCGTGAAAATCCTCCCTGAGCTCAAGCTGAGCAAAGGTACACAATTCAATGGTGTGATTCTATTTCAACATTGCATAATAGAACTAAGTTAATAACGCCAGTTCCAGATGAGTGATACAGTAAAATCAAAACTTGCTTTCTTACAATAAAAAAACGCTTCCTTTGGTAACGATTTTAAAATTAAGTGAGAAAAAATAATAGAGAGACAAGACGGAAAATGTGTGATATTTGTCACTACCAAAACATTGCCATCCACGAATTTACGCAGGTAGGTAAATCTCTGGTCAAACACGCAAAATAAACTCACGAGAAATGTCGAGCATCTCGTTTTCTGAGAATAAATATTTACTCTGCATAGCTTTATCACCTGCAAACTTGAAGACCAACTTTACAAGTGCTGTAAATTCCTACCCAACACATCTGTCTAACCAATGTTGCAGTCTTTCCACCAACCGTGCTAGAGTACTCCAATTTGCTCCCTGCCATATGAGATTAAGGCCTCGAATACTAATTAAAGAAATTCAGTTCGAGAAAAAAGTACATGCTGTAGACGTACTTTTGCTTTACTATTTTCATTTTATACTCATTCTGAAGTGAAAACCATCACTTTTTGATCAGTTTAAGGTGAAATATTTTCTTTAATTCCTGTTGGGACGATCGTTCCAATGAAAAAACAAACAAACAAACATTGAATTTCATTTTGCTGCTTCTCTTCACTCCTCCGTGTTTTACCAATCCAGTTCACCAATTTCGGTTAGCCAATCTCGAGAAGCTAAGGTTAACGTTACCGGGATGGTTGAGTGATGCAAAGCTGACTGAAGGTATATCTTTGAGAATGTTTTAACTACTTACCAATTTGTTCCTATTTACAGACGCAAAATGTTCCAAATTGTTATATTATCTGTTCTCGTGGGTTCAGCCCTGACCGCACAAGGTATGATACTCATATGGGCTTAGGATTGTTTAACAACTATTTGATAGCATTAAAGAATTGCAGAAATTAAATCTATCTTTTGAATCAATTAAATTGCGCTTGTACAAAACTCGTGTTTTGGTGTTTAGTATTTCTTTCTACGAGTGGAAGATAAAAATGTTAGGGATAACTTAACTTTAACTTGTGCGCGTAAATACTCAAAAGACAGAAACAATAATTTATTTTTCCTTTCTTTTCTACTGCCCAGGGACCAAGTGGAAATATGGTGAAACAGGTATTATGAGTTGCTTCTTTTAAAAGACGTCCTTGAAGTTTTTTACTAACTTAATATATAGATGTGGATATGTTATTAATAATAAATTTCGAATACTCAACTGAGCTGTAATGTTAAGAATTGAACTTGAAATTCGCAAAACGTATTAATGGCAATTATCTTTTCATCTAAACATAAAGTGATCACGAGTCTTTGCAAACATGTATTTAATTTTATACGCAGACAAAGTCCATAAAATATATGGTCCGAAAGATTGGGGAAAGGTTTCAAAGTATTGTGACGGGAGCGCCCAGTCCCCCATAAATATTGAAACCCGCTCGGTGGAAAATGACGGAAGTCTGAAGGCACTCCGGTTTTTAGCTGAGAATCGGTATGGAAGAGTCAGCGGTGTTCTAGAGAACAATGGTCATGCTCCTACCCTGGCAATAGATAAACCAAGGGGTACTTCAACACTCACCGGAGGTCCCCTGGGGAACAGCGTGTATAAGCTTCAGCAGTTGCACATTCATTTTGGTTGTAAGAACAACAAAGGATCTGAACACACTGTCAACGGAAAGGCATTCTCAGGAGAGGTAATGGGACACAATTAGTGATTAGAGCATTATCTGGAGGGGCAATAAGGAGATGATCGAATTTATGTAGCGAGCCTGTATAAAGAAGGTTGCCTTTGCGAACGATATCTATAAAGCAAGAATCATTTTCAGCAACGAAACGAGAAAATTTCTGTCCATATCCGAACGAGATCACAATTTTGGTGTGAATTGTCGAGTACTCAGTTTTCCTGAAAGTGTAAGTAAAATTTTAAAATTGAACGCCTTTGTTGTTTAAGTTCGGGGTAAATGGTAACACATGCTTTTCCTTTTCAGCTTCATTTGGTGCACTATAACACGAAGTATGGAGATTTTAAAACTGCTGTGGACAAACGAGACGGACTGGCTGTGATTGGTGTCTTTTTACAGGTAAAAAAGATGTTATCAATTTGTTTCAAGTCAACCTAGCACTGATGAATGGTGAGGAAAGTCGGCAAAAATCAACGGTAAAAACAAAAGTGCTGCAATTTATGTTTCAATTTTTCTTATTGAGCTCTGTCTTATGTTTTTGTGTTTACACACGCTGACTAAATAAATCGATGGGATTTCTTTATTGGTCCGTCTACTCAAAAAGGTACTCACCATATTTTTATATCGTTCTCCATGTAGTGTTTTACTTAGTGTGACAAAAAGGGCTTAAAAAGAGGGAGGGGGGGGTGGGGTCATGGGCACCCCAGGATCCCCAGCTACGCCCTTGGTCTGGTTTTCTAACGAGTCAACGGGTCACCATGTCGTATTTAACAACGATGGGCCGGTCTTCGGGAATCAAATTTAGTTTGGTTTCTCAGCAATCATTCACTGAACACCAATTTCTGTGAATTGTGTTGTTCTTTATTTTAACAACTGCACCTTACCATTCTTTAACTTGTATAATAAAACGATAGTAAGGTCTGACCGGAAAATATGAATACTACATCATGTACATGAAGACTCTGTCTGATCGAGATAAAAACACGTTTAAAACTTTCAAGATTCGATTCCACACTGTTATTATAGTTACTCAACTTGATTTCCGCCTCACTTTCGAGTTCGGTTTTCGATTCTCCTGAGTAGAGTCACTTAAGGGGAGGAGTATAAGCTCATTTCCCGAACAGCAGCTGGTTACCGTACCAGCAGGTCTTATAGATATTTCGACACAGTTTTGACCCAGCGACGGTTTTTTGCTTTGAATCGAAGGGAGATGATGATGATGATGACTCAAGTTATTCGTTAAAAATTATAAGTGGAGCAACGCGATACATAAGGAAGGCTGGTAAGGCACGGATAAAGTAACTTCCCATGAAGAACTAGAATCCTTTACATTCTAACATCAGTATTAATATTCCCCATACTCAACTCAATACATTTCATATGTTGATTACAGGGAGAATTTGTTTAATAATCATAGGCGACTATTTTCTTTATTCAACATTTTACCATAATATAATAATTATTGTGTTAGACATAAAATGATGAACAGATGATAACGTATTTCACCGAGGTTTCATTCACGATTTCCTATGTTCTCGAAGTCAAACAGAAGAAGATATTTCCGTACTAGGGTTTGTATGAATACCAAATGTTAGTGTCTTGTATACAGGGAATGAGATTATATTGTTTCCGTGGCAGGTTCGAAAAAGCCTATCAGAGCAATATATTTAAACAACTTGGTTCCTCATCTGAGAGATTTGTCGGAGTTCTACTCATACAAGGGCTCCCTTACCACCCCTCCCTGCTACCAATCAGTGAAATGGATTGTGCTGAAGCGTCCAATTCGTGCCAGCGAATATGTGGTGAGAAGATTTTTACTTCCAAATCATGATTACCGTAAAATATCTCTGCCATTTCATCGGGTATCATAGCAATTTCTTCTTGGACTAAGAATATCTTGGTTTTTTTTTTTAATAAATGGAACCATATGGTACTATCTTCACAGCCACAAACCGCTTAAGAATGTTTTAAGACTGTTTCAATGTTTCATTGGTGACCTGTACAGAATTTTTTTTTTTCAGTTGCGCGCTTTCAGGAGCCTCCTGAATGACGAAGAACAGCCTATGTGCGACAACTTCAGACCCACCCTGCCGCTAAACAGCCGCTCCGTGTCTCAATCTGATGATGATAGGCTGTTCAACTAAACAACCACATCGAAAATTGTCATTTTTAGCGCTGGTTACAAGTTTATTCCAGGATAACATTACCATGCTAAAACATGTGTCAATCTGAGGAATTAGAATAAAATGAGTAACCACATAACTCTGTGTCTATTTTTTGTTCTTGATGTGAGTTATTGCCAAACCTTTTAAGATTAGGAAGCAATACACCGGCTTCGACCGGGGAGAGGACAAGAAAGAGGCCACCCCTGTCAGCTATGCAGCTCCACCCACCGGCCTCGACCAAACCTAACGAAAGACCCATTAACGGCTGTGAATATATGAAAGTCATATATTTGAACTGCGGATAAAGACCCATAGTCTGAAAGACCTGATTCTCGAGGAGGAGGGTTAAAAAGGGAAAAGTTAATAGTTATAGCCAGCGGTGCTAAAGCTTATCCAAACTCTCTCCACCAAAAGTGTCTGTGAGTTTTGTCCCCCCCGCTCAGCATTTCGTTCGTGAGGTTTCGCACACCGTAAAAGGGTTTTCAGGGTTGTCCCTAAAGAATACTTATTTCACGAAAGAGGTATATGTGAACTCAGCGGTGAGAATAAAAAGAGCTGAGTTGCAAAGGAAGGTAAGAAAGTTGCCACTGGTGTGAACAAAAGGATATGGTTTGGCAATTTCTTAACAGAGAAACAAGAGAAGGTGATCAAGTTTATAGCAAAACGCTTCGCTCGTTTCTATCCGTCGTCATTACCATTGAGATGTCTTTGGGATACGGTGCCTTACTGTGGGGAATCCCCATTCGATGGAGATTCATGACAAATATTCCTTTCTTTTCAAGAATAATTAAGTCTATTATCATAATTTTCGCGGGGATTTGACTCATTTCCTTTTGAATAAACAGTAATAGTCAAACATATCCGATAAATGCAGTTTATTTCGTTGTTACAAACAATCCTCGCTTAAGAAAGAAACCTCCAAATTACGTCACTCAATCTAGCTGAGAGTATCTAGGAGATTATAAACTGTTTATATTCTCTTGGAGAATCTAAATCAACTACTGTAGTGTTAAGCTATTGCGAGTTGATTCTTGAGCTCATCCGTCGAATTCAGAAACCACACGTCCGTTGAGTTTCTGAGGTGGTCTGAAGTTCCCACACATGAGGCCTCCCTCTCCGTTTTTCAGTCTCCTCATGGCGCCGAACTGGAAAAAAATCACATTAATTGTGAATAGAAGATCGGAAAAAACTACAGTTACAGAGGGTTGGGGACTGTTTAGGTATGGATACTTTAAACACAAACGTTTTGTGTTCTGTGAAGTGTTAGTAGCATAACTTTCACAAAGGAAAAAGGGTCCAATTTAGACACGTCAGGTACTGCTTATCGTCCTAAAATCGAACACTTATGTCTAAAATCTAAAATTAGACACTAGTATCTAAAATAGAATACTAGTGTCTAATAACGGACACTTGTGTCTAAAATCTAAAATCGGACACAAGTTTCTTAATTCGGACACTATTGTCTTAAATTGGACTTTAGTGCGTTTGAATGCTTTAGTAGGATATGTGAAACGCTTAAGCGCTAATTTTTCAGGCACTTAAATAGTGATTAAATGTTAAAAAACAGAAAAATAGGATAAAAATATTCTTACCAAAGGACCAGGGAATTGAATGGGTTCTTTCAGTACAATCCAGCGAACTGATTGATAACAGGGAGGGGTGGTAAGGGAACCCTTGTAGGAGAAGAACGATGAGAGATCTTTCAGTTCAGGAACCAAGTCGAGCAGTGCTATGTATCTGACTGAAGCTTCGGCACCTGAGAGAGAAAGTGGTTGTATTAGCTGCCCTAATGTTATAAATGTTTAACCTTTTCGCTTCCAATATCTAGGTATAAATACTCGACACTGTCTGCCATACATTTCGTTACCCTTCCGTTGATGTTGTGTTACTTCTCATGAAACTTCTGCTTGAAAATCTATGGATGTTCTAGGGAGAAATTCTCTTTTGGTCACTATTAGGAGTAATGAGTTTGGCTGAGTAGTGTGGACACTCTGGATCCGTGATGGGAGAAGGATATTCTCAAGATATCGTCGTGTTAACGATCTTCGTACTTAAGTTATGTTTCGTATAGGGTATTGTTATTTAAAACTTTTTTGTTTTTATTCCTTGCACGATACCCACACAGTGAGCAATGAAATGACAACATTAGAACTCCTGCAAGGAACCAACATCTACTTGTCGAAATGAAACGAGGATCAAAATGCACTGATAAGATATCGCCAAAACGCACCAATAGCGGCTAACTATCCCTTTATAGCGACGCGCAATCATTGAACCTCATCACGTGACGAATACTAACAGTAGAACAGTGGAAACTTCTTTATCTCTAATTGATAGCTTGACCCTTGAATTTATAGAGACTCTTTGGCGTGACACAAACGGATATGTAAGCGGATATATAAAATGATACAAGCTGCTAAGGCCTTACCAAAATCCCTTATTCTTCTTAGAGCATAGTAAAGTTTGAGGAGGGCATAATAGTGCTTTCTTCCTTTCCCTTTTTCTCTTTTCTTCTTTTCCTGAAATAGGTAGCATGTTTTCACATTAAAGATCTCATCGTCTTAGAAGTTTTTAACTGAAAGATGTTCCTCTTGGAGTGATGAACTCCATCTTCCAAGCCAATATTTAGCGTTAGTTCCCTAACTATTGAAATCTGACCCTTGTTGCTGCCTTTTGTACAATGTGCAGTATGAAGTCTTACTTATGCGCCAACGTCAAGCGTTACCAACTCTAATTTTTGTCGTGGAGCGGGAATGAATCCCTTGCAACTGTACGGGGTATTTTTTACAGGTATGCAAATGATCTCACTAAAGAAAAGCTGTTGATGTACATTTTTCTTCAATCAATCCAATTTTCAATTTCCTCAATTGCGATGACTTCAACTTCAACTTTACCTCTCTACCCCAGTCTTTCCCAACCCATACCGATTCCACCTTGCGGCTAATTCCTTTCATTTTAGGAACAGTTGCTATTTATTGGAAAATTTTTTATTTTTCCAAATTCATCACTAACAAAATACCTGGTAAAGTTAATATAGCAACATATATGATATTTCCATACATACCTCAAAGAAAACGCCAATCACAGCCAGTCCATCGGATTGGGACGCAGCGGTATCAAAATCAGCGTACTTTGTGTTATAAGTCACCAAATGGAGCTAAAAGACGATAAATTGAAATTATACATGAAGTACAATATTGTAAATAGTTCCTCTCTGATCCGCTGACCAGATGCCAAACTAGAGCCATACACGATTAATAGCCACTCGCGTTTTCCACGCTTCACACAGTTTGCTTCATAGCCAGTCATATTTTCGACGGAAACTGGAGGATTTTGATTGGGTCATGATAAAATTTTCCGACCCCTCCGAAGGCTCTGTAAATATGCCCATATTTCTCCCTCATTGGCAGTTAATGGGAGTCGATTTTTCAATAGTCCTCCCATTTGTATTTTGTTGGTGACGACTAATTCCCCCTCCGTTTCCCCAGAAAACCATGTAATCCATCCTCCAACAAAAAACCTTCACTCCGTCCCCAGGTGAGGTGATCAATATGTAATGACTAGTCCCTAAGCACCTGTGTGAGAGGAACAATTTTTCACGAATGTTTTCAGTTAGTGGTCGTAATGCTAACGTATGGAAAACAAAAAGTTTCGAGAGCTACTATTGCGCACCTCTCCAGGATATGGCTTTCCGTTCACAAGGTGTTCTGATCCCGCGTCGTAATCACAACCGAAATGAAAGTGGAACTGCTGGAGCATAAACACGCTATATCCAAGGGGACCCCCGGTGAGTCTAGCCTTGCCTTTGAGCTTGTCAATAGTTAGGGTAGGTGCATGACCATTGTTTTTTATAGCTCCACTGACCCTTCGATTTCTGTTCTCGATTGCAAATCGGAGTCCCTTGAGACTTGCATCTTTCTTAACCGGAGTTTCGATATTTATGGGGGACTGGGCGGTGTAATCGCAGAATTTTGAAACTTTACCCCAGTCAGGTGGACCATAACCTGTCAGGAATATCAGCGTTAATAGGAAAATAAGAGATTATATTAAATAGATTTTTGAGCAAAAAGTAAAGACTATGTTTTCGTTAGTTTGTATGAGCAGTATTATAGTCTGGTACCCAGACATTCCAGATTTAAATTTTTTTTTAGATAGATAGACGTTTATTAAGAATACCTTAATAGCAGCTGGAAGCTGAATTACAAAGGTGTACAAATTATATAATAGAACTATACAATAAAATCAAACCTAAAAGGGAACTAATTTACATATGGGCCCATATACAATTGTAATAGATGTCAATTAAAATGTCTTGCGCTTGCTGGAATGAAAGTATCTCTGAACCGATTTGTTTTAAAGGAAACTCTAAATGGTCTGCGTCGTCGTAACTCTATAAGTTGATCTCGGTTGTCGAAAGGCAGTAAGTGGTACAAACAATCCAAGGGATTGGAGACGATGTTGTTAAAGAATTTTAAGCAAAGGTCTTCCCTCCGATCCCTTAGGGTTTTCAGCTCTGCCATCTGAAGCACTTCTCTATAATGATTATCATAACCGTATATAATTTTCAAGGCTCTCTTTTGGACACGCTCTAAACTTAAGCTCAAATAATCGGGGAGACTATAATGGTAGACCTGACATCCATAAAGTAAGACGGATTGAATGCAAGCAACATAAAAATTCACTAATTCTGGTGATGGTACCTTAGCTCGCTTTAACTGAGTTAAAAAGTAAAGGCGCTTAGCGGCCTTTTTAATCATCTCAGTAACGTGAGTGTTCCACTTGAGGTTGTCTTGAAAATACACACCCAGTAATTTCACGACACTAACGGCGCTAACCTTAGAGCCATTAATTTCTATGAGATCGTAGGAAGGAGGGGAGCGCACGAAGGAAACTCTTAGCTCATTACATTTTTTTGGATGAAGTTGAAACGAGTTAAGTGTTGACCAGGTAGTTACTTCGTTTATCATAGACTGAGCATTGCTAGGACCACCCTTGCTTATGATTTCATACACTGTCGTGTCATCTACATATTTTATACAATCACTGGCTGATGGTACTTTCAAATCATTTATCATAACCAAGAATAGCCACGGTCCCAATTTTGTTCCCTGCGGTACTCCTGCTCGGACCGATCCCCACTCTGAGAGACAATCATGTGCAAGTTTGACCCTTTGTTTCCTATCTTTAAGAAAGGCTATTATCCAATTAATGATGTAAGGGTTGATATTGTAGGTCGAGAGTTTCGATAGCAAGAGGCTGTGATCTATCAGATCGAAGGCTTTTCTATAGTCCAACGCAAAGATCCGCACGGTGTTCCCCGTTCCGTCTGTTGCTTGCGCCCAATTGTGCATCAGGTTTATCAATGCATGCGCAGTAGAGGATCCTGGAATACACCCAAATTGATCGGGTTCCAGGCGTTTCAGAAGTGCTGGTTTCACATGTTCATGGACGACGTAGTGCTCGGCAATTTTGGACAACGTTGGTGTCAGTGAAATAGGTCTCAAATCTTTCGCCGCATCCTCAACTATCTTTGTTTTGGGAAGAGGGGTGATGTTTGCACATTTCCAAATGTCCGGTAAAGTCCCTTGACTAATCGAGGAATTGATGATACAACGAAGAGGTTGAGCGAGCTCAGGAGCGAAGTCACGCAAGACCCAGTTTGGGATATTATCTGGGCCCCCAGCTTTGGAGGAGCTGACCGTACTAAGGCATTTGAAGGTAGCTTCCAGTGAAATAATGGGAGTTTTAAAACCCTCAGTGCTCACAGTTTCGATATTATCTAAAAGTGGGTCAAACGAAGCTTGAGGTTCTAGCAGAGCTGTGTTGATTTCATTAGCCAAGATCTTAAGGTTGATTGAGGTAGCTGGTTTACTTGCTAGGAGCTGATTTGCGACACTTGTAGATGTTTTGTTCATTCCACATAACCGCCTACATTCGGACCACCACATTTTTAGGATTGTTTTCGGTCAAAACGCTGACTTTAGTGTTGTAATAAGAGCGTTTGCAGAGCTTCCGTTCCCTGTTTACTTTGTTCCGGTAGTAGTGGAACAATGGTTTGTTGTCTTGGTAATATGCTCTTTGACGGTGTGCTATAAGTGCCTTGAGTTTGGGTGAAATCCATGGTGCGTCGTTTCGGTGGAACTTAACTCGCTTTTTGGGAAGGATAGAATCTAACCCTATGTGAATTAGGTCACTGAAGTGAGCATACTGTTCTTGGACGCTATCTATAGTGTCGATTAATGACCAGTCGACCCCGTCATATAACGACCAAAAGCCTGTTTGGACTCAGCGTTGACAGCACGTGTAGTAACCGTTCTGTTTGCAGGAATATTGGCCTTCGATCTAATTTTTGGAAACAAACCAACAGTACAATGATCGGATAGTCCGAAGGGCGGGAATGGAGAAGGTTTCTCGTAGTGTTCTGTAAGATTAGTTAGCACTTTGTCGAGTGTACGATCCCTCTTGTTGGAAAATGGACGACTTGCGTGAGGCGGAACTGCTTAATAACTGGTGAAACATTTGCCCTGTTCCAGTCGCCAGCGAGAATTATACCTGCGCCAGGGATATCACTCTCTATCCTAGAGAGAGAATCCATCATGTAATCAAGGAGGGGCTCATCTTTGGCAGGCGGTGGAGGATGGTATACTGTACCAATGATAAGGCAGCTATAACCCCGGGGCAATCGGTTGGGCGTGATTTTGGCCCACAAAACCTCAGGGCCCTCGGGGTCAGGAAACTCATAGTCCCGTAGAATTGAGAATTTGATGGAATCTTTTACATATAGAGCCACACCCCATGTAGCTTGTGGGTCCTATCTTTGCGTATGATGTTGTAGCCACTAATGTCAACTACGCTGTCATCAATAGAATCTTTCAGCCATGTCTCCGTTATACAACAAAGATCAAACTCGTGGGTGTTCAAAAAATACGAAGTTCGTCTATTTTTGGTGCCAAACTCATTACATTAGACACAGCTATTGACGGTACGAACTGCAAGGTGTTTTTCCTGGCGTCGATGTTTCTCTTAGGCTTGATAATAGCCAGATTATTGAAATTGACGGCTCTTTCTTCTGTGTAACGGCTGGAGGAAACACGCGTAGTTACTCTCACGGGAATTGTTGAAAGTCTCGGTAAAGCGTGATTATTGAACCGTAAAGATTCATTCAAGATGGAAGAGTTATAGCAATTAACAGTTCTTGGTCTTGTGTAACTACTGGAGATGGCGCGTGTGGTTGTTCTCACGGGAATTACTGAAAGCCCCGGTAAGGTGTGATTGTTCGACTGTGGATAATTATTCAAGGTTGAAAATTCATTCGTTTCTGAAGAATATTTGCTTCGGCCTGTATTTAATTGTGTTTTAGTAAGTCTTCCGGACCGTTTCCCTCGGTACTTAAAAATTCCATCCGCTCGAATGTTCTTAAATAAAACTGACCGTCTCTCCTGAAGGCTGTAATTTTTCCGGAGCGACACCAGTTCGCGCCGAGAGTACTGTAGGGTCGTTGTTTGGCGAATTGGAGAATCAAGCTGCCGAATTAAATCTCTAGTGGCTCTCTGCCGGCTACCAATGGCGATAATAGATTGAGCAGGACCGGGGTTGGTCGAAATATCAACGTATACCGTGATGTCCAATGGAGGGTCGTGGCCAGGGATGACTAAGGAGACAAACCCGTGTTTAGTGTGCTTCTGCATTGGAACTCTTGATCGATGAAAACCATCTTTGACGATACAAGTGCATTTCTTCTTGAGTTGAACAGCAGTGTGCAGGGGTTCCCACCTTGATTTAAAAGTAGCCTCGAAGGATAATAAATGGTTTAGAAATGCAGCGCTTAAACAGGATAGAATAGTGATAGAAACTAGAGCTACTCTAAACGTGGCCGCCATGATTGGCGCCGATATGCTAATGGCCAAGCGGATACATTTCAGTTGGTTACACGGTAGGATCTGGATACGAGATATATTTACAATAGTTTTAAAGCATGCGAAAAATCTTGAATATCTGGAATAAACCAGCATACAGTAAATGAATTCTTAATCTATACTTCAAGACTCTGTTGTCTGTACCGTGACTGTCTGTTTCCCCGTACTTCCACTTTGCTCCTGTTGAGATGAAGAAGGAATGAAACATATGTCATCAGATATAATCACGCCGCAGAAAGTCGCTTCCTTTAAAGCCAATTAAGATCAAGCTGGACTCGAAGGGTTTAAAACTAGAATTTTTTAAATTTTCCCCAGCTAGAGAAGGTCTTATAATGATTGGAGACTTTTAGACAAGGAACTCCAGCTTTACCCTCTTCTCAACATTCATTGCCTTGATCGTTTTGGCGGGCTTGCCTTTCAAAATTGCCGGTACCAGTTTTTGTTCGACGTCTGGCTGAAAGAAAGGCTATAAATTTCACGAGTATCGCGGGATAAATTAGAAAAAAAAGATGACACTTCAAGTGATGAGCGTCAAACATTGCAAGTATTGTTGAAATGTCTCCAGGCAACGTTGTTGCTGTTCACAGCAGTCACTATCAAGATGCACTTTCACCCACACCAAAGTCATACAACTGGATGAACACATCTCATTTGATGAAATGAAAATTAAAAAAACAAGAACAAGTCTTTTCTAGTTTAAAGGACAGCTAAAGGGATTGATCAGTGAGCTATTCCTGCCTTTTCACATCTTGCTTTTACGAGGGGTATTTTTCCCCCATTGTTTTCAAGAGTGTATTAAAAGGATAGCGACCTCCAACGATCAAATACATTAATAAAAACAATGAATAAATTTTCTGTCTGTCAAGAATGGTTCCCTCAAATGAACTCTTGAACTTTGGCAAGAGATAACACGTTTTTTTCATAAAACAAGTCATTTTACCTTCAGAAGCCACAGATACAGTCACCAGCGCAAACAGTACAGTAGCTGACAGCATCCTTATTCTGTGGAATGAAGAGTAATTAGAAAATAAATTTAGAAATACAATCAAATCGTAATGTTAACATTCAAATTTGGTTACAATTTAAGAAATTCTTCGCTTTGCTTTTGCGTTACAACAATTACATGAAAGTAAGTGACGCGGGTGTAAGTGTGGAGGTGTAACAATTCATAGTTGTTTACCACTTTTAAAGTGGAGATTATTATTCATTTCCTCACTTGTTCTTTTTAGTTGATGACTGTTAATCTCACTGGGACAAGAAAAGATCAACGTTGCTTTTCATGACAAACTGATTCTTACTGATTTCCTTGAGGGCAATTATGTATAATTAACAAGTGACCGCCTGTTTGTGTTTCTTTTTGCTTGTTTAGGGGAGAAATAATAACTAAACGCTCGACTGAGGAGCGTTCACTCGGGCTTCGTATCAAGCGTTCTACTTGAGCATTCACCACGCGTAAAATTTAAACGAAACTTCATCTGGGACCTGGGTGGGGAATTTTCGATGTCGATCACTCCAGTGCCACTTTTTGACGGTTATTTGTGCCAACAGTCAGTTTAATTACTCCCGTGAAAAACAATATTTTATAAGCCTGTGTACAGCCGCTCCCTCCCCGCAAAAAGATCGGGACGTCTCTCTCCTCGACTTTTTTGAGTGGAGGGAGCGGCTGTACACAGGCTATATTTTATTCACTCGCTGGGGTCGTTCGTAAAATGTGATGTAAATACTACGCTTCCTAATTGAGTGCGACACCACGTAAGTTACCATTCAAAGTTTAGACGTCAAAACTTGGACGTTTCCGATGGCAATGGGAATGTATCTAATGGAATAGATCACATTCTACAAGTACATTGCATATTGCACCTTTAATTTTTCTCTGTTGTCCCTTAGGCATGACCACAATCTTCTCAAATACTATTCGCTGAGCTATTAGTATTTGTTCTCGTTTTTCTAGTGAGGATAGTTCAGTCTGTGGATATTTCATCAACAAACATATTATTCATTACAGCCTGACATGGTAATTTTCCTTTTATGACCTTTGAATGACATGTGTTGCATATATACTGTTTTCCATCAAATAGCTTTTGAATATTGAAATATGTTTGGCTAGGGTACTTCTTGTTTATGCATGTTACTACTGATTTCTTATAAAGTATTTGATTACAGACAGTACATGTAAAATAAGGGCCTCTCTTATTTTCCTCTTAAACTGGTTCACTCAATTCAGCCGATCTGGCTTTCACTAATTCCTCATTGCGTTGGGAAAGTAATTCATACTTCTTTGTAGCATTCATAGTTGAATATTTTCTTTCAATATCTTCTAAAAACCTTTTTTAGGAATAAAATAAAATATACATATGTTTTATTCTGTGTTTTCTTATGATGCGTTTCCTTTCAATTTTAGTGATTTTACATGAACAGCAAATTAATAGTACATTTTATTCCATTGTCTGACATTCCTGTTTATTTTGAATATCATTAATTTCCTCAACTAGATTACTCACACCACGAATGTGTTTTGTCTGTTTCATTGCGAGTGAATGAGCTTACTGTCTTCATATGTCAGAAGAGAAAACAATTGCTTTACTTTTGTATTTTGTTGATAAATAAAAGCTATACAGTGACTTGAAATCCACATTAAAAAGCCTGTTTTTACAATTTGGTTCCTTAAAATCAAGGTCTCTAGAGATATCCTGCTTTCAGTTAAATTATTCAATTCTCTGTGACTTGCTTCATTGACGTGTACATTTATTTCAGAGCCAAAAATTGTAACACTGTCAGACAGGGTAATTAATATTAAACATTGCTTACTGTGCATTGTACTGTTGAGCTGAGATCCATATTCAATAATTGAACCTAAAGTATTTGAGTTCCAGTAAATACAAGGTGAAATGATCAAGTAACATATTTAATGAGGAACTACTGCAAAACAGTGGTCTTTGTAACACTTGTGTTGACCTGATGATCTCTTTGATACCTCTCTTACATTGTTGCTTATTGCCACGTCATATTTTGTAATTTATAAACCTTCTAGTTCATACAGATCAGTTGCTCCATATAAACTTCGAAAGTAATGCACTAAGTTGTCTGTAGATGATATACCTAATAGAACACGTCCCTTGAATGTGACTTGTACTATAAACATCTCTAGCAAGCGATCCGCACAGTAACTGATACCCACAGCAATACATCCAACTGTTAAAATAAATGACCTATACCGTTCTGATATCAATGACTCAAAAGCTCTTTTCAGGCCCATACAGTATTGATATCTCTCAATGGTAGGCTCATCGTGGACATTACCAGTGTAACTTTCACTGTATTCTAGCTGGCAATCTTCCCTTGAACTGTAAGCATTGATGGTAAATCTGCTAGCAGTAAAAATGATTGATAATTGTGACAAACTGCTATATAGTTTACTTCCAATATGCATTATTTGTTTCAATTCATTGGGATTGCCTATTCCTTTCATACTGTGGTATATTGATGCACATAAACTCATTACAACACATTGTTGCCTTGCATTTTGTCCAAATACAACAACATCCCCTTGACCATATGGTGCTTTTATTGTTTTACGGGGATCCACATGATGCATACCAGGATCAGGGTTTTCTTTATATCATTATAGAACTTGTTCTTTGTACAATTGCCTCTGTGAATTACATCCATGTACTCACTATATGGGAAATTACACGAAAAGAACCTTAAGTATTAGAGATATTTCTTTCCATGTTTATCTCTGACATGAATTGTATACATATCATATCTCATTCAAGAGTTAACATTTCTTGTTCTAAAAATTGGTTTCCTTCTCATTTTTTATACAAACCTGACTCTTGTTTTGTGTGTACTTTTCTTTCGTGTTGTATTATTTTCAATGAGATCATGGACTTTCGATTACTTTGGTACCTTTTTACTAAGACGGCTCCGTACATAACTCTGCAGTTTTCTACTTTTTTTGAGAGAGACGTTTTAACATCTTCACTGCTACTCTTTTTTTTGGTTGGTTCACGATCACGTTTATAGCCATGACATTCACACAAAACACGAGTACAATTATAATATACATACTTTGCGAAACGAGATCTGAATTGTTGTACTTTTATTGACGCTGCAACACTATTATGTTCATGTATATTAGTCATATTGACAGCTTTTTCTAGTAGATCACAGTCATCAATTTTTTTCTGTCTTCTACTAAGTACATACAACTCCATGCGAAAAGCAAACCAACATTCACGATCGATTGTACAATAATAATAGTGATTATGTACGAAGTACCAAATCGTACCTTACAAGTATTGAACCCAGTAAAAACCAATAACAGAAACAAGATATTTAACGGAAGAGCTAAGCTTAGATATTTAACCTTACTATTCAAGTTGCTTCTGTCAGTATCCTTATCCAATTCGCTGTTGTTAGAACCACCTTCGAAATTGTGTTCACGAACATTCTTGATTTTTACAGCAAGTGAGGTGTTCGTCTCAGCATCATAGTTTGTTGTTAAATCGGCTGTCACGGGTTTGCTAGTATTTTCGTAGTTTGAACTCACATTTGGCTCAGTTATATCGTGAGAGCTAATATGAACTTCGCACATTTGGTTAGCTTTCAAGCTATAGAGTTCGTGGACCGGCCCATTCCGAAAACTCTCGACATCATCTAGTGTGGGCCTACCACGAACGGCGTGTGCGTTTATATGTGAGATGAGGGTATAGGACAGAAATCTTTGCGATGTGGTCTTCACAAGACACAGCATTCTGTAAATGATGTTGTTTACGAAGAGCGAGCACACGATAACACAAGTTGTCGCACTCTTATCGGTTTACGCAAGGAACGCCTGGGACCATGGGCCCCCTTTTGGCGACCAAGAACGAATTATATTTTAAGACTCGGGCTTTCCTACGGAAGCCCGATTCACAAGGAACCGCCCATCAGAACAAACTAACTGTCACGTACCGTGTACGGTCAATTCGAAGTTAATCCTCGACTACCGTAAAGTGATGTCCATTCGCCGAATAAAATCCTTTTTAGTAAGTGACCGATAGCTTTTACCCTCTGGTACGGTGGAAAAAGACAGGTTCGTTTATTTGAAGGGGAGATATTGATCTCGATGACTACTCTTCTTTACCCGAATCACTCAAGTAACTGTACCGTGGATGATTTTGTTTGACATGTTACATATGTAAACACATCTCGATTGTCGACTGCGGAAATGCCGCATAATTTTAGGTACCTTCATCTTCTTTCAACCTTTGATGCGATAGGAAAGTAACTCAGAGAAACAGCATGGTTTCTCCCAGAGTTCTGGCTGAAAGTTATAATTCAGGATAACAATACCACCCGCTATAGCTGCCTGCGGTTATCGTGAGTCACTCGGTTGAGACTAAGAAGCTGCAAGAACTTTAAATAGAATGCAAGAATGTATCTGTTGTCAGTTGTTGAAACGAAAGGCTTGAACAGTAATTGGTGACAGGTCAGAAATGGAATCAAAGCGAAAAGCACGAACTAAGCACAACCACAAACATAATATAAAAACCCTGAGAGAGACAGTGAAGATTGTTATGATGTTTGTTAACAGGATGATAAATTACTTTTCATTAAACGGCCCGCGGTTTAGGATTGGTCTTGTCGAAGAAGATAAATGCTCAATTTCTGTACATGAATGTCCAGTTACCGAAAAAAATATTTTTTCAGTGATCAATAGCCTTTACTCTTTGGGATGCAAATGCTGTTGGAATGAATTTGGTGGGATGTCAAGCTTTGCCCACCAAAAATATTTGTGCAAATAAGGCTAAGAAGGACCTGAGATCGCTTGGCAATTATTAACTGTTTGAGAAGATGACCTTTACGCGATTTGGTTAGCTATGTTCACAGCAAAACGCACGTATGAGAACGTTTGACGAAGTAGCTTTTACCTGAGACGTTTAGGAGAAAAAATGATTGTGCCAAAATTGTTATTGTGAGTCATGCGGTTGAGACCAAGAAACTGCGAGAA